GCCTAGGATGCGCACGAATCCCCATAGGTGTAGGGAAAAGCATTCAAGAACCTCGATATCATTGCACATTTGAGTGGCTCATCTTCAAATACACCTATTGGAGCCTTTCCGGCTTGGTTCGTGCGCAATGGAAAGTTTGGCACCCACGAACTCGGCCGTTTTTGCGGACAAACGCGTAGGATGCGAACGAATCCCCAAAGGTGCAGGGAACAGCATTCAAGAACCTCGATATCATTGCACATTCGAGTGGCTCATGTTCAAATACACCTATTGGAGCCTTTCTGGCTTGGTTCGTGCGCAATGGAAAGTTCGGCGCTCACAAATTCGGCCGTTTTTGCCGACAAACGCCTAGGATCCGCACGAATCCCATAAGTGTAGGGAACAGCATTCAAGAACCTCGATATCATTGCACATTCGAGTGGCTCATGTTCGAATACACCTATTGGAGCCTTTCCGGCTTGGTTCGTGCGCAATGGAAAGTTCGGCGCCCACGAATTCGGCTGTTTATGCCGACAAACGCCTAGGATGCGCACGAATCCCCATAAGTGTAGGGAACAGCATTCAAGAACCTCGATATCATTGCACATTCGAGTGGCTCATGTTCGAATACACCTATTGGAGCCTTTCCGGCTTGGTTCGTGCGCAATGGAAAGTTCGGCGCCCACGAATTCGGCTGTTTATGCCGACAAACGCCTAGGATGCGCACGAATCCCCATAGGTGTAGGGAAAAGCATTCAAGAACCTTGATATCATTGCACATTTGAGTGGCTCATCTTCAGATACACCTATTGGAGCCTTTCCGGCTTGGTTCGTGCGCACAGGAAAGTTCGGCGCCCACAAATTGGGCCGTTTTTTCCGACAAACGCCTTGGATGCGCACGAATCCCCATATGTGTAAGGAAAAGCATCCAGGAACCTCAATATCATTGCACATTCGAGTGGCTCATCTTCAAATGCATCTATTGGAGCCTTTTCCGCCTTGGTTCGTGCGCACAGGAAAGTTCGGCGCCCACGAATTCGGCCGTTTTTGCCGACAAACGCCTAGGATGCGCACGAATCCCCAAAGGTGTAGGGAAAAGCATACAAGAACCTCGATATCATTGCACATTCGAGTGGCCCATCTTCAAATACACCTATTGGAGCCTTCTCCGCCTTGGTTCGTGCGCACAGGAAAGTTCGGCGCCCACGAATTCGGCCGTTTTTGCCGACAAACGCCTAGGATGCGCACGAATCCGCATAGGTGTACGGAAAAGCATTCCAGAACCTCGATATTATTGCACATTCGAGTGGCCCATCTTCAAATACACCTATTGGAGCCTTTCCGGCTTTGTTCGTGCGCACAGGAAAGTTCGGCGCCCACGAATTCGGCCGTTTTTGCCGACAAACGCCTATGATGCGCACGAATCCCCATAGGTGTAGGGAAAAGCATTCGAGAACCTCGATATCATTGCACATTCGAGTGGCCCATGTTCAAATAAACCTATTGGAGCCTTTCCGGCTTCTTTCGTACGCACATGAAAGTTTGGCGTCCACGAATTCGGCCGTTTTTGCCGAAAAACGCCTAGGATGCGCACGAATCCCCATAGGTGTAGGGAGAAGCATTTACGAACCTCGATATCATTGCATATTCGAGTGGCCCATGATCAAATACACCTATTGGAGCCTTTCCGGCTTGGTTCGTGCGCACATGAAAGTTCGGCGCCCACGAATTCGGCCGTTTTTGCCGACAAACGCCTAGGATGCGCACGAATCCCCATAAGTGTAGGGAAAAGCATTCAAGAACCTCGATATCATTGTGTTTTCGAGTGGCTCATCTTCAAATACACCTATTGGAGCCTTTCCGGCTTGGTTCGTGCGCACAGGAAAGTTCGGCGCCCACGAATTCGACCGTTTATGCCGACAAACGCCTAGGATGCGCACGAATCCCCATAACTGTAGGGAACAGCATTCACAAACCTCGATATCAATGCACATTCGAGTGGCTCATCTTCAAATACACCTATTCGAGCCTTTCCGGCTTGGTTCGTGCACACAGGAAAGTTCGGAGCCCACGAATTCGGCCGTTTTTGCCGACAAACGCCTAGGATGCGCACGAATCCCATAAGTGTAGGGAACAACATTCAAGAACCTCAATATTATTGCACATTCGAGTGGCTCATGTTCAAATACACCTATTGGAGCCTTTCCGGCTTGGTTCGTGCGCACAGGAAAGTTTGGCGCCCACGAATTCGGCCGTTTTTGCTGACAAACGCCTAGGATGCGCACGAATCCCCATAGGTGTAGGGAAAAGCATTCAAGAACCTCGATATCATTGCACATTTGAGTGGCTCATCTTCAAATACACCTATTGGAGCCTTTCCGGCTTGGTTCGTGCGCAATGGAAAGTTTGGCACCCACGAACTCGGCCGTTTTTGCGGACAAACGCGTAGGATGCGAACGAATCCCCAAAGGTGCAGGGAACAGCATTCAAGAACCTCGATATCATTGCACATTCGAGTGGCTCATGTTCAAATACACCTATTGGAGCCTTTCTGGCTTGGTTCGTGCGCAATGGAAAGTTCGGCGCTCACAAATTCGGCCGTTTTTGCCGACAAACGCCTAGGATCCGCACGAATCCCATAAGTGTAGGGAACAGCATTCAAGAACCTCGATATCATTGCACATTCGAGTGGCTCATGTTCGAATACACCTATTGGAGCCTTTCCGGCTTGGTTCGTGCGCAATGGAAAGTTCGGCGCCCACGAATTCGGCTGTTTATGCCGACAAACGCCTAGGATGCGCACGAATCCCCATAAGTGTAGGGAACAGCATTCAAGAACCTCGATATCATTGCATATTCGAGTGGCTCATGTTCAAATACACCTATTGGAGCCTTTCCGGCTTGGTTCGTGCGCAATGGAAAGTTCGGCGCCCACGAATTCGGCCGTTTTTTGCCGACAAACGCCTAGGATGCGCACGAATCCCCATAGGTGTATTGAAAAGCATTCAAGAACCTTGATATCATTGCACATTCGAGTGGCTCATCTTCAAATACACCTATTGGAGCCTTTCCGGCTTGGTTCGTGCACACAGGAAAGTTCGGCGCCCACGAATTCGGCCGTTTATGCCGACAAACACCTAGGATGCGCACGAATCCCAATAACTGTAGGGAACAGCATTCACGAACCTCGATATCATTGCACATTCGAGTGGCCCATGTTCAAATCCCCACATAGGAAAAAGCATTCAAGAACCTCAATATCATTGCACATTCGAGTGGCTCATGTTCAAATATACCTATTGGAGCCTTTCCGGCTTGGTTCGTGCGCACAAGAAAGTTCGGCGCCCACGAATTCGACCGTTTTTGCCGACAAATGCCTAGGATGCGCACGAATCCCTACAGGTGTAGGGAAAAGCATTCAAGAACCTCAATATCATTGCACATTCGAGTGGCTCATGTTCAAATACACCTAGTGGAGCCTTTCCGGCTTGGTTCGTGCACATAGGAAAGTTCGGCGAACGAGAGAGTTGAGCCAAAAATGTGGAGAGATATTGGCTTACTATAGGGCCAAATGCCCAAGTTATACAAGTAACAATGCAATAAGTGGTGCACCACAAACAAGGCTAGCTAACTACACTACAAACCACAAACAATTATATAAAGCGACGAACATATTTTGACAATTATCACTACCATTACCAATTTCGACCGTTTTTTTTTCAACAAATGTAAGCGAATGAAGCCCAATTGGCGTTGGGAAAATCATTCTACATCCTAAATGTTATTGCATATTCGAGTGGCTCATGTTCAAATACACCTATTAGAGCCTTTCTGCTTGGTTCGTGCGCAAAGAAAAGTTCGGCGCCTATGATTTCGGCTGTTTTTGCCAACAAATTCTTAGAAAGTGGATGCTTCTCTATAGGCGTAGGGAAAAACATTCAACAACCTGAATGTTAATGCATATTCAAATGGCTCATGTTCAAATACACCTATCGAGGATATTTTCACCCTAAACCCTGCTCAAATAAAAGATTGGTGCCTACGATTTTGGAGTTTTTTGCCGACAAATGAGTCGAATGCGCATGAATAAATCCCTACAGAGATAGGAAAAAATATTGAACAACTTGAATGTTATTGCATATTCGGATGACTCATGTTCAAATACTCCTATCGGAGCATTTTCAACTCCGTTTGTGCTCGAAGAAAAGTGCGGCGGCTACGATTCTGGCTGTTCTTGTGGATAATTTGTCAAAATGTGGATGAATTCCTATAAGCGTAAGGAAAGCATTGAACAATCTGAAGTTACTGCATATTCGGAGCTGCTCCATATGCTCCTCGTCCCTTCTACTCCCCCTCTTCCCACACACATGTTACTGCAGCAGTGTACCGGCAAACGGCAGCAGGTTGATGGCCTGCTTTGCTGACTGGTTCAGCTGCCTTAGCTGCTCGATGTGCTGCTCATCCCGCTCCACCGGGATTATGGTTGCTGGCTCCCCCTCCCCCACCAGCCGCACAACCCGGTTCGCTGCCTCTAGGCCTGTCACATACGCCTTTTCCTGATGGGATGGATAGATTGGGTTCAAGGTGTTGTGCGCGAATTAGTTGTATGGAATCCACACCTCCCCACCAGCAACACGACCCTGACCTGACCGAAGCCATACATGCGGCTACACTACACACCCCATACCTGTGACCACGAGCCATGGCGAGTGACGATCCAGTCCCCGGCCACGAACGGTGAAGCTGGTGGTGGCGGGGAGGGTGGAGAACAATAGCAAACACCATAGCCCATACCGAGGAGCATGACCCATGCCACACCTTACCATAAGCCATGCCATTACCCATACCTGCCACCACGAGCCATGGCGAGTGACGATCCAGTCCCCGGCCATGAAGAGATTGGTGAAGCTGGTGGTGGCGGGGGGGCGAGGAGGCTGGTACCATGTCCATCCTTACCCGAACGCCATGACGCATGCTATAACTGCGATTCTGATCCAAACAGCCCAACCCATTTCCATTACCTGCGACCACGAGCCATGGCAAGTGATGATCCAGTCCCCGGCCATGAAGAGATTGGTGAAGCTGGTGGTGGCTGGCAACAGGTGCTGATAGGAGCCTGGTTGATGGGGGAAGGGAGAGAGGGGGCAGAGATGGGGAGAGGAGGGTTGGACAGAGCATGCAGCCAGCCATGAAGAGGTTGGTGCAGCTGGAGGTGGCAGGCAATAGGTGCTGGTAGGAGCCTGGTTTGAGAGGGGGGATAGACGATGGAGAACAGAGGGGGAGATGGAAGGGGTTGGTTGGATGGACACACCCTGCCACGAAGAGGTTGGTGCAGCTGGTGGTGAAGGGAGGAGTGGCGAACTGCACGACAGCACTGACGGTGACTTGGGCAGAGGCGAAGGCAGGGAAACAACTACACACCACACACGCGCACACCCACACCCATCAAAGCCACAGCAGACACAACTGCATGGCACAGGGAAGCGGGAGCCTACCTGGGGAGAAGTGGGTGACAGCTCTAGGGAACCGCACGACAGCACTGTCGGCGACTTGGGCAGAGGCAAAGGCAGAAATGCACGTGGCGAGGTAGCGCATGACCGTTGCTCTCGGCCCCATTCCTCCCTTCGCTTCTCCCCCTTCCCCTTCCCCCCTTCCCCTTCTCCACTTCCCCTTCCCTCCTTCCCCTTACCCCTACGCCCACCCAACCACCCACACCAACCAATGTACCTGGGGAGAAGTGGGTGATGGCGCGGGGAAACCGCACGACAGCACTGTCGGTGACTTGGGCAGAGGCGAAGACAGGGAGGCACGTGGCGAGGTACCGCATGGCTGTTCCTCCACTTCCCCTCCCCTCCTTCCCCTTCCCCACTTCCCCTTCTCCCCTTCCCCCACCCCTCTTCTCCACGCAACCCACCCACACAAAGCAACGCACCTGGGGAGAAGTGGGTGACGGCTCTGGGGAAGCGCACGACAGCACTGTCGGTGACTTGGGCAGAGGCGAAGGCAGGGAGGCACGTGGCGAGGTAGCGCATGACCGTTGCCACTATTGCCTCGTCTGACATGGGCAGGTACTGATTCGCGTGGTACTGGTGGTTGTGGGGGAGGAGGGTTGAGCGGGGGGATCAGGGGGAAGCAGGGAAGAGCAGAGAGCAAGAGGGGTTGCTTCAATCAAGAGCTGGGATGCACGTGGCGAGGTAGTGCATGACCGTTGCCACTATTGCCCCGTCTGACATGGGCAGATACTGATTCGCGTGGTACTGTGGGAAAGGAGGGATGGATAGGGGAGGAGTGTGTGTGGGTAGGAGGGGGGAAAGAGAGGTAGCGCATGACCGTTGCCACTATTGCCTCGTCTGACATGAGCAGGTACTGATTCGCGTGGTACTGGTGGTTGTGGGGGAGGAGGGTTGAGCGGGGGGATCAGGGGGGAGCAGGGAAGAGCAGAGAGCAAGAGGGGTTGCTTCAATCAAGAGCTGGGATGCACGTGGCGAGGTAGCGCATGACCGTTGCCACTATTGCCCCGTCTGACATGGGCAGATACTGATTCGCGTGGTACTGTGGGAAAGGGGGGATGGATAGGGGAGGAGTGTGTGTGGGTAGGAGGGGGGAAAGAGAGGTAGCGCATGACCGTTGCCACTATTGCCTCGTCTGACATGGGCAGGTACTGATTCGCGTGGTACTGGTGGTTGTGGGGGAGGAGGGTTGAGCGGGGGGATCAGGGGGGAGCAGGGAAGAGCAGAGAGCAAGAGGGGTTGCTTCAATCAAGAGCTGGGATGCACGTGGCGAGGTAGCGCATGACCGTTGCCACTATTGCCCCGTCTGACATGGGCAGATACTGATTCGCGTGGTACTGTGGGAAAGGGGGGATGGATAGGGGAGGAGTGTGTGTGGGTAGGGGGAAAGAGAGGTAGCGCATGACCGTTGCCACTATTGCCCCGTCTGACATGGGCAGATACTGATTCGCGTGGTACTGGCGAATGCGGTGACAGGGAGTGATAGGAAGTGAAAGGGAGCGATGGGGAGAGACAGGGAGCAGTGGTGAGTAAGAGGCAGCGTTGCGCAGGCATGAAGGTGGCGAGGTAACGCATGACTGTTGCCACAATGGCCTCGTCTGACATGGGCAGATACTGATTCGCGTGGTACTGGCGATTGCGGTGACAGGGAGTGATAGGAAGTGAAAGGGAGCGATGGGGAGAGACAGGGAGCAGTGGTGAGTAAGAGGCAGCGTTGCGCAGGCATGAAGGTGGCGAGGTAACGCATGACTGTTGCCACAATGGCCTCGTCTGACATGGGCAGATACTGATTCGCGTGGTACTGGCGATTGCGGTGACAGGGAGTGATAGGAAGTGAAAGGGAGTGATGGGGAGAGACAGGGAGCAATGGTGAGTAAGAGGCAGCGTTGCGCAGGCATGAAGGTGGCGAGGTAACGCATGACCGTTGCCACTATCGCCTCATCTGACATGGGCAGATACAGGTTTGCGTGGTACTGCTGGTGGTGGTGGGGGGTTTGAAGGGGTGAAAGGGAGTGACAGGGAGTGACACGGAATGACAGGGAGTGACTGACAGGGAGTGACCAGGAGTATGGGTGAGCGTGGTGCAGCTCTGAGCTGAGAGGCAATGGGCTTGTCTGACTTGGGCAAATACTGGTTCGCCTGGCACCGGCGGTGGCGGTGGCGGTGGCGGTGGCGGTGGCGGTGGAGGTGGCAGTGGCGGTGGCGGTGGCGGTGGCGGTCGCGGTGGCGGTGGACTATGTTGGAAAATTCGCGCCCAGCGCATTATACGCAAGCGTATATACGCTTGCGTATAGTGCGTTATGCGCTTCGTGAGTGACCTGCCTGGGCAGCAAAAGGTTTTTACCGGGCAGACGAAAAAAACCGCCGAAGGAGGGGGGGGGGAGTGGTGGTTTTACCGAATTTCATATATTGAAAAAACCCACCATTCTCAACTACTCTAAGCAAGCAACATGCATCTCTCCTACCCCACCCCCTACTCCCACCCTCTACTCCCCTCCTTCCTCCTCTACTTGTACTCATCCTCCAGCTCATCCTCCTCATCCTCCTCCAGAACCTCGTTGTACCCTTCCGGCAGGGAGGCCTCAGGGATGTTCCCCGGGAGAACCGTCACCCACTCAGCCCCCTTGTGCCAGTTGCGCACAATGTTCCAATTGTGCGCAACATACACGAGGTCCCGACACTTCTCGGACCCCAACCTGTTGCGCTTGGCAGTGTGGATTGATTCCCACACTGCCCAGTTCCTCTCACACGCCGATGCGGACACTGGCTGAGAGAGAACGCGGCAAGCGAGCGTTGTCAGCTCGGGGTGCTCCGTCCCGTGCCACGTCCACCACTGGACGGCCGTCTTCTTACCGGCCTTCATGAGCTCACGGTCAGAGATGGCGTCGGGTAGGCCGAAGCTCCCCTGAAGGGTGTTGAATGCCGTCAGGCCGTCCTGGATGACGTGGGATGCGCGCAGCTCCTCGCCATCCTTGCGCGTGACGGTCCGCCCTGCGTAGTGACGAGCGACAAACGCTTTGAAGACGCGAGTACACTCCAGGTCGGTGCGGAAGATGCCTTCCTCTTGGTTGACCGGGTTGAGGATCCGGCCAACCACGTGCATGGCACACGCCATGCTATGGTCCCAGCGCTTTTGGACGATGTTGGTCACCTCCGTGCGTTCACTGCTGGACAGCACCAATCCCGCCTCCTCCTCCTCCAGCTTCGCATTGATGTCTTCCGTGAGCTGCAGCATCAGATCGTACATCCTGCCCATCATGCCCTTGGCCGTCGAGTCGGTCTTGCGCATGACGACAAAGGGGATCTTCAGGAGGGCGACGAAGAACTCCGCACCTTTCCACCACACGGCATCCATGATCATGGTTGCGAAGGGCTCGACCGGCGGCTTCCTCCCCTTCGCCCAAGCCTGCCACTCCGGGCTCAGCACCATCTGCGTCAATGCACTCCGCATCTCGCAAAGCCGCTGCACCGCGATGAATTGCGTGCCAAATCTGGTGCCCGCCGGCTTCAGCACCTGCTTCCCCTTCCCTCCCTTCACTTGCGGGCTTCGCATGTAACCTTTGGTGAAATGGTGGGCACGCACAAAGGTAATAATCACCCCCGCCTTAGCCACAATGTCCTTCGCCCAATCCATTTTCCCAATGTCCTCCATGAGCAGATCCATGACGTGAGTAGCGCACGGCACATGCTCAATGTGAGGATACTCAAGCATGAGTTCCCTACATGCAGCCGCATAATTGCTGCCCCCATCCATGCATAACGCAACTATGTTGGCGGGCCCCACCTTCTCAATGATCGGGCGCAAAACAGATGCAATGTAGCCTCCCGTCTTCGTCTCCAACTTACAGTCGATGCTTTCGGTGAACACTGCACCGGAATCGTTGATGAGCAGGATGTTGGCTTGGGGACGGCCACTTCTGTCCGTCATCATGTCCGAGCCTATCGTCACGCCATCCCGCTTCCAGCTCGCAGTGATGGGAGCGAGCCCCCTCTCGATCTTTTCGCGGCAGCGCGCAAGGCCGGCGCCACCAACATACCGCCGCTTCGGGGGAACGTAGCCATGGCCCGCGTCCGTGATGCAGCGCACAGCGTTGCGCCAGAGAGGGTGATCGGCGAGATGCTCCGGGAGGTGAAGTGCCGCCCACATGAGGCAGATGGCGTCGTCTGCCGATTCCTTCGCACACGACGCCCCTTCCCCGTAGAAGTCTTCGATGCACTGCTTCTTCGCTCCACCCGCACACGCCTCGATCGCCATCTCCTCCGCCTTCTTCTTCCCTTCCCTGCGGGCGTGTTTGCCTTCGTACAATTCGCGGACGGCGCCGCGGTCAGCAGAAGGGATAGGCGCCTTGCAAAGACGGACGTCCTTCCGTTTCAGCCCTTTCCAGCGCGTGATGTGTTGCGCGCAACGGAAGGCGCCCCCTACGAACTTAAGCTTGCAGTGCCGGCATATGCGGAGAGTACGCTCAGGACCATTCGAGGTACCTTCGGTAGAGGTAAGGAAATGCTTAAAAATAACATGGGTGTTCACAGGAACATCCTCGTCGTCCGCCATGGTCGCGTCATTCGAAACACTAGGAGCCTCACTAGTGGCACTTGCGGGAGTACCAGAAGGAGTCGACATCAAGTGCAGGTGAGCGGGAGTGTTGAGAGAGAATGAACGAGAGAGATAATACAGATGACGGGAATGAGAGCTTACCTTATAGTCCAGGATGTGGTTGAACCACCTACGCTGGTTGACGACATTCGTGTTTGTGTGTTGGAGTCGCGCGATAGCATAGGGTGCAGTGCGGTTCAAATTTTCCCACGTCCCCACATTTTGACAGGTGTGGGTGACAATGTGGTTGGGACGTGCGTACAAATTGGGGTGGGACGTGCGTACATTTTGAGTCGCGTCGCACATTCGCAATTCGTGCGCGACTATTGAAATCTGGTTTTTTTTCGGGTCAGCCCGAACTTTCGCCAACGAATATACGTACGACTTGCGTACATCGTATATTCGTAAACGACTATACGGAGTGCGCTTATGGTTTCTGGCGACTTTTCCAACATAGGCGGTGGAGGTGGAGGTGGTGGTGGCGGTGGCGGTGGCGGTGGCGGTGGCGGTGGCGGTGACGGTGGCGGTGGCGGTGGCGGTGGTGGTGGCGGTGGCGGTGGCGGTGGCGGTGGCGGTGGAGGTGGCGGTGGCGGTGGGGGTGGCGGTGGCGGTGGCGGTGGCGGTGGCGGTGGTTAATGAGGGCCAACAAGGGTTAATGAGGGTCACCAAGGGTTAATGAGGATCAACAAGGGTTAATGAGGATCAACAAGGGTTAATGAGGGTCAACAAGGGTTAATGAGGATCAACAAGGGTTAATGAGGGTCAACAAGGGTTAATGAGGGTCAAAAGGCGACTCACAAAGTCTGCTTCAACGACGGTGCAGGGCTCGTCCTTGTACTCATCGTGAATGGCGTTGAGATCAAAGAAGGTCCACCCTGTTGTCTCGTCAAAACCGGAACACGCGTTGGATGGCTTGGGGATGGTGATCTGTGAGAGGAGCGGGCATGGAGGGGAAGGAGGGGAAGAACATGGGGCGAGAGGAACACGTTCACTGGAATGCCCACCCCGTTGTCTCATCAAAGCCGAAGCTCGCATTGGACGGTTTGGGGATGCTGATCTGCATGGCAGGAGGCAGCGGGAGCGAAGATTGCTTGAGGAATGAAGGTCGCTTGGGATCAAGTCCTGCTTTGCCCTGCACAAACGGGCCTACCGCTACCCCTTTCTCCTTTGCTACCAGTACGTCGATGGCTTTTGAGGCGCCTCAAAAGTTGCACGAGCGGGCCTACTGCTACCCCTTCTCTCCTGTACTGCAAGTCCGCCGATGGCCCCCAGATTCCAATGCCAAAGCACCTCACTGCACCCCTCAGCACACCCCCTCACCGCATTGCACTGCACTGCCCTTCTCACCTTCCTGTCGAGCCAGAAATGCACTGCCAGCACGTCGATGGCCCCCAGATTCCAATATCTAAATACCGCGCTGCACCCCTCAGCATACCCTCTCACCGCACCTTCCTGTCCAACCACAGCCGCACTGCCAGCACATCGATAGCCTCCGAATAACATGGTCAATGCAACTCACAGCACCTCTCAGCATACCCCCTCACCGCACTGCACCCCTCCACGCACCTTCCTGTCGAGCCACAACCGCACTGCCAGCACATCAATTGCACCCAGGTTCGCCACGCCCAGAAACTCCTTCCTGCTGGACAGCGCTGGGCTGAGGAGGTGGGGGCAGCAGAGGGGGGAGAAGAGGGGCGAGAGGGAGAGCAGAGTGAAGACAAAGGGGGCGGTTGTTTGAAGGCGCCTTAGAGACAGACTCGCCATGCAGAGAAACTCCTTCCTGCTGGACAGTGCTGGGCTGAGGAGGTGGGGGCAATGCACAGGCGAGGGGAGAGGGGCGAGAGGAGAGGGGCGAGAGGGAGAGGAGGGTGGGAAGGAGAAGGGGGGGTTACGCATGAGGTACCCAAAAGGCAGCATAGCCTGGCAATACACACCTGGACACAGCGGTTCGTCTCTGCACTTCGGCCTCAAAAACAATCACCCAGAGCCGACAATGTGAAACGTCTCGAAAAGAAGCACAGCGGTTACTTACACGCAGTTTGTCTTTGCATCTTGGCCTCGCACCTCGACGCAACAATGTGAACGTGTTATGGGAAGTCTCAACACAATGTACTTTCGTGCAGTTTGTCTTTACATCTTGGCCTCTGGAGCCGTGTTTTCAGTCGACTCGTTAAGTCTGCAGCTCGCTGGGAATATGTCTGAAGGCAGTTTGTCTTTACGTCTTGGCCTCAGCAGCTTTCACCTCGAAGCGACGATGTTCTTGAGGCCTGATATGCCCACTGCTGACACCACTGCATGCGCTGCACACACGCTGCGGTTACCTTTCACCTGGACATACCGTGCAGCACCACTCACCTAAAGGCAGCGCCGAAGTTGACTCAACTCACCTCGAAGCGACAATGTTTTTGAGGCCTGAGATGCCCACTGCTGACACCACTGCTTCCGCCGCAAACACCTCGTCACCGCACACCACCGCTGTGACTCTGTCCGGATCGTCCTCAGCCGTTGCAATGTCTGGCACAGGAGGGAGGCGGCGAGGGGGAAGAGATAGAAGGAGGAGTTGCCACATAGAGAGAAGGCCACATAGAGAAGGCCACTAAAGAATTCTCAAAGATGACGCCAGTAGGCGTCCATAACACACCTCTCAACCACTGAACATTGCTGCGAAATGCCTGGCACGCAACCCCTCAGCCCTCAGCTGTCAACGGCACAATAATTCCCTTATCCACAGCCCCCTCCTCTCTCCCCCCCACATTCTCCCCCCGCCTCTCAGCACCCGTACCCCACGTCACCCACCTGTGACGCGTCAGCTTTTGAGACGTCTCAGAACTCCTCTCTCCTACCCACCTTCCCCCCCGCCTCTCAGCACCCGCACCCTACGTCGCCCACCTGTGACGCGTCGGTTGGGCAGGAAGCGGAAGTTCCCAGAAGCTTCCATGGTTTGGATCCAGGGGGCGAAGATGGTCTCGCCTACTGTGCCCCGGCACCACACCACATCAAAGTCGGCCTGTGAGTGGAAGGGGAGAGATCCGGGGAGAGACAGGGGGTCTGAGTCACTGGGCAACGATGGTCTTCCCTACCGTGCCCCGGCACCACACCGCATCAAATTCGGCCTGAAGGTGTGGTGGAAGAGACAGAAGTTGTGTAGAGGACGGAGGAGGGAAGAGGGGGAAAGGAGGAGGCTTGTATCCAGGGGGCGAAGATGGTCTCGCCTACTGTGCCCCGGCACCACACCACGTGGAAATCAGCCTGTTGGTGTGGGAAGAGAGAGGGGTTGTAAAGGGACTAGGTACAGAGGATGGAGGAGAGAAGATGGCCTTTGCGTGCATGCAAGGGGGCTTGCATGCACAGGGAGCAAGGCCCCTTGCATGCACAGGGAGCAAGCCCCCTTGCGTGCATGCACAGGGAGCAAGCCCCCTTGCGTGCATGCACAGGGAGCAAGGCCCCTTGCGTGCATGCACAGGGAGCAAGCCCCCTTGCGTGCATGCACAGGGAGCAAGCCCCCTTGCGTGCATGCACAGGGAGCAAGCCCCCTTGCGTGCATGCACAGGGAGCAAGGCCCCTTGCATGCACAGGGAGCAGACCCCCTTGCTTGCATGCACAGGGAGCAAGCCCCCTTGCGTGCATGCACAGGGAGCAAGCCCCCTTGCATGCACAGGGAGCAAGCCCCCTTGCGTGCATGCACAGGGAGCAAGCCCCCTTGCGTGCATGCACAGGGAGCAAGCCCCCTTGCGTGCATGCACAGGGAGCAAGGCCCCTTGCATGCACAGGGAGCAGACCCCCTTGCTTGCATGCACAGGGAGCAAGCCCCCTTGCGTGCATGCACAGGGAGCAAGCCCCCTTGCATGCACAGGGAGCAAGCCCCCTTGCGTGCATGCACAGGGAGCAAGCCCCCTTGCGTGCATGCACAGGGAGCAAGCCCCCTTGCGTGCATGCACAGGGAGCAAGCCCCCTTGCGTGCATGCACAGGGAGCAAGGCCCCTTGCGTGCATGCACAGGGAGCAAGCCCCCTTGCGTGCATGCACAGGGAGCAAGCCCCCTTGCGTGCATGCACAGGGAGCAAGCCCCCTTGCGTGCATGCACAGGGAGCAAGCCCCCTGGCGTGCATGCACAGGGAGCAAGCCCCCTTGCGTGCATGCACAGGGAGCAAGGCCCCTTGCATGCACAGGGAGCAAACCCCCTTGCTTGCATGCACAGGGAGCAAGCCCCCTTGCGTGCATGCACAGGGAGCAAGCCCCCTTGCGTGCATGCACAGGGAGCAAGCCCCCTTGCGTGCATGCACAGGGAGCAAGCCCCCTTGCGTGCATGCACAGGGAGCAAGCCCCCTTGCGTGCATGCACAGGGAGCAAGCCCCCTTGCGTGCATGCACAGGGAGCAAGCCCACTTGCGTGCATGCACAGGGAGCAAGCCCCCTTGCGTGCATGCACAGGGAGCAAGGCCCCTTGCATGCACAGGGAGCAAGCCCCCTTGCTTGCATGCACAGGGAGCAAGCCCCCTTGCTTGCATGCACAGGGAGCAAGCCCCCTTGCGTGCATGCACAGGGAGCAAGCCCCCTTGCGTGCATGCACAGGGAGCAAGCCCCCTTGCATGCACAGGGAGCAAGCCCCCTTGCATGCACAGGGAGCAAGCCCCCTTGCGTGCATGCACAGGGAGCAAGCCCCCTTGCGTGCATGCACAGGGAGCAAGCCCCCTTGCGTGCATGCACAGGGAGCAAGCCCCCTTGCGTGCATGCACAGGGAGCAAGCCCCCTTGCGTGCATGCACAGGGAGCAAGCCCCCTTGCGTGCATGCACAGGGAGCAAGCCCCCTTGCGTGCATGCACAGGGAGCAAGCCCCCTTGCGTGCATGCACAGGGAGCAAGCCCCCTTGCGTGCATGCACAGGGAGCAAGCCCCCTTGCGTGCATGCACAGGGAGCAAGCCCCCTTGCGTGCATGCACAGGGAGCAAGCCCCCTTGCGTGCATGCACAGGGAGCAAGCCCCCTTGCGTGCATGCACAGGGAGCAAGCCCCCTTGCGTGCATGCACAGGGAGCAAGCCCCCTTGCGTGCATGCACAGGGAGCAAGCCCCCTTGCGTGCATGCACAGGGAGCAAGCCCCCTTGCGTGCATGCACAGGGAGCAAGCCCCCTTGCGTGCATGCACAGGGAGCAAGCCCCCTTGCGTGCATGCACAGGGAGCAAGCCCCCTTGCGTGCATGCACAGGGAGCAAGCCCCCTTGCGTGCATGCACAGGGAGCAAGCCCCCTTGCGTGCATGCACAGGGAGCAAGCCCCCTTGCGTGCATGCACAGGGAGCAAGCCCCCTTGCGTGCATGCACAGGGAGCAAGCCCCCTTGCGTGCATGCACAGGGAGCAAGCCCCCTTGCGTGCATGCACAGGGAGCAAGCCCCCTTGCGTGCATGCACAGGGAGCAAGCCCCCTTGCGTGCATGCACAGGGAGCAAGCCCCCTTGCGTGCATGCACAGGGAGCAAGCCCCCTTGCGTGCATGCACAGGGAGCAAGCCCCCTTGCGTGCATGCACAGGGAGCAAGCCCCCTTGCGTGCATGCACAGGGAGCAAGCCCCCTTGCTTGCATGCACAGGGAGCAAGCCCCCTTGCGTGCATGCACAGGGAGCAAGCCCCCTTGCGTGCATGCACAGGGAGCAAGCCCCCTTGCGTGCATGCACAGGGAGCAAGCCCCCTTGCGTGCATGCACAGGGAGCAAGCCCCCTTGCGTGCATGCACAGGGAGCAAGCCCCCTTGCGTGCATGAAAGGGGGATGAAGATGGCCTCACTCACTGTGCGCCCCCACCCTCTTGAACATTCTAATTGCTAGCGCCCGCCACCCTTGTAAAAACGCACCTGGTGCGCGAGAATGAAGTAGTAGAGCATTCCCAAAGTAGCAGCGGCACTGCACTGTTCGTCAGGGGCGAACAGGCCCACCAGCAGCATGGGGTTGATAAGAGTGCGGTGGAGTGCGGTGCGGTGTGGTGCCCACCTGATGCGCGAGAATGAAGTAGTAGAGCATTCCCAAAGTAGCAGCGGCACTGCACTGTTCGTCAGGGGCGAACAGGCCCACCAGCAGCATGGGGTTGATAAGAGTGCGGTGGAGTGCGGTGCGGTGTGGTGCCCACCTGATGCGCGAGAATGAAGTAATAGAGCATTCCCAAAGTAGCAGCAGCGCTGCACTGCTCGCCTGGAGCGAACAGCCCCACCAACAGCATGGGGTTGAATGCCTCTCGGTAAACCCGGTCCGTGCACCCATACTGCTTGAACAACTCCCTGGCCGTCACTGCAAGATAGGGAAAGGTGGAGTGTGGTGCAATGTGGTGTGGTGCAGTGTGGTGTGATTAGGGGACAAGAGGAGGCGAACAGCCCGACGAGCAGCATGGGGTTGAAGGCATCTCGATACACGAGATCCATGCACCCACACTGCTTGAACAGCTCCCTCGCTGTTACTGCGTGGAGTAGAGGGGTGTTGAGTGTGGTGTGGTGCGGTGCAGTGTTGTGTGGTGTGGGTAAACGGAATTGGGGGCCATGAGGAGCAAACAGCCCCACGAGCAGCATGGGGTTGAAAGCTTCCCTGTAGATCTGGTCCGTGCACCCATGCTGCTTGAACAACTCCCTTGCCGCTACTGCATGGGTTAGGGGTAGAGTGTGGTGTGGTGCAATGAGGTGTGAGCGGGGATGTTGGGAGACATGAGTTGCGAGCAGCATGGGGTTAAGTGCTTCCCTGTAGACCCGATCTGTGCACCCATACTGCTTGAACAGCTCCCTTGCCGTTACTGCGTGGGATAGGGGTAGAGCGTGTTGCAGTGTGGTGCACTGCAATGCGGTGCAGCGCGGTGTGAGTGGGTATGTTGGGAGCCATGAGGAGCGAACAGCCCCACCAGCAGCATGGGGTTGAATGCCTCTCGATACACGCGGTCCGCGCACCCATACTGCTTGAACAACTCCCTTGCCGTTACTGCATGGGGTAACAGGGGATAGGGCGTGTGTGGTGCAGTGCGGTGCCGTGGGATGAGGTGTAGTGTGGTGCGGAGTGGTGTGGTGTGGTGCCGGAAGGTGGGTGTGGGGCATGAGGAGCAAACGGCAAATGAAGTGAGGGAACAAATGGAGTGAGGGAAGGATAGGCAGGTGGGAAGAGGGAGGGTTAGAGAGGGAAGACGGATGCTGAGTCAAAGGAAGAGAGAGAGAACTACTTTTGAGAATTCTCAGAAGAAAAGGAAGGCTGAGGGGGACGAGGACTCACGTCTGTCGTATCGGCGCCACGCGTCATCACTGTTGTCAAAATCAACCACTGTTGATAGACACGCATGTATAACAGTAGAAGATAGAAGAGAGAGCGATAATAACGAGGATGTATGTGTGGAGGTTGTGAATGAGTTGTCACTGTTGTTATAACGGGGATAAACATGAGGAGGGGGAGAGAGCAGAGAAACGGGACATTAAAACGGCCACAAGAAAAGAACCGGCACCCACAAGCAGCAGCAGGGTTCGGCACACACTGGGAGAAGGGTGTGTGGCACGACATTCAGGTAGATGTGTCAACACAAGCAGCACGGCGCAGCACTCACTGTGCTGGCTGGCAGTTCAGCACTGGCTGCTGGCAGGGGGAGATCACTCACTGGCGTACATGAGGGCGAGCGCTGACAGCCTGTCCGCCAGAGGCAGGCGCTTGAACTGCAGGGGAGCGAATGAGCAAGAGTGGGGGGGGTTAGCGGCGGGAGGGCGGCGGGGGGGCGGCGGGGGGGCCGGGCGTGGGGAGGCAGCGAATGACGGGGCAATGGCACACACGAGTGGGACTAGGCAGTGTGAGAAGGTCCTGGAAGATTGGGGATTCCACCTCCATGCAAGTTGACTTTTGAGTCGACTCAAAAGTCATGACGGGGCAATGGCACACACGAATGGGACTAGGCAGTGTGAGAAGGTCCTGGAAGGATGGGGTTTCCACCTCCATGCCAGCAGGCGAGTACTGCGCTGCGCTGCACCTACCCACACACATACCCACATACACACACACACACTGATACCCACCTGCCACCACACGCCTACGTGCGTCCGGACAAACGTGCCCTCAATGGACTAGGCAGCCTTGGCAGCCTTGGCCCTCAATGGGAGATGGGCGACTCCACCTCCACGCCAGCAGGCGAGTACTGCGCTGCGCTGAGCTGAGGTGAGCTGAGGTGAGCTGAGGTGAGCTGAGGTGAGCTGAGGTGAGCTGAGCTGAGCTGAGCTGAGCTGAGCTGAGCTGAGCTGAGCTGAGCTGAGGTGAGCTGAGGTGAGCTGAGCTAAGCTGAGCTGAGGTGAGCTGAGGTGAGCTGAGCTGAGCTGAGCTGAGCTGAGCTGAGCTGAGCTGAGCTGAGCTGAGGTGAGCTGAGCTGAGGTGAGGTGAGGTGACCGCACATACCCACCCGCGCTCACCCACTCTGTTGCCCACCTGCCACCAGTCACCCACCTGCGTCCACCTTCAGCCCTGCACACGAGTACTGCGCTGCGCTGAGCTGACAACACCCACCCACCCACCTACTCACCCACCCTGTTGCCCCGCTGCCACCAGACGGACACCCTCCCACCTGCGTCCAGACAAAGGTGCCGAGAGGACTAGGCAGCCGCGGTTTTTGAGTCGACTCAAAAGGCAGCCGCGGAAGGTCCTGGAAGATTGGTGATTCCACCTCCACACCACGCCAGCAGGCGAGCACTAGCTGCGCACGTAGCCGAAGGCGCGCAGTGACTATTGCTGCATGCCAAACTGACCCACCTGCGTCCACACGGAGGTGCCGAGAGGACTCGGCAGCTGCGGAAGGTCCTGGAAGATGGGCGACTCCACTTCCAGCCCCGCAGTACCTTCCGAAGGTACTATTGTACTGCGCTGCACTGCGCTGAGATTCACCTACAAACCCACCCACCCTGTTGTTGGATGCAAGCACCTGCCACCACGCACCCACCTGCCACCAGTCACCCACCTGTGTCCAGACAAATGTTCCCAGAGGGGACGGCAATCTGGGCAGGTCCTGGAAGATTGGCGACTCCACCTCCAAGCCGGCAGGCGAGTACTGCGCTGAGCGCGTCCAGTCTGTGAAGGGCTTTAAGCCCAGCTCGTCCGTCAGAGCGAAGATGTTCCTGTAGGGGTACCAGAAGCCTGGGGGGGGGAAGAGTGGAGAGGTGTGGATCGGAGGGTTGGTTGATACTAGAGCAGGTGAGAACGCCAGCAGGCGAGTACTGTGCTGAAAGCGTCCAGTCAGTGAAGGGCTTTAAGCCCAGCTCGTCCGTCAGTGCGAAGATGTTCCTGTAGGGGTACCAGAAACCTGTGGGGGTGGCGGAGAGGGGGAGAATTGACACGTGCTTTCTCTTCCGAGCGCATCCATTCTGTAAAGGGTTTTGAACCCAGCTCATCTGTTAGCGCGAAGATGTTTGTACAGGGGTACCAGAAACCTGAGGGAAAGAGAGAGAGTTGACATGATTGTATGGTACTTTGCAAGTATCAGTGAAGGGCTTCAGCCCCAGCTCGTCCGTTATAGCCAAGATGTTTTTATAGGGGTACCAGAAGCCTGGTGGGGGGCAGGGGGAAGAGTTGACAGAGTGCCCGCACCATGACTCCCCAGCCTCCACCGGCTGCCCTTTCTGCCATGAACTGCAACCAGTTTATCAAAGACACACCACACCACACCACACCAGTTCGTCTCCTCGTCCATCCCCATACATCCCTTCTCCCCATCACCCACCGTGAATTCCCACCTTCACCGGATCCCATTCCCTCATGAACCGCTATCACTGCATGAGTCACACACCCCACCAAGCATTGTCCCCTGATCCGTCTCCACCCCTCTCCACCCGTCTGCACCCATCCCCAACCATGTATATCACCCCTCACCGCACTTCACCGCACTTCACCACACGCACCGTGAATGCCCACCTCCACGGGCTTCCCCTTGTCGCTCCGCCAACCCGCCACCAGCCCGCCCGGCTGCCGCCCCGCCTCCAGCAACGTCACGTCGTACCCCTGCCAGGTCATCGCCGTGCCACGTCAGCACGGGGGACAGAATTCACGCCGCAAATTGCGCTGATAGCTAAGTTTACTTCAATCCTACTCACGAGTGACCGTGGCGACAATGACGAATATGCTTGAAGCTACGGAATACCGTCTTCGATTCACATCCCAAAGTCTCCACTCGGGGCGTTGTTTCGTGAGGTGGTGCGCGGCGCCGAGGCCAGCCCACCCCGCGCCGATCACCACCACCTTCCTGCCGTCACTGCCGCCGCTTTCCGCGCTCACTCCTTTCTCTGTGCTTCATTCCAATTCAATATCGAAACCCTGATTTGATTGCACATGGGGTTCTAACTTACATTAGCGCTGCCTTCTGTCATGGCGTATGTTCGCAACGCGACGACATCCATTCGTACATACATGCACTGTGCAAGGCGGCGTTCATGACTGGACAGCTGTCAATGCCAAAAAATGTCTTGCCGCACCATGCGTGTCATTTGGTCGGTCAGGCATCGTGTTTGCCTCCTCCCCAGTAACATTCTTGTGGTCAGCAGCGACAACTGTTTTTTGCGAAAGCAGCCCCTCATCCTTGCCTGGTCTGCGACTGGTAGACAACCTTGGCGAATGTAATTGGCGTCGGTATGTGGTCTGCGAAATACTTCACAGATTTAAAATTACACGGAGTTACCCCAGCGAGGCCAAGAAGGGAAGAACGCGGCTGCTGAAGTGGAAAGCTCCTGTCTCCCAGTCACACCTCCATTCGTCTCGTCTCGTCTCGAGGCTTCCCTTCAGCCTCGAGATTCCCCTCTTGATAAACGGATAAACGATAAACGGATTGTAAGACAGAACCAAGGGAGAGTTATGGGATGAACAAGGTCTTCAAGGCAGAAGTTACCGAAGGAGAGTTCCACCACAATTGTTCACATTTCTTGCGGCGATTGTAATGACTGCGATTCGTAGGCATGGCGAGACTTCGTACGGTACCAGGTCCGGCCCTAAAGCGAGTATCGAAGCGAGCGTATTCGGAAGCGTAGCTCATGCCCTCCGCCTTTTGTCCCTCAGATCCCCCGAATCTGACTCCGTGCGATCTCACTGTGCTGTAGTCAGCGGCATGCTCGGTCGCTCTGCAGCTGCATGTGAAGGACAGCGGGGCAGGCTTAGACTCCACGTCAGTCTGATTGTGTGCTCGAATCTCAGCGACCGCAGCTAGCTCCTCCCTATATCAAGGGCCACACATACCGGCCACTCGTCCGGCTCTTCCGCATCAACTGCGTCGTCAAGAATCTGACTCCGCGCTACGTCCTTTCTTTTTCCGAAGCGTCCTTCTGTCCGCATGCTTGACACGTCACATTTAATTCTTCCCCTCCCGCCCGTCCATTAATTGACGCAATAACAGCCACCATTTCAAGGCGGAAGTTTCCCGCCTCGGCCCTGCAGTCCAGCCCAGAAGTTGCTTCTCAAACACGCCTTCCTGTTCTCTAGTTCCGTGACGCACACGCTTTTTAACGGTCCTCAATTCTCTTGTTTGCACGCCCCGTGCCAGCTGTACAGCCTTTAACAAACGGGCGTCCAACTGGTTGCTCCCTGCAGAAAGCGGCAGGCGGGAGTCGAAGAGCGGGAAGCTGCTCGAAGCAGCAGGCAGGCACTAGAAGCAGCCAGCAGCACGGCAAGGACTAGAAGCATGCCCGCCTGACTGCCGTTAGCCACTCTCTCGTTTTGGACCTGTCTGTCTTTCTGTTTGTCTCGTTCTGTCCGTCTCACGTGGCGAGAGGGCCTTTCCTACGCCATTCCCTAAGCCCCATCCGAGGCGCCATTCCCTAAGCCCCATCCGAGGCGCCATTCCCTAAGCGCCATGCCTGCGAGGTGGCTATGGAAGTTGGTGGCTCCGCGCCTGTCTCCCCGCGAGGCCCTCAATCGCGACTCTTCTTCCGCGGAGGGGCGGGAGGGGGGAGCACGTGAGGGGCGGGAGGCGGAAGCACGCGAGAGACGGGAGGGACACCACGTGTCATTCGCTACCACTGCGATTGTTTCCACGGATGGCCAACGGCAGCAGCAACAGCAGCAGAAACAGCAGCTATGGCAGAAGCAGCAGCAACAGGAGCAGCAGCACTTTGACTATAGCAACTCACGCGATAGACGGGGCGAGACAGCCGTTGATTGCAGCACCATGAGTAGCGGATTCAACGGCGTAGGTCTCTTTGAATCAAGCCTTGCGTCATGCACGCCCTCTCGCCTCGATGCGTCCGGCAATCCCGTTCCGAGGTCACGCGCGGCTGCTGATTCGCCCAACGAGCCGCCCTCGACGTCCAATTGGCGGGAATTAGGGGGCGTAGCGCGAGCCACTAGGGGTCTCGAGAGCGTGGGGGAGGTAACTCTTGAAAGCGTGGATTTGCAGCAAGTGCGGGAGCGGCGGCGCCAGAGGAAGGAGCAGCGCGCGCTTCGACAAGCGGCGGCGGCGACCGCGAATCTAATGGGGCGGTCGACGACTGGGAGCAGTAGCTCGGAGAATTTGGCGGTTTTCACGGCGGGGGTTGCGGACTCGGACTCAGCAGCCGCGACGCCGCGGGGGCCGAGGCAGCGAAGCTTAACGACGTCCGCCGTCGGCGGAGTGTACGATAGCAAGAAATTAGGAGACGTCATGAGATTAGGTAGCGGGATCTTACGCGGGGAGGCGCGCGGCGATAGGGGGGCAACGAAGGCTCACGCGGAACGCGAGCAGGAGCGCGATGTCCGCCGGCCGCCCAGCCCCGGGTGGGCAAGACGGACGGTTGGTTGGGGGACGGGGAAGGACGCGGGGGAGAGCAGGGGGGGGAGCTGCAAGGAAAGCAGGGGGGTCGCGCGCGCAGGCAGCGGGAAAGGCGAGGGGAAGTCAGGCGCGGAAGCGGAAGATTACAAGAGCGTGGGGCAATGGATGCGCACGCGCGTTCACAAGGCAAGAGATGCGCGGGCAGCGGGGAAGGCGGGGGGAGCGGACGCCGCATCGCAAGGGAGAGCCCTTGTAAGGCGCGCCACTTTTGGAGGAAGCTGCCAGGTGGCTTCGACAGCGAGCGCGTGGTGTGATGACGTGGCAGCGGGAAGCGGGAAAACGGGCAGCAAAGAATTACAAGAGAGCAGCGACAGCAGCAGCAGGAAGGGAGGGAATAGCAGCAGCAGCAGCAGGAGGAGCAGTGGCAGGAGGCGGAGGGGAAGAGGGAGGCGCGCGAGGGAGGGAAAGGCGAAGGGAAAGGGGGAGGAAAGGGACGAGGAGTGGAGGTTAGCGGGAGAAGCCATGGCTCGAGTGGAAACCGGCATGTTCGGGCATGGGAATCACAGTGGATGTAACCATGGGGTGGTAACCACCTTCCGCATGTGGGGCGCGGCTCAAGACCTTGCAAGCGCTCCACATGGCCTGTGTGACCCTGCTGCTGCTGCTGCGGCTGCTGCTGCTGCTGCTGCTGGTGATGATGATGATTCTGCTGCTGCTGCTGGCGTTACTGCTTGTGGTGGTGACAGCACCAGATCCGCTGTTGGCAGTTATGAGAGGGGCGATGGCGCTCTGTTAACCAGCGTGGAGAAATACTCGAGCTTCAGCGACGTGGGCGCGATTGCAATCACGGGGCGCAGAAGCCACCGCAGAGACAGCAGCGCCTTTGTGTGTCGCTCCGAGGCGTATCTAGACGCGCTCTCAGAGGCTATAGCTACCGGCCTGGCGTCCAGAGCTGTGACGTTCCTTGCCGACCAGATTTCGTCCGGCCAATGGGATGCTCCGATGCCTCCCCTGCTGCTGCACCAATCAGAGGCTCAGCCTGAGATTCGGTTGGATTGTGCTGCTGGTGCTGGTGATGCTGCTGGTGCTGAGGGCAATGAGTCATTACGTGTAGCTGCTGGTGTGGAAGCCACGTCAGCGGATGACATGGCATGCTCGGGTGGCACTGATGCTGTTGCTGCATCATCTTCCCTTTATGCTGCTGCTGCTGGAGCTGGGGGTGCCGCTTGTGCTTCTGCTGTGAGATACATTTCAGTTTCAAGTGTGGACCACTTGAAGGCAGCAGCAGCAACAGCAACAGCAGCAGCAACAGGCGAGGACGACTTGCTACACCCTGTACCCCTTATAGACCTGGTCCAAGATGAGCTCACAATAAGCGACAGCAGCAGCCCGTACGATCCAAGCACCTTTGAGAAGGCATTGTTATCCATCCCCACCCCTTTCAACCCCACCACTACCACCACCACCGACAGCAGCAGCAAGCATTTGCCCAGTGAATTGACTAGCATCCAGACTCCTCGAGCAGGTGTTACAGATGGGGTAACCGGGCGGTTGAATGCGGTAACCAAAGGCGCTGGTCCGGGGCGAATGAGCATGCGAATGAGCCATCCCGGGAGGAGGGTTGGCGTTACGGGGAGGGTGAGCATAACGGGCCGATCTAGCAACAGCTTGGGTCGACCCGGTACTAGCAGGGGCTTGACCCAACCCGTTACTGGCAGTGGTAACAGAAGCAGCACAATTAGGGCAAGTCCTCTTAGTCGGGAGAGCACTGGGAGAGGAACCCCTGTGGTTACACCTCATGCTGGTAACACAGGTGGTAACTCAGGTGAAATTGCAGGTGAAAATTCAGGTGGTAGTTCAGGTGGTAATCAGCCCCCTGTCACAAGTCCACCCAGTGTCACTGCTCCAGCTGGTAACCCTTTTACAACCCACGCTGGCAACCCTGTGTTTAGCCGTAGTGGTAACCTGGTTACCACCACCACTGGGCGTGTGATCACCGGTCGCAGCAACGTGACAGGAAGACCATCTATTTCCGGGCGGCCATCTATTTCCGGGCGGCCATCCATTTCCGGGCGGCCGTCTATTTCCGGGCGGCCATCCATTTCCGGGCGGCCATCCATTTCCGGGCGGCCATCCATTTCCGGGCGGCCGTCTATTTCCGGGCGGCCATGTGAGGGGTTCAGTGTGCGACCCAGACGAAGGTGCAGCATGGTGTGGGCGGCAGGGGGAGCAGGAGGTGGGGCGGGAGGCGGAGGAGGAGGCGGGGGGCTGAGGAGCTATCTACTAGACCCGAGGCAGCACCAGCAGTACCAGCAGCATGTGCAGCGGCAGCTTAGCAGCTCGGTGCAGAGCGGTGGAGAGCGGTGGACGGGCCAGGGGATGAACAGGGATGAGGAGGGAGGAGGAGAGGAGGAAAGAGGGGTGTGGGAGGCAGAAGGTCTTGCCTTTCGTCTCGGGTTTGGGAGTGCGCAAGGAGGGCTAGGAGGGCAAGGGGCAACAACGCTGAGTCGTGCCAGCCTGGGCCTGGCACGTGCTGACTCACGCATGGGATCGCTGACGCCGAGTGACAGGTCAGCGCTCGATGAGTCGGTGTTTGTCGGCAGTATTGGCCACCTGGCGACTTTGGGCAGCGCACTGGCAGGAGAAGCTGTTGGTGGGGCCCCTTCTCCTGCTGACGTGGCACTTTCTTCTGCCTTACCCATTCTCGCTGCTGCTGCTGGTGCCACCACCACCGCTGCTGCTGCACCGAACGAACCTTTGAAAGATTCTCCAGAACCTGTCAACGAGGCAGCTTCGGCCGCAGCAGCCAGAGTTGCCGAACCTGCTCATCCATTTCCGCATACAGTCTCGGGTGACTATACCGAGCTGGGTGCGCCTGTAAAGAGGACAAGCAGCAGGGCAGACCGGTTAAGAAAAGAGGTGGCGGAGTGGAATGGGGAGTGGGAGGATGCAGCAGCAGGGGGTGTGTCACTGGTCTATGAGGGGCAGCGGAGTGGGAGGGGAGGTGTGATGGAGAAAGGGGTGGACAGTCAGGTATTGGAGCACGGTGCAGTCAGTGGGCCAAGGTACACTCAGCGGTTAAGCAAGCAGCATAGCCAGAAGCACAGCCAGCAGCACAGCCAGCAGCACAGCCAGCAGCACAGCCAGCGTCATTCCCTTCAGCACGCGAGCCAGCAGCACAGCAGGAAGCACAGGGCAAAGCATAATGACAGCAACAGCAGCAGCGCCCTCACCACCAGCACCAGCAGTAACGGTCACAAGGACGCCTACCCGCCGTCCACCCCGCCGCCGCTCTCCCACTGGCGACAGTTGGTGATCTGCCTGTGGTGCCTGCTGGCTGGACTTGCTCTCATTGCCATTGTGCTTCTCATCGGAATTCTCGCCATGGGAGGGGGTCCGGAGGCGGGGGCGGAGGCAGGGGCGGCGGCAGGGGGAGGCGCAGGGGGAGGCGCAGGGGGAATGGCGGCTGGAGTGGGAGATGGAGGTGCTCTGGAGTTCTGGGCGCAGGAGAGTCACCCGCTGCTGCAGCCGCTGTATTCTTATCAGCACCACCAGCAGCACCACCAGTACCAGCAGCAGCAGTACCAACAGCAGCAACGGCAGCAACAGCGAGTGCAGTTTGGGTTTGGCTTGCAGGTAAACGTGGTCTGAGGGGGGGGGACTTGCTATTTAGAATCACCCTTCATCCTTACCTAGCGCTCTTTCACTGTTTTTTTCACATGCTAAACCGTCTCCTCCTACACTGCTACCTGCTGGAAATGTCTGATGATCGCATGTTTGGTTTGTCTTATACTCTGCTTGCAGGTCTCCGTCGTGTGCGGGGGCTATTGTTCTGAGTCGACTCAAAACACATGCGGGGGGCTATTGTTCGCAATCACCCTCGTGACGTGCTGCCTGTGGGCGATGTGGGAGGTGGCAGAGCGCATGGAAGTGAAAGTGATTGTTGGTCTCATATTTTAACTCTCTGATTCTCTCTTTGCAGGTGTCTGTGGTGTGTGGCGGCCTGCTATTCGCAATCGCCCTGGTGACGTGCTGCCTGTGGGCCATGTGGGAGGTGGCAGAGCGAATGGAAGCTCACACGGCGAAGCACCTCACGGAGCTGGCTGCTGCCAGGGCCACGCAGGAGGGGGCAGTCCGGGCCAAGAAGGAATTTCTCGGATGCATCTCGCATGAGATTCGGACCCCAATCAACGGGATTATAGGTGAGTGCGCAGCGTGTGTGGGAGTAGAGAGAGGGGACAAGCCGCGCCAAGGAGTACAGAGGAGTCGAGAGAGGGTGCATTTTTCACAAGATTCGCACCCCAATCAACAGGATTATAGGTGAGTGCGCAGCGTGTGTGGGAGTAGGGGTGAGTCCGCTGCTCTCCCTTCCTTCCTTCCCACACCAACCTCCTGCTCTTCCCCCCATCCCCCTCCCCCCAGATCAGGCATGCTGCATCTGCTGGTGGAAGAGTGCGAGCCGGATCAGGATCAGAGAGACACAATCAACACTAGTACAGGCGCCACTCCCTTTTCCTTCCCACCCACATCAACCTCTTGCTCCCCCTTGTCCCCTTGCATGTTTCTTCCCCAACAGGCATGCTGCAAATGTTGGTGGAGGAGTGCGACCTGGATTAGGACCAGAGAGACGCAATCAACACTGTGCTGCTCTCCATTTCCTTCCCTCCCACCCACACCAACCTGCGCTGCTCTCCATTTCTTTTCCCTGTCCCCCTTCCCTCGAACAGGCATGCTGCAACTGTTGGTGGAGGAGTGTGAGCTAGCTAGACCAGGATCAGAGGGATGCGATCGACGCTGCGCTGCTCTTCCCTTGCTCACCCCCTTATGTCGCCCTCCTCGTTCTCGACCCCCAACAGGCATGTTGCAACTGTTAGTCGAAGAGTGTGAGCTAGCTAGACCAGGATCAGAGGGATGCGATCGACTCTGCGCTGCTCTCCCTTTCCTTTCTCTGGCACCCACCTTCTGCTCTTTCCCTGTCCCCCTTCCCCGTGTTCCTTCCCTTCATCAGGCATGCTGCAGCTATTAGTCGAAGAGTGCGAGTTGGATCAGGATCAGAGAGACGCAATCGACACTGCGCTGCTCTCCTGCTGGACGCTCACTGACTGGCTGGCAAAGTTTGTCTATTCTGAGGTAGGTATATCTACCGCGCTCTCCACTGCTGGGAGCAGTTCCCACCTGAGCGGTAACAGCGGTGCGACTGGTAACAGTAACAGCTACAGTATCAGTAACCGTAACGTCGGCGGTAACGGTAACAGTGGGAGGAGGAACAGTAACACTCTGAGTGGCAATCGCGCTGGTGTGACTCAGGCCCACGTCAGCAGTCCTGGTGGTGACGCCAGCAAGGGTGGTGTTCCTGTTTCTCGCTCGGGCAGTGGCGGCAAAAGTTTCCTCTTGTTCCCTGCGGCTGTGAGGGTTTCGGGCAGGATCAGCCGGACGTTTTCGGGCAGACGAGAGGATCTGGGGCGGAGAGCGGTGGAGAGAGAGAAAGGGAGGCTTGCTGAGGGAGGGAAAGAGAGAGAGAGGGAGAAGGAAGGGGAGAAGGAGAAAGGGGGAGAAGTACTGAAGGAAGGAGAGAGGGAGGGTGTGAGTGGGAAGCAGAGGAGAATGTCTAGGGTATGGTCTAGAAGGAAAAGCTACCAGAGACCTGCAGGGGCAAGAGCGGACAAGGCTGCTGAAGCAGCAGCGGTGGCGGCAGCAGCAGCAGCAGCAGCACAAGCAGCAGCACCAGCAGCAGCAGCAGCAGCAGCACAAGCAGCAGCAGCGGCAGCACCATCAGCAGCAGCACCAGCAGCAGCCGCAGGGATAAACGATGGAGCTGTGGCTGCTGATTGGTCTTCTGGCGCTGCTGCTGATGGGGCCTGCTCAGCTGCCACTGCTCTTGACCCTGTGCCGCCCCTTGCTGTGACTGACGCCCAGCAGGCGAATGTGGACAACCAGCAGGCAAGCGGTTCAGGTGCAGTGAATGTGGACAACCAGCAGGCAAGCGGTTCAGGTGCAGTGAATGTGGACAGGAACCAGAATGACCTAAGCCCTCTGGGAACCTCCTCCTCTGCCTCCACCCCTTCCTCGCTTTCCCTCTCCACCTCCTCACTCGCCCCTTCCCGTCCTTCACAGAACCCCACCCTCCTCGTCCCATCGTTTCCTGGAAGCTTCACGACCGTCACAATACCCCCTTCTTCTCCTCTGGCATCACACAAGCTCCCACTGCCAGTCCCCTCCTTCCCTCCCACCCACCTTCCCACCACTCCTCTCACTCCTTCCACCTATTCCCTCCTCCCCCATCCCGTCCCTGCCTCCCCTCTCCCCTCCTCTCTCACTCCCGGTTCTCTTTCCACCTCCTCCTCCTCATCCTCCCTCGCGCTCTCGTCCCCACGCCTCGTTTCCATCCCTCCTTCGGCTAACCCCTCTGCTGCAGCAGCGACCATTGCTGCGGTAGCAGCAGGAGCAAGGGCGAATGATCCTCCCGTTATTGCAGTGAGAGGAGGGGAGGCGGGAGTGCTGAGACCAGAATTAGAGAGGAGAGGGAGGATTGGGGAGGAGGGGGCAACGAAGTTGCTGGTTGGCGCTGCTAGGAGCAGCTCTGAGAGCTCTGAGGAGGCTTGGCCGGCACAGGAGGGACAGATGCAGGAGGGAGGGAGGCAGCAGGAGGGAGGGAGACAACAGGAGGGGGAGAGGCAGCAGGAGCAAGCGAATCTGCGGGGGATGAGGGAGCAGGTCCTTCCGAGCCAGTTCTCAGGTTCGGTGGGCGCAATTCCAAGCCTCTCACGGCCGTTTATCAGACCTTTGGTCAGTCCGAGGCTAGACCAGAGGCAAGGAGCCAGAGGAGAGGCTCGGACCCCAGAAGCTAGGTTTGGAATCGGCCTGGGAGGTCTGGAGGTGGCAGCTTCAGCAGCAACTTCTTCGGCAACAGCCGTGGCAGCCTTATCAGAAGCAACTGCAGCGTCTGAAGCATCAGGTGCGGCAGGAGCAGCAGAAGCAGCGGCAGCAGCAGCATCAGGTTCGGCAGGAGCAGCAGAAGCAGCGGCAGCAGCAGCATCAGGTTCGGCAGGAGCAGCAGAAGCAGCGGCAGCAGCAGCATCAGGTTCGGCAGGAGCAGCAGAAGCAGCGGCAGCAGCAGCATCAGGTTCGGCAGGAGCGTCTGTACTCCCGAGGCTTCCGTCCCCGGTTCGGCAGAGGGTGGAGCAGCAGGTTCGGGCGGTGTTCCGATCCTTGACTCCTGCTCGGTGGGGGGAGTCGGGCAAGAGAGCCTCTGCTGCAGCAGCAGCAGCAGTTGTGGCTGGGTCTCCTACTGGTATCACCACTGATAAGACCAGTGGTGCTGGGGACTATTCTGCTATTGCTGCCAACTCTGGTGCTGGCGGTGATGCTGGAGTTAGTGGTAATGCTGGGGATGCTCCTCCTGCTGCTGGTACCAGATTTTTTGCTGCCTCTGCATCAGCAGCAGCAGCACAGGCAGAGGAACCAGCAGGGCAACATGTGGCTGATAGTGATGATGTTGGTAACCAGCCTGGTAACCAGTCTCCGCAAAACCTGGCGTGGTACAGTGGTGCTGGTAACCAGCCTGGTAACCAGCCTGCTAACCAACCTGGTAACCAGTCTGGTAACCAGGCTCTTGGGGCTGTGGGGTGTGTAAGTGAGGGAGAGGGGCCTGGTGCACGGTCTAGTGCCCATGGTCAGGGCCTTGTTTCTCCTGACAGGAGTGCTGCTTCGAATCTACTGGCTACTGCTGCTGTTGCTGCTGCTGTTGCTGCTGCTGAAACAAGAGAGGATGTGGGGTACGTGAGCGGTGATAGCGGTTACGCCAGTGGTGCTGGTGGTTATGTCAGCGGTGACGCTGGGTATGTGAGCGGTGACAGCGGCTACACCAGCAGTAGTTCCACTGGTGGCAGGGGGTTGGCTCGAGGGAGGGGTGTGGTGGGTGGAAGCAGCAGCACAAGCAGCACAAGCAACACCAGCAGCAGCCAGCGTTCTGGGGGTGGTAAGTTTAGCAGAATGGGCAAGTACCGGATTGGCAGCAGTCACAGCACCAGCAGCCTTGCCTGCAGCATTGTCAGTAAAGCGAAGGTGGTTGTGGGTGATAGTAGCGGAGCAAGGGTTGCTGCAGGCGATAGCAGCAGTGGTTTCGGCGGTGTGAGTGTGACTAGAGCTGCTACAGATAATAGTAACGTTAGCAGGATTGTGAGTAAAACGGGTGATAGCAGTTTCAGTATATCAAGAGCGGCTACATCTGGCAATAGCGGTAGCAGGACTGTGATAAAAACGAAAGCTCCTATAGGTGGCAGTAGCGGTATCGGTTTGACTAGGGCTGCTACGGATGAGAGCAGCGGTAGCAGGACTGTGAGTATAACGAGGGCTGCCACAGGTGATAGTAACGGTAGCAGGACAGTCAGTAAAGGGTTGCAGAGTTGGAAGGAGAGGAGGAGAAAGGAGAGGGAAGGGTACCCTTCTGCTTCTCACCTGGGCATGCCTGGTGCTGCTGGTAGCAGCAGGGAGGTTTGTGTCGGGGGAGGTACAACTGGGGAGGGTAAAGCTGGGGAAGACTTGTGGGGTGGAGGGGAGGTGGTGTCTGGGAGTGGGTTGGCTGCTACCCCCTCCTCCTGGTCCTCTGAGATGGATCTTCTGATTGGTGGACGGTGGGGAGGGGATGGTGGGAGAGGAGAGGGGAGTGGAGGAATTGCGTTAAGAGGGGAGGGGAATGAAGGAGGAAGGGAATTCGTGAAGGATGGGAGCGAAAAGGCGAGAGGGGAAGAGGGAGAGGGGGAGGGAGAGGATGCAGAAAGGGGGGAGGAGGTGGAGATTAGACGAGCCAAGACTCTGGAAGCCGACTGGTCGGGGCGACGAGGCGGGACAAGAGGAGTGACGTTCGCAGAAGCAGACGAGGAGGGGCGGTCAGGGGAGGAGGGGGAAGGAAGGGTGAGGGAGCAGAGGTTGGGAAGCAGAGCGCGGTTTCCAGATATGGTGGTGGTTGAGGAGCAAGGGGGCATGGAGCCCTTCCAGGTTCAAGCAACTTGAAGGGTACGGATGGGTACACGAGGGGTTCAGATGGGTACTTGAGCAGTCCAGGCAGCACAGCCAGCAGCAGGAGTCAGGCCCAGTCGCACCGGTTCCCATCCCCTTCTGGTAGCTGGAGCCCTGCTCTCCCCACTGCTGCTGCTGCTGCTGCTGCTCCTTCCGCTTCCCCGTCCTCTTCTCCCTCCTCCTTGCCCTTCTCCTCTGCGTGCGTTCCACCTTCCACTCTCACAGCTACTGATGTTGCACCTACAGCACCTGATGAGAATCTTCTACCTGCTCTTTCACCTGAATGCACGCATTGCCCTGCCCTCCCTGCATCCTTGGCCGCCTCCTCTTTCTCGCCTGCCGCCTCTCCCCCTGCTCACATCACTGCTCCCACGGTGAGCTATAGGGAGCTAGCAGCAGCTGCTACTGCTGTGCCTGCGGCGGATTTCTCAGCTGGACACGAAGCAGTTAAGGTTCCAGTGGCTGGGGCTGTAGCAACACGGGCTGTACCGTTGCCAGCGGCACCGTCCTTGACTGACCTGGTACAGGAGGAGTTTGCTGCTGCTGCTACTGCTGCTGCTACAGCTGCAATAGCTGTTGATGACATTTATGATGAAGCAGAAGAGTGTGATGAGAGGGAGGAGGAGAGGAGGGAGCAGGAGGGTCAACGAGTGGGAGAGGAAGCAGGGAGAGCCGCTGAAGACAGAGGTAGCAGCGCGGGGGGAGAGAGGACAAGAAGGCAGGAGACGCGGGGGGGTCCAGGGCTCCTGGACCTCAAAACACCAGGGTCTGAAACAGGGAACCACCACCAGGGCGGCCAAATCTCCCCCGAAACCACGCGCGAAACCTCCTCCGAAACACCGCAGGCCTCCTCCGCGGATTCAAATCAAGCAGGGCAGGTGGACGAGCTGAGCCAAGCAGGGCAGGTGGACGAGCCGAGCCAAGCTCCCGCCCCGCCACTCTCCCCAAGGACCCTCACGGCACGGTTGAAAGGGCGACGGGTACTTTTGGTGGATGACAACGCGGTGAACCGCAAGGTGGTGCTGGCGAAGCTACGGCCGTACGGCATGGTGGGCGTGCAGGCAGAGAATGGCTGTGTTGCAGTGGAGAAGTTTTTAGAGGGGATGAAGGAAGGCGGAGACGCGGGTGTAGGGGGTGGGGGTGGTGGGGGGAGTGAGGGAGGTGGAGGGGGTGAAGGAGGTGGAGGGGACGGGTTTGTGTGCGTCTTTATGGACCTTCAGGTGTGTGCTCCTGGCTTTCTACCCATCTACACCCACCTACACCCACTTCCCCTTAGCACTTCAAAATTCCCACTCCCACTTCCCACTTCCACTTCCCACCTCCCACCAACTAACACTGCTTTTTAGGTGTTTCATTTGAGCAAATCCCAGCTTCTGTGTCCTCCATCCCTCGTCTCTCCACAACCATTCTCGTTGCTCTGCAGATGCCGGTGATGGACGGCTATGATGCAACCATCGAAATCCGACGGCTGGAGGAGCAGGTGGGTCGGCATCGAGTTCCGATATTTGCCATCACGGCCGATCTTGTGGCGGGAGCTCCTGAGAGGTGCCGGGAAATTGGGATGAATGGATTTATGACCAAGCCTCTTTCCAACGATCAATTGAAAGCATCGCTTGCAGTGGTGGCTGCCAATGTGTGAAACATTTTTTTTCCACCCTTGCATAAGGTCTTCAGTGTATTTTTATGATTTTTTAGCCTCGTGCTTATGGATGGTGTATTTCGTTATTGAGATATGTAAGGAAAATCTCATTTTCCTTACTTCGCGTCCCTGCTCAACGCGTACATCACTGTAGCGCCACAGTCAGCACCGTTACCACTCGCAATCCTCGCATCGACAATCCGCCCGCCACCTTCGCACGTCGCACCCCGACCTCACGGCTCGGCGGGTAACCCGCGCTCCGGGCCTCCGCTTCGACACTTTTCCCAACCTCAGTCCCAGGCCCGTCGCGCGACAACCACAGTCCATTACCGTTACCACTGTAGTTTCGCTATATATTCTTCGCTCATACCTTCGCTCATTGTACTCTTGCTTCGATAGTGCAATTCTCGTTCATTCACTCAATTGCACTCATAACACTTGGTATCCGAGCCTACGATCTCTTCTCGGACCGCACCCACACCTTCGCTTCCCCACTATCTCAGTTTTTGGGGGGGGTAGACGTCTCTCAGCGACACAGCACCGCCGCTCGTAGTGCTCTCTCGTAAGCACGCACGGCCACGACTGAGGCTCTCGCTGAGCTCGCCCGACACCCCCGCCATGGCCGAATTCACGCTCGCCACATTGACGCAGGAGCAGCTCGACCGTCTGGTACGCCAACTCGAAGATTCGGCGCTCGAAATTGCGATGCTCACCGCGGAACGTGACTCCGCGCGTCAGCAATCAACGGTGAACACTCCAGCAGCACCACACGCACCAACAAATGCACCTGCACAATCGGACGAGCCAATCGTCATCTCGTCCGGGACACCAACACAACACGACAGCGTGGGACAGCGCTCGGGCGCAGCCAGTGATAGCGCCGCCCAACCAATGCCTGGCATGGGAGGAAACAGGGGCGCGCCAAGCCCGCGGGAGCCTCACGAAGCCCGTCGGCATGTGGAGTTCGCGGCGACAAGTGGCGAACAGGCCATCATGGCACCAATGCCACTCAAGCCGCAAGGCCCGCCCTGTTTCGACCCGAGCCAGCGTGGAGGTCCGACGGTTCAATCGTGGGTTTTCACGATGAACGTCTTCTTCGACGCGAATTACGTCGAGTCGGACGCAGCGAAGATTCAGTATGCCGTTTCGCTGTTAAGGGGCCCCGCCATGGACTGGTGGCGAGTCATCGTGACGTCGCCACGCGCCTACGAGCCACCGTCGCAAGAGGAAGGGCCCACGGGTCCAGCTGTCACCTGGAGTTCATTCTGCGAGACCGCCCAATACAGCACGTGGGATGCGTGGTGCGCAGGGCTTCGGGCGCGCTTCGAGCCGATCGCGGCTTCTATTTCGGCGCGTCAGAGATTGCGCACTTGGCGGCAGCTCGGGTCGGTTCAAGATTACACGAGCGGTTTTCTCGCACTTTGCGAGCAGGTCGGCTACATGCACGAAGCGGAGCGGGTGGACCGTTACGTCGGAGGGCTGAAGCCGGATATCTCGCACGAAATCATGCTGCGCGGACTCTCAAACTTCAACGAGATTCTCGCGCTCGCCGAGAAAATCGACATTCTACGCCGACCGAGACCGGGGTCCTACTACGGACATCGTCCTCGGGGACCGATCGAGCACGCCACTGTAAACGCTGTTGCAACGAATGCAGCTGCCGCACCGTTTAAGGGGCGCTGCTTTGCTTGCAACAGGTCGGGCCATCGCAAGAGCGAATGCCCAGAGGAGCTAAGGCGCCGCGGAGCAGAGCAGGGGAGGGAGTCTCAGAGGCAGGGAAACGCCAGCAGTCAGTAGAAGTTGGGCCAACTACTGACGAGACTGCCTGCTCGCCCAACCGCACCGACCCTCACCGAGTCACAGTACCGATTCACGCCATCGATCGGGCTCGGATGAATAAGGAGGGTACAACGACGGATTGCCCAGTACTGATCCACGGGAAAATACAGGGAGCAGCAGTGAAGATTTTTATTGACGGAGGAGCAAGCCACAGTTTAGTTAATACCGCAACTGCGCGAAAATTACAACTGACACTTAGTCGCTGCTTACCTGAGATCGACGCACGCTTAGTTGACGGCACGCCGCTGGCCATACGGGAGAAGGTGGAGAGAGTAAAAGTTCGCTGCGGAGGAAACTTCGGGTTTACACAGGAAATGCTCGCGACGACATTGGATGGGCATGATGTTTTACTGGGACGTGATTGGCTACGACGGTACAACCCACGAATCGACTGGACGACGGGTAGCTGCACTGTGCGAAGTAGCGGTAACTGGGTCATGCTACCTCGCTGGCAGTCGCCCGAGTCTTCAACGGTCCACGTCAACGCCATCACGATGAAACGGGTTGTCGCCGCTGGAGCTGACGTGTACGCAGTAGATATAGCATTAGTAGGAGAAGCGGAGCAGCCGAGCGATTTTCAGAAACTGTTGGCAGCAGTACCGCCCGAACTACAGGAACTGTTGAAACGGTACCCGGGGATTTTTCCAGACGACTTACCGGAAGGGCTGCCACCTCAGCGGGCGCATGATCATAGGATCGAGTTAGAACCGGGGGCACAGCCAACTGTACAGCGCCAGTTCAGACTGACACAGCCCGAGCTCGACGAACTGAGGAAGCAGTTAGATTATTTGTTAGAGAAGCAGTTTATTCGACCAAGTTCGTCACCGTTCGCCGCACCGATACTGTTCACACCGAAAAAAAACGGAGGGTTTCGCATGTGCATCGATTACCGAGCGCTCAACAGGGTAACAGTCAAGTCGCGGTACCCCATTCCCCGCGCCGACGAACTGATCGACCAACTGCGAACAGCACGGGTGTTTTCGAAAATAGACTTACGGGGGGGTTACCATCAGATTCGGGTCGAACCATCGGACTGCGCCAAGACAGCATTTAGGACTAGGTACGGGTCGTTTGAGTACACGGTGATGCCTTTCGGGCTGACCAACGCGCCCGCCACATTTCAGATGACCATGAACGAGGCGTTTAGGCCACTCCTAGATAAATGCGTGATAGTTTACCTCGACGACATCCTCGTCTACAGTCGCGACAAGCAGCAGCATTTAGCGGATCTCGAAGCAGTATTTAAAGTTTTAGAGGAACATCGGTTACTAACCAAGGGCTCTAAGTGCGAGTTTTTTCGGGACAGACTAGAATTTTTGGGGCACGTTATTTCGGAGGCTGGAGTTGAAATCGACCCAAAGAAGCTGGATACGGTAAAAGCGTGGCGTCCCCCGACGAACATCACGGAACTGCAGAGTTTTTTAGGGTTCGTTAATTATGTTCGTCGGTTCGTCCCCGACATGGCACAGTTGACTGCCCCGCTGACGGATTTACTGCGAAAAGGGGTCGTTTTTACGTGGGGGGAGAAAGAGCATGCTGCCTTCTCTGCCCTGAAACATGTTCTCTGTTCACCGCCCGTCCTGCGCATCGCCGACCCACACCGCCCCTTCGAGGTTGTTACAGACGCAAGCGACATCGCCATTGGAGCCGTACTGCTACAGGACTTCGGCAACGGCCTACAGCCCATCGCATACGAGTCACGAAAACTGCATCCGCCCGAGCGAAATTACCCGATACACGACCGCGAAATGCTCGCGATCGTGCATGCGTTCAAAGTGTGGCGCTGCTACTTGACCGGCGCAGACGTGACAGTACGGACAGACCACCGATCACTACAGTACCTCCGCGCACAGCCCCACCTCAACCCACGACAGATTCGGTGGCTCGATTTCCTCGAGTCAAACTTCCACTACACAGTCACCTATAAAAAAGGAGCCTCGAACATCGCCGACGCACTGACCCGCCCCACTGCCCAGATCCACGCGATACTACTCGCCCAGACCAGCCCGCTACTGACAGGACTATTTACCCACGGATATCAAACGGACCCATTCTTCACAGGAGGAAATTTGCAGCAGTTCGCAGCAGCCAAGGGAGTCTATTACGTAAAAGCCGGGACCGACCGCATCTGGGTACCAGGGTACACACTGCTACGGGAATTACTATTACAAGAGGCACACGACGGGGTTACCTCGGGACATTTCGGGGTAGAGAAAACACGGCAGCAGCTGCAGCGGTATTATTACTGGCCCGAAATGTTGACCGACGTGCAGCGACACGTGGCATCGTGTCCCACTTGCCAGATCATGAAGTCAACACAGAAGCGGCCGGCGGGACAGTTGCAGCCAATCCCACCTCCAGAGCGTGCTTGGCAGCAGGTGACGATGGACTTCGTCACGGGGTTACCGGCCGGGGCGAGTGGAAATGACGCGATCCTGGTCGTCGTCGATCGACTGACGAAAATGGCACACTTCGCAGCCTGCAAAAAATCAATCACAGCCGAAGAAACAGCCCGCCTCTTCATCTCTACCGTCGTTCGACTGCACGGGATACCAGCATCAATCATCAGCGACAGAGACACGAAATTCACCAGCAACTTCTGGCGGAACCTATGGCAGCAGTTCGGCACGCGACTACAGTTTAGTTCATCGTACCACCCCGAAACAGACGGACAGACAGAACGGACAAATCAGACCATGGAACAACTCATCCGGGCCACGTGCGACGACCCAAACACGTGGGAACAGCAACTGCCACTCATCGAATTCGCATACAACAACGCCCCATCCGCCACGACCCAACAGTCACCGTTTTACCTGAATTACGGACAAGACCCAACAGTACCCATGACCCCGAATCCCGACAACCCGGTTCCACGCGCGCAACAGTTCGCCGAAATTTTGCAAGCAGCACGGACCAGGGCAGCAGACGCAATAAAAAAAGCTAACATCATCGCTAAACGCAACGCCGACCGCCACCGCAGACCTATCACTTACCAGCCCGACGACTTAGTTTTGCTCGACACCCAAAATCTCCGACTGCCCATCACCCCGAAACTCCGTCCCCGATACTGCGGGCCATTTCGCATAAGCCACATGCTTACACCTGTCACCGCCCACCTCCTCCTCCCTGCTGACTGGTACGTCAGCCCCTCGTTCCACGTCAGCCTGCTTCGCCCTTACGTCCCGTCCACGAGCCAACTGCCACGCAATCGCCCAGCCAGCATGACAAGACCACCGACTGAACCAATCATCACCCCCGAGAAAATCCTGAGTCACAGAGTTCGCGACCCTCGAGGAGCCCGAAGGATTGAGTTCTTACTCCGCTGGAAGGACCGTACACCCACCGAAGACAATTGGGTTCCCCTGGACAGAATCGAAAACCACCCCGTCCTCACCGAGTATCTGCGCAGCCGGAATTTCAGGGATGTACACGCACTTTCGTAAGGAGGACCTCCTTAAGGGGGGAGGGTAGTGTAAGAAAAATCTATTTTTCCTTACTTCGCGTCCCTGCTCAACGCGTACATCACTGTAGCGCCACAGTCAGCACCGTTACCACTCGCAATCCTCGCATCGACAATCCGCCCGCCACCTTCGCACGTCGCACCCCGACCTCACGGCTCGGCGGGTAACCCGCGCTCCGGGCCTCCGCTTCGACACTTTTCCCAACCTCAGTCCCAGGCCCGTCGCGCGACAACCACAGTCCATTACCGTTACCACTGTAGTTTCGCTATATATTCTTCGCTCATACCTTCGCTCATTGTACTCTTGCTTCGATAGTGCAATTCTCGTTCGTTCACTCAATTGCACTCGTAACAAGATACTATCTGTATTCTTTAATATGTAATCTGAATATCAGTATGACAGCCTTGCATCGGAACACTGTTGATTCGCTGGCTGATCCGTTTCTAAAATGTCAAGGTTTTCCTTGAATCTCGAGTCGCGATTCTCGAGCCGAAGCCATGGGGACCCGCCCTCTCCCGCCCCATCCACATCCCACACTGATGCATGCAAGAAAGTTCAGGCTGGTTGTAAACGGTTCCAAACGGTGAAACGAGGAAACCGCTTCAGAATGCACAACATCGTACCCAACTGCTTCAACAGTTATCGTGATTGCTACATTCATGGGCGGGCACAAAACACAACACAATCGCCCACCGACTTTCAAGCTGCATGCTCTGACCTCACTTCAAGAACATCTCGCTTGGCGGATCTTGTTGTTTGATCTGCAATTTTTGGAAGGGAGGGGATGTTCAATGGCACCTCAGAGGAAGTTCCGTTGGAGGAGGTTAGGAGTTGGCCATTGCGAACGAAGTCATTGCACAGACGTGATTTGGAAGCTTTAGTGGGAAAGAAACTGTTGCATTGTACGCTAAGCTGATGATATTACATACTAATGAGATTCCCATGTCCATGGGCGATTATGAAAAAGGATCTAGCCTGTGCCTTAAGAGTCCGTCTTGACCGGCGATTATGTAACGAAAAGTGTGCATTTTCACTGGCAGCTTCGTGTTCCAAGAATGCGACGTGGCGACACGTGTCGAAACTCCTTGCAGTGCTCACTGTCGTCAGTTTTGTAGCAATAGCCCTAACGCGCGAAGCATTCCTGACAGCCTCTGGCGACGGCCAGCAATTCCTCATCTTCTCTAATCCTTGGCCGGTTTTTGCGGAACTGGCAGCAGAAGACGCGGCGACTGAGGAAGCTAGAAGCCTAAGCCTCAACGTCTCCCACCCGGACGTCGTCTTATGGGCCAAGGCAAGTCTTAAAGTGAATATCTATAGAGGATTCAAATGTATTAAGATGACGGATCACAATAATGATCCAGATGGTATTTCTCTAAGCCGTTAAATTAAACGTTTCACATTCACAACCCCGAATTCCGGGTGTTTTTTCCCTCAAGTCTGCAGTTATGTTCCCTCTCTCCATTCCCTAAAATCCTTCCAACCTTGGTAATGACGTACCACTTCACAAGCATTTTTCTCGCTCCATTCCCAAAAAACCATCCAATCTCCGAGGTGATTTTCATGCCGATTCGGCATTTCCGCCTCTTTCCGTCTCATCCGCAATCCCGCAAATTCAGGGTCCGCTTCACAAGCGGCTGGAGGCAGTGTGCGCAGGGTACGCGCTGCACCACCTGCTGTCGTCCAAGCTGACTCCGGCCAGAGTCCCAGATACTCTCTGGGACTATACCAACGCTGCGTCTTCCCAGCAGCGGCAACCGCAGCCACCGGCGCAGCAGCAGCGGCCGTTGCGGCTGGCCGTGTTATGGCTGCCGGATCGAGCCATGCCGCACGCCACGCTCAGCCACGTGCTGGGCCCTCTGCCTCCCCCGAGCGCGCTCGGCGCCGCGCAAAGCGGCAGCCAGCAGGGCGAGTTTCAGGCACAGGAGTCGCCACCATTGTTCCCGGCGGATGCGGATGATTATGATGCTGCCTCTGACGAGCCGATCGTGCTGCAGCACCGGCCGAGTTGGCTCAACTCGCCGCTTTATACCTTTGCGGTAGGTACTTTCAAAGAACAGATGATTAGTATGCGTCATCGGATGAGTTTCTATTCGCGCATGGGTTTTTTCGTCAGCTCTTCTTTTGTCAGCTCTTCATTTGTCAGCTCTTCTTTCAGTGCTTCATGGTTGTCCGTCAGCTCACCATTCGCCACACGCTGCTTCTTTCCCCATTCCTGATCGTGTTTCCCCATTCCTGATCGTGTTTCCCCATTCCTGATCGTGTTTCCCCATTCCTGATCGTGTTTCCCCATTCCTGATCGTGTTTCCCCATTCCTGATCGTGTTTCCCCATTCCTGATCGTGTTTCCCCATTCCTGATCGTGTTTCCCCATTCCTGATCGTGTTTCCCCATTCCTGATCGTGTTTCCCCATTCCCCCTCCCGCTTCCCCCTCACGTTGTCACCTTGACGGCGCATCCCAACAGACCCTCAATTCGGAAGTCCCCCAGCCGATATCTCAAGAGCAGCTGCAGCAGCAACGGGAAAAGCAGGCTGGCACGTTCAACCCCTCCTCCTCCCAACCCCTTCCCGCCGCCCATCCCTCTCGCACCTTGCAAGTCGAATTCTTCCTCTCCTCCTCCCTCCCGCCTATGGATGCATCTATCAGCACCCTTGCTGACGTGGACGATTCCTCCCAGCTTCACACCTCCATCCAGCGCTGCTACAGCCTGCTACAGCCGTCCACAGCCGTACAGGAGCTGATAGCCAACGAGAACCTGACACGTGTCCAGCACAGCACAGCTGTCTACGTAGAACCTGTATCCCTCTACCCTCTCAACCCCCTCTGCACAAGCTGCCACCCTCACCACACAGTCAACTGCACCACCCGCCGCCTCATGTGGTTTTTTCTCGGGCAGCCCGAAGGCGACGCTACAGTGGCGGGTTTCTGGCCGTCGCAGGCGCTGGCTGTGGCGCACACCTTCCACCCCTCCCGCCAGCCGCACCTTCTCCGCGCCACCCTGCGCCGCTCCGCCCTCTGCCGCCCCAACCCCGCGTGGGGGGACGCGCTCCCCCCGCCCATCCCCCCCGCGGAACCCACTTTGAAGGAGATTGCAGAGCGGGAGGCGCTGAGGAGGAGTTCTGGGTGGTTTGGCTGGTGGGTGGGGAGAGGCAGGGAGGGAGGCGGGAGGGGCGGAAGTGACGGGAGTGGCAGGAGTGGCGGGAGTGCTGAGAGTGAAGGGATGGAGCAGGGGGAGCGAGGGGTGGGCGCATGGGTAGAATGCGCGCAGCTGGAAGCAGCGGAGCTATTCACTCTCGCATCCGCCCAGGGGCTCATTCACCTGCAGCACTCCCCCCAGGCGGACCTCATCCGCGCGCAGGCCTCCGCCAGGGGCAGATCCCCCTGCATGCGCGACGTGCTGGTCGCCCCGGAGACGGTTCCTCGGGGTGTGGCGCCCGTGCCAGTGGCTGTGGGGGGGGACAATGAGGGAGAGGGGGCAGCAGAGGGGAGTGGGGAGGGGAGAGCGAGTGGTGGAGTGTTTGAGGAGGAGCGTGGGTTGTGCCATGCGCCGTTCATCGTGCCGATTCACAAACACCGCATGGGCAGGCAACTGAACGTGGATGGTGAGTGGCCTCCTTGATCATCCTCTTTACAATGAGAGGAGGCTTTCTAAGAGCCCTTCAAATCCGCACGGGGAGGCAACTAATAGCGGATGGTGAGTGGTAGCATGTCAATCACGCCTGGATGCATCACCATGATCATCATGGAAGGGGTTTGTCCGTCTGGCCGTCAGTCTGGCCGTCAGTCTGGCCGTCAGTCTGGCCGTCAGTCTGGCCGTCAGTCTGGCCGTCAGTCTGGCCGTCAGTCTGGCCGTCAGTCTGGCCGTCAGTCTGGCTGTCAGTCTGGCTGTCGGACTGGCTGTCGGACTGGCTGTCGGACTGGCTGTTCGTACGACATCCCACTCTTCCCCTCCCCTCCCTCCCCTCCCTCCCCTCCCTCCCCTCCCTCCCCTCCCTCCCCTCCCTCCCCTCCCTCCCCTCCCTCCCCTCCCTCCCCTCCCTCCCCTCCCTCCCCTCCCTCCCCTCCCTCCACACCCACCCGTCCCTCTGTCGCCCCTGTTCCTCCTGTTCCTCCTGTTCCTCCTGTTCCTCCTGTTCCTCCTGTTCCTCCTGTTCCTCCTGTTCCTCCTGTTCCTCCTGTTCCTCCTGTTCCTCCTGTTCCTCCTGTTCCTCCTGTTCCTCCTGTTCCTCCTGTTCCTCCTGTTCCTCCTGTTCCTCCTGTCTCCCCCTGCCTCTCGCTGTCTCTCTCCTCCCGCCATGCACGCCCCCTCCCTATCAGACACAGTGAGTCTGGTATAATGCGAGGTACAGAAGGTCGACCCACGAGCTGGGTTGACTTTTGAGTCGACTCAACAGTCAACTCGGTTCATTGTCATGCCCCGCCCCACCCGCCATCAGACACAGTGGGTCTGGTATACTGCGAGGTACACAAGGCGGGATCAACCAGTTGGAAGTTCTGGCTTCGCCAGCAGCAATATGTGAGATGACTCAACTCCTCTCCCTGTCTCTTGCCTCCCGCCATGCCACGCCCCACCCCCATCAGACACAGTGGGACTTGTATACTGCGAGCTGCAAAAGGTCGGATCCACCAGTTGGAAGTTTTGGATTCGGCAGCAGCACCACCACCCCCACCCCAACCAGTTCCCAGAAGCCCAACTCCCAGCCACCAGCAACATCACCGAGGTCTGGTATTCGCTCTCCGAACCTGACGCCATCCGAGCCATCACCCGAACCGACTACACCAGGTTCGTGTTCGTCCGCCAGCCATTCACCAGAATCGTATCTGCGTATCTCAACAAGCACGTGACGGGCGGCGGCCCCAAGGATTACGGGCGGCGGTTCTGGGCGAGAAGATTTTTCGGGCAGCTTTGGATGCTACGAGCCAGGGACCGGCTCAGATATCGGGGAAACGAGGGAGATATTTTTGCTGGAGGGGCAGCAGGGGAGGAAGAAGGCGCAGTGGCACAATCAGCAGAGGCAGCAGAAGGAGGGGGTTGGCGGAAACGCAGCAGCAGTTGGTGGGGGGTGTGGAAAGACAAGATAGAGATGGAGATGGGGCGACTTCTGTCGTTTGAGGAGTTTGTGCGACTGCTGGGGGATGCCTGGGACGAGGACAGGCGCTGGTTCCTTGACGAGCATATTGCCCCCCAGGTACCGCGCTTGCTCCCTTCTCCCTTGCTCCTGAGGTGCTTAATGCTTGCACCTTTTCCCTCGGGTGTTTATTCTTTGCACGTTGCCCCTCAGGAAGCAGGCATTGATGTTCCATACCCGAACCCCCTTCTCTGTGCTCCACCCCCCTCCTCCCCTCCCCACCGCCTCCTCCCCTCACACACACCTTCACCCCTCCCACATCAGAAACCCCTTCCCAATGCTCCACCTCCCTCCGTCCCTCTGCTTCCCTCTCTAACTCCTCCCCCCGCAACCCACAGAACATCCTGTGTGGGCTGGACTGCATACGCTACGACTACGTGGGGCGCTTTGAGCGAATGCTCGGGATACTGTTCCTTACCTCAGCCCCTTCCCCATGCTCCAACGCCCTCCCTCCCTACCCCGTCCCACATCAGAACATCCTGTGTGGGCTGGACCGCATACGCTACGACTATGTGGGGCGCTTTGAGAGCATGGACGCGGACGTGAAGGCCCTCATGCACCGCTTTGGGAGGGACCCGGGCGACGCCTTTGACTTTGGCAAGAAGATCCACCCCACCAAGTCCAGAGACCAGCTTCCAAATTTGTTCAAGAATAAGGTGAGGGCCTCACTTTCCCTGAGAGAAGGGAAGTTCGCACAGTGGATGTCAGGCTTATTGCTGTGCTACATCCTTTGGGAGGGACCGGGGCGACGCCTTTGACTTGGGCAAAAAGATCCACCCCACCAAGTCCAGAGACCAGCTGCAGATGCAGATGCAGATGCAGATGCAGATGCAGATGCAGATGCAGATGCAGATGCTGCAGATGTTCACCAGCAAGGTGAGGGGCATGCAGCATTGCAGGGTGCTATCACATGCCCGCTCGCTCACTTTCGTGCATGGATGTCTTCCCCTCAGGCTGCTTGTGTGGCAACTGCAGGAGATGTATGAGATTGTGAGGCGAGTGTATGGTGCGGACATGTATGCACCCTCCTGCATACACTGGAATCCCACATGTCTGCCTGCTCACTCTCATGCACAGATGCCTTCCCGTCAGGCTGCTTGTGTGTCAACTGCAGGAGTTGTACCGGTAAGAGATTGTGAGGCGAGTGCCAGCAATGACAAGTACGCACCCTCCTGCGTGCACTGGAATCCCACATGCCTGCCTGCGCACTCGTGTGCTCGCGCTGCCTTCCCTCAGGCTGCTTGTGTGGCATCTGCAGGAGGCGTATGAGATTGTGGCACATGTTGACAGCATAGACATGGCACAGGCCCTCTCCTGCGTGCATTTTGAACATAGTCCTCCCATTCACATGCCTGGTTGTCGGCTCCAGGAAACATACAACATTGTGAGGCGAGTGTACGGCATGGACACGCTCGCTCGCTCACTCTTGTGCGCGTGCTGCCCTCCACTCTTTGCTTGCGTGTCATCCCTGCTGATGTGCGCCCCATCTGCAGGAGACGTACGACATTGTGAGGCGAGTGTACGGCATGGACATGCACAGACCCTCTGTTACCCGCGTTCAAGAGAACCACATGCTTGTGTCCCCCCCCCCCCCCTCCTTGTCCGCAGGAGACGTACGACATTGTGAGGCGAGTGTACGGCATGGACATGCACGCGCCTTTGAACAACATCTCCTACGCTCCCCCCGAGGAGCTCCGGAGAATCTTCGAAGAGGGGGCGGGCAGATGACCGGGCAGCAAAGTCCTGGACTCAAGAGTGCTGGCAAGTGAAGGAATGTACGGTCGCGCCGTACCATGTGATTGTAAAGAGATTAATCCGTTGCTGTGCCATGTTGTCATATTGGATAAAAAAAGCTTTGATGATTCCCTTGCCCAAAGCATGTGACAGTATCATCCTTTTTAGAGCAAGGATGGTTAGGGTACATTCCGCTCTGGACATGTCCCAATCGTACATGTCCCAATCGATTCCACCGCACTGCATCTTATTACACCGAATTACACCCTAGTTTCAAAATTTTTGCATCTCTGGTTTAGTTCGGTTCGGAGCGGTGGAATCGATTGGGACATGTACGATTGGGACATGTCCAGAGCGGAATGTACCCTTACTACTAGAATGATTGGGGACCGCTGGGATGTGTGAGCACCCCAGTCTTGATTTCTGGGGTGCTCTGTGCTGGTGAATGCGGCACACTTCCATGGAACCAACAAAAAAAAAGAATTGGAAACAGTGGTTACACCACCACGCAGGCCCTGGTGCCTCACATAGTCTACAGTTATTTCAAGACTACCGTACCCTTTCCCCACCACACAGGTCCTGATGCCTCGGGTAATCTACAGTTATTTTCATCAAAGCTACCTTGTCCCCCCAGCCCTGTTCCATTTGTCTGGAACGCACGAGTTTCGAGAGCAAATACAAAGACGCATGTTGGTCTAACAACCATCCGCTCTTGCTTGAGGCGACTCAAGAACAGCTCTTGCTGCTATTCAGCAGCACCACGCTCTGCCGCACATCCATACACCTTGCAGCAGCACCACCACCGACAGCAGCAGCAGCAGCAGCAGCAGCAGCAGCAGCAGCAGTAGTGGCTGTTTCTCTAGCAGCAGCAGGGTACCAGCGTGGCACGTAGACGAGCATGTTGTTGAGGCGCCTCAGGAGAGCCTCACTCACACGAGAGTCTTGCTAGCACACACGACTAGCAGCACGGCTACACTCTTCAAGGCAGCTCCCTCCAACCAATGGTGTCTTGTTATAAAGCACACGTCACCTCTCTCCTCCCTCTCCTCCCAGTGTCTTACTCCCTGATTTTCTCGCTCTCGCTCTTTCTGTTCTCTCTCTCTCCATCCCTCCTTTGCCCCGACACTGTCGCAGCTCCCCCCCCCATCCCTCTCATGCACAGGCAGTGCAGAACCCACATCTCACCGCCCTCAACCGCCCTACAGCCCACACCTCACTCGTCAGTGGAGCCGCTTAAACAAAGCAGCGGATAGACCTCTGAGATTTTAACCCCTGCAAGCTGCAACCACATGGTACAGCGGTGCAACAGAGATTCCTTCACCTGCCCGCACTCTTAGAGTCCAGGAGGCCTCCGCTGCCCGCCAGCCCAGCAGCCCCCACTTCGTAGATTCTGCTGAGCTCCTCAGGAGGGTCGTAGGAGATGTTGTTCAAGGGTGCATGCATGTCCATGCCGTACACTCGCCTCACAATGTCGTACGTCTCCTGCACATGGCACACATGCAAGCAGGGGACAGCACACAAGCACGGGACGGCACCCAAGCAAGGAGGGAAAGGCAGCACATGCATCAGGGACCGTGCGTGTCCATGCCGTACACTCGCCCCTCACAATGTCGTACGTCTCCTGCACAGAAAATTGCACACAAGCATGGGGCGACAGGGTTGTTTCCAGCAGTGCACACAGGAGGGCGCATGCATGTCCATGCCGTACACTCGCCTCATAATGTCGTACGTCTCCTGGCAAGAGGATTGCACAGAGGGCGGAACACAAAACATGCACGCGTGTGAGCCGGCAGGCATGCAGGATGCAGGGGTTGCGGGTGGTCTCACTTGCTTCCTGGCATGGATGGGTCAAAGAATATAATATCTCTGCTTTTCAGCGGATGGACTAAAGAAGTGCTTTTCAGCGCTTGCTTCTGTGCTCTCACTTCCTTCCAGGCACGGCTTTAGTCTGGATGAATCAGATTCCAGCACAGCAATGGCCTTCATGATTCTTAAATTGCTCTTTCAGCGGAGACTGTGCTGCTCACCTTGCTCGTAAACATCTGCAGCAGGCTTCTGCCAGGACTTGGTGGGGTGGATCTTCTAGCCCAAGTCAAAGACATCCCGGGTCCCGCAGGGATCCCACACAAAACAACAGGCCTGATATCCCACACACACATCACTTATCTCAGGGAGCACTGAGCCACTCACCTTATTACTGAACATCTGCTGCAGCTGGTCTCTGGACTTGGTGGGGTGGATCTTCTTGCCAAAGTCAAAGGCGTCGCCCGGGTCCCTCCCAAAGCGGTGCATGAGGGCCTTCACGTCCGCGTCCATGCTCTCAAAGCGCCCCACGTAGTCGTAGCGTATGCGGTCCAGCCCACACAGGATGTTCTGATGTGGGACGGGGTAGGGAGGGAGGGCGTTGGAGCATGGGGAAAGGGGTTGGGGTAAGGAGGAGCAACGCCCGCGTCCATGCTCTCAAAGCGCCCCACGTAGTCGTAGCGTATGCGGTCCAGCCCACACAGGATGTTCTGTGGGTTGCGGGGGGAGGAGTTAGAGAGGGAAGCAGAGGGACGGAGGGAGGTGGAGCATTGGGAAGGGGGTTCTGATCTGGGAGGGGTGAAGGGGTGTGTGAGGGGAGGAGGCGGTGGGGAGGGGAGGAGGGGGGTGGAGCACAGAGAAGGGGGTTCGGGTATGGAACATCAATGCCTGCTTCCTGAGGGGCAACGTGCAAAGAATAAACACCCGAGGGAAAAGGTGCAAGCATTAAGCACCTCAGGAGCAAGGGAGAAGGGAGCAAGCGCGGTACCTGGGGGGCAATATGCTCGTCAAGGAACCAGCGCCTGTCCTCGTCCCAGGCAGGGTGCAAGGAACAACAAGAACCCAAGAGGAAGGGTGCAATGAGCAACAGGGAGCAAGCGCGGTACCTGAGGGGTGATGTGCTCATCGAGGAACCAGCGCCTGTCCTCGTCCCAAGGAGGGTGCAAGGAACAAGTACGTGAGTGTCAGGATGGTACCTGAGGGACAGAGTGCAAGGAACGTACCTGAGGGGCAATATGCTCATCCAGGAACCAGCGCCTGTCCTCGTCCCAGGCATCCCCCAGCAGTCGCACAAACTCCTCAAACGACAGCAGACGCCCCATCTCCATCTCTATCTTGTCCTTCCACACTCCCCACCAGCTGCCGCTCTTCATCCCAACCCCCACTTCTGCTGCTGCTGCCGCTGCTGCCGCTGCTCCTGCTGCTGCTACCCCTTCGCCCCCTTCCAACCCTCCAGCAGATGAATTTCCTTCGTTTGCCCGGAATCTGAGCCCGTCCAACGCCCGCAGCGCCCACAGCTGCCCGAAAAACTTTCTCGTCCAGAACTGCCGCCCGAACCCGTCCGGCCCGCCGCCCGCCACGTGCTTGTTGAGATACGCAGATACGATTCTGGTGAAGGGCTGCCGGACGAACACGAACCTGGTGTAGTCGGTTCGGGTGATGGCTCGGATGGCATCAGGTTCGGAGAGCGAGTACCAAACCTCGGTGACGTTGCTGGTGGCTGGTAGGTGGGTGTCTAGTAGCTGGTTGGGGTTGGGGTGGTGGTGCTGCTGGCGAATCCACACCTTCCAGCTGGTGCAACCCACCTTCTGCACTGCACAGTAGACCATGCCCACCGTGTCTGATGGGGGTGACATAACAGAGTGGGGTGGGGGGCATGGGGAAGAGGGAAAGAGAAGCGAGGGTGTGTCACTAGGTGATGCGAGATCCCAGAGGGGAGCCGGACCTTTCTGTTACTGCACTGCACAGTACACCATGCCCACTGTGTCTGATGGGGGATGGCGGGGCATGGTGGGGTGGGAGGGGAGGCGGAAGATGAAAAACGGAGTGAGGATGTGGCACAAAGTGATGCAAGAGCCCCGGGGGAGCGGCCAGGGGAGCAACAACTTTCAGCTGGTACATCTCACCTGCTGCACTGCACAGTACACCATGCCCACCGTGTCTGATCCATTATCATGACTCCATCCACGATCAGCTGCTTCCCAATGCGGTGCTTGTTGATAGGCACCATGGGCGGCGCATGGCACAGCCCCATCTTTAAGGCGACTCAACACCTGTCCCCATTCACTCACCATCCACGATCAGCTGCTTCCCAATGCGGTGCTTGTTGATAGGCACCATGGCCGGCGCATGGCACAGCCCGCGCTCCACCTCAAACACTCCGCGCTCCGCGCTTGAGCCCCCCTCCCCGCTCCCCTCCCCGCCCTCCTCCCCGCTGCTCCCCTCCGCTGCCGTTGGCGCGCCCCCCGCTCTCCGCGGAAAGCTCTCCGGGGCGACCAGCACGTCATGCACAAGGGGGGTTCTGCCTTTGGCGGAGGCCTGCGCGCGGATGAGGTCCGCTTGGGGGGAGTGCTGCAGGTGAATGAGCCCCCGCGCAGCAGACAGCGCGAACAGCTCCGCCGCTTCTAGTTGCGCGCACTCTATCCATGCGCCCACTCCCCGCGCTCCTTGCTCCGCACCCTCACTCCCGCCGCTACCAAACCCTATCCCCCCTGCGCCTCGTGCCCCACTAGTTCCGCCTCCCCCTCCGCTAATTTCCAGCCGCCTGTCAAACCAGCCTAGCTTTCCCAACCATCCCCGCTCAGCGATCTCCCGCGGAGTTGGTTCCGCGGGGACGATCGGCGGAGGGAGCGGTTCCCCCCACGCGGGGTTGGGGCGGCAGAGGGCGGAGCGGCGCAGGGTTGCGCGGAGGAGGTGCGGTTGGCGGGATGGCTGGAAGGTCTGCGCCACAGCCAGCGCCTGCGACGGCCAGAAACCTGCCACCGTCGCGTCGCCGTCGGGCTGCCCGAGAAAAAACCACATGAGCCGGCGAGCCGTGCAGTTGACCGTACATTTAGGGTCGCACCCGGTGCAAAGGGGGGATTTAGGGGAGAGCGCTACAGGCTCCATATAAACCGCTGTGCTCTGTTGGACACGTGTCATGTTCTCCTTGGCTATCAGCTCCTGCACGGCTGTGGAAGGCTGTAGCAGGCTGTAGCAGCGCTGGAGGGAAGTGTAGAGCTGGGAATCCTCCACGTCAGCAAGAGTGGCGGCCATTGGGGGAAGGGAGGCGGAGAGGAAAAAGCCGACGCGCAGGCGGCGAGGGCGATGCGCGGAGGGAAGGGGGTGGGAGGAGGAGGGGGAGAACGTGCCAGAGAGTTTTTGCTGTTGCTGCTGCAGCTGCTCTTGAGATATCGGCTGAGGGATTCTCGAGTCAAGAGTCTGTTCGGAAGGCGAACAAGCGGGGGAGGGGGAGAGACGAGGAGGGTATGACCAGGAATCCAAAAAATGAAATCTGAGACAGCGAACGAAACGCCGACGACTGAGGAGTGCACGCTCGCGAAAAACGGACAGGCGAATAAGACATCGTCGCGAAGGAGTCGACGAAATTTGTTAACGCAGAACCGTGGCGCGCTTCACATTCGCAAAAGAACCTACCCCGTAGGTATAGAGCGGCGAGTTGAGCCAGCTTGGGTGGTGCTGCAGCACGAGGGCTTCGTCCGACGCATCCGGCGGGAACGACGGCGACTCCTGCGCATGCTCGCCCTGCTGGCTGCCGCTTTGCGCGGCGCCGAGCGCACTTGGGGGAGGCAGAGGGCCCAGCACGTGGTTGAGCGTGGCGTGCGGCATGGCTCGATCCGGCAGCCATAACACAGCCAGGCGCAACGGCCGCTGCTGGGTTTGCTGCTGGGAATACGCGGCGCTGGTATTCGGAACGCCGGCAGGCAGCTTGGACGACAGGAGGTGGTGCAGCGCGTACCCCGCGCATACCGCCTCCAGCCGCTTGTGAAGCGGTCCCTGTTTGTGCGGGATTGCGGATGACAGTGGAATGAGGAAGGTGAAGACGAGAAACTGGAAACAAAATGCGGACTTTGAGGAACAGTTTCTATGCATAAAACGAATCCACTTGACGGTGCCTGATATGTTAATCCTTCAGCGACAGTCGTAAGAAAATGAACTGTTTATCAAGGAAGTGCCGCCTGCCTACCATCCTGAGCCGTTCGATTCAAACTGGCAGGCCTCTAATAAAGAAAAGGTTACCTTAGCCCATATAACGACGTCTGGATGAGGGACAATACGGTTCAGGCTTCTGCCTTCCTCATTCGCCCCGTCTTCTGCTGCTCGTCCCGCAAAAACCGGCCGAGGATTAGAGAAGACGAGGAATCTCCGGCCGTCGCTGGTGGCCGTCATTAGTGCTTCGCGAGTTAGCGCAACGAGACTGATGACGGTGAGGACTGCGATGAGTTTTGACATGCGTCGCCACGTGGAATTCTTGGAACACATTGATGAAAATGCACCCTTGTCGCTACAGACCAAGTCACTACAATGACTCCGGGCGTTGAATGACCAAGCAAGATGCTTGCTCATACTCGCTCGGAGAGTCGCGTCTAATCTTCTTCCGGAAACGCTTTTTGCCATCGGATCTCAGTATTAATACTGGCAGCTAAGAAAACGCTGTAACAGTCCTTCTCTAAAGCTTCAACACTAGAACGTTCACGTTACTCTCGGCATCATCCACCTCTACGCCACAGCCTGCCGAATCTACGGCTTAGGAGCGACCGAAGATACGACGTCCAGACCTGCAAAGCAATCAAAACGGTGAGCCGCTCTAGCTAATCCAGAGTTGAAAATCGGTGGAGTTGTGTGAATCAAACACAGCGCGAGAGAACTCCGAATGACCGAACCAACAGATGGTCCAGGAAGAACGTGGGGGATGGACGGGTGGGACGGGGGAGGAGGGAGGGGGGATGGGAGGGAGGTGAGGTGAGAGGGAGGAAATGTCTGGATTGGTTTGAGGGTGGCCTCTGGCCGGGTTGTCAACATGTCACCAGGCCGGGTTTCCGAGGCAGGGAGGTGCTCCGGGACGTTTTGAAAAACCCGAGGTCCAGGCGCCCTAGAGATCTGCAGCAGCTCGGCAGAGCAATCGACGGTCGTTGTTCTACATTGTACAGTATTTCTTGCTCGACTCAACAACGGACCGTTCCCCAAACCGACAAGCTTGTACTGTAAACAGGCCGCACACGAAAGCGGTCTGGGCCGAAGTCAGCCTCGGCAATGCGGTAAACATTGGGGGCGCCTGATTTCGCGAGCAGACTTGGCGGCCAAAAGTTGGCGCTACGGTGCGAATTTTCGCTTGCCCCCGAGAACAAATGCAGGTCAGCATGGGCTGGTACATAAATGAATTGCAAATAGAAAACCTCTAAACAAGTTTGAAATATGATGGCGATAATTGATGACTATTACAAAGTCATATCCAAAAAAACTCTGACTGGCTTGGGAGGCTCGGCTCGCGTCGCAATATATTTTTCGGGCCGGCCAACGTCACGGAAAAGTCTCAGCTAGGACGCCGCACCTATTCAACTATGCCACGTGTTTCCCAGCCTAGCACACAACCAGATTTGTGCCATTGGTAGAACCTAGAAAGGGTAGTGCGTTTGCATAATACAGTTTCCTCAGTTACGACTGTGGATGGAATGCATTGTATAGTGCGTTATACCCCAAAAAAAAAAAAACAGTTTCCACAATCTACACCACGACTTAATATTGAGACGTGCTCCATAAACACGTATTGCTCATCACACATGGAGGGCATCGTGAAGATAAAAAAGTAGAAGGGGGCGAGCCCGATGTATATGCTCGCCTACATGTTGTATCCTTAAATAGTGTTACGAGTGCAATTGAGTGAACGAACGAGAATTGCACTATCGAAGCAAGAGTACAATGAGCGAAGGTATGAGCGAAGAATATATAGCGAAACTACAGTGGTAACGGTAATGGACTGTGGTTGTCGCGCGACGGGCCTGGGACTGAGGTTGGGAAAAGTGTCGAAGCGGAGGCCCGGAGCGCGGGTTACCCGCCGAGCCGTGAGGTCGGGGTGCGACGTGCGAAGGTGGCGGGCGGATTGTCGATGCGAGGATTGCGAGTGGTAACGGTGCTGACTGTGGCGCTACAGTGATGTACGCGTTGAGCAGGGACGCGAAGTAAGGAAAAAGAGATTTTCCTTACACTACCCCCCCCCCTTAAGGAGGTCCTCCTTACGAAAGTGCGTGTACATCCCTGAAATTCCGGCTGCGCAGATACTCGGTGAGGACGGGGTGGTTTTCGATTCTGTCCAGGGGAACCCAATTGTCTTCGGTGGGTGTACGGTCCTTCCAGCGGAGTAAGAACTCGATCCTTCGGGCTCCTCGAAGGTCGCGAACTCTGTGACTCAGGATTTTCTCGGGGGTGATGATTGGTTCAGTCGGTGGTCTTGTCATGCTGGCTGGGCGATTGCGTGGCAGTTGGCTCGTGGACGGGACGTAAAGGCGAAGCAGGCTGACGTGGAACGAGGGGCTGACGTACCAGTCAGCAGGGAGGAGGAGGTGGGCGGTGACAGGTGTAAGCATGTGGCTTATGCGAAATGGCCCGCAGTATCGGGGGCGGAGTTTCGGGGTGATGGGCAGTCGGAGATTTTGGGTGTCGAGCAAAACTAAGTCGTCGGGCTGGTAAGTGACAGGTCTGCGGTGGCGGTCGGCGTTGCGTTTAGCGATGATGTTAGCTTTTTTAATTGCGTCTGCTGCCCTGGTCCGTGCTACTTGCAAAAATTTGGCGAACTGTTGCGCGCGTGGAACCGGGTTGTCGGGATTCGGGGTCATGGGTACTGTTGGGTCTTGTCCGTAATTCATGTAAAACGGTGACTGTTGGGTCGTGGCGGATGGGGCGTTGTTGTATGCGAATTCGATGAGTGGCAGTTGCTGTTCCCACGTGTTTGGGTCGTCGCACGTGGCCCGGATGAGCTGTTCCATGGTCTGATTTGTCCGTTCTGTCTGTCCGTCTGTTTCGGGGTGGTACGATGAACTAAACTGTAGTCGCGTGCCGAACTGCTGCCACAGGTTCCGCCAGAAGTTGCTGGTGAATTTCGTGTCTCTGTCGCTGATGATTGATGCTGGTATCCCGTGCAGTCGAACGACGGTAGAGATGAAGAGGCGGGTTGTTTCTTCGGCTGTGATTGATTTTTTGCAGGCTGCGAAGTGTGCCATTTTTGTCAGTCGATCGACGACGACCAGGATCGCGTCATTTCCACTCGCCCCGGCCGGTAACCCCGTGACGAAGTCCATCGTCACCTGCTGCCAAGCACGCTCTGGAGGTGGGATTGGCTGCAACTGTCCCGCCGGCCGCTTCCGTGTTGACTTCATGATCTGGCAAGTGGGACACGATGCCACGTGTCGCTGCACGTCGGTCAACATTTCGGGCCAGTAATAATACCGCTGCAGCTGCTGCCGTGTTTTCTCTACCCCGAAATGTCCCGAGGTAACCCCGTCGTGTGCCTCTTGTAATAGTAATTCCCGTAGCAGTGTGTACCCTGGTACCCAGATGCGGTCGGTCCCGGCTTTTACGTAATAGACTCCCTTGGCTGCTGCGAACTGCTGCGAATTTCCTCCTGTGAAGAATGGGTCCGTTTGATATCCGTGGGTAAATAGTTCTGTCAGTAGCGGGCTGGTCTGGGCGAGTAGTATCGCGTGGATCTGGGCAGTGGGGCGGGTAAGTGCGTCGGCGATGTTCGAGGCTCCTTTTTTATAGGTGACTGTGTAGTGGAAGTTTGACTCGAGGAAATCGAGCCACCGAATCTGTCGTGGGTTGAGGTGGGGCTGTGCGCGGAGGTACTGTAGTGATCGGTGGTCTGTCCGTACTGTCACGTCTGCGCCGGTCAAGTAGCAGCGCCACACTTTGAACGCATGCACGATCGCGCGCATTTCGCGGTCGTGTATCGGGTAATTTCGCTCGGGCGGATGCAGTTTTCGTGACTCGTATGCGATGGGCTGTAGGCCGTTGCCGAAGTCCTGTAGCAGTACGGCTCCAATGGCGATGTCGCTTGCGTCTGTAACAACCTCGAAGGGGCGGTGTGGGTCGGCGATGCGCAGGACGGGCGGTGAACAGAGAACATTTTTCAGGGCAGAGAAGGCAGCATGCTCTTTCTCCCCCCACGTAAAAACGACCCCTTTTCGCAGTAAATCCGTCAGCGGGGCAGTCAACTGTGCCATGTCGGGGACGAGCCGACGAACATAATTAACGAACCCTAAAAAACTCTGCAGTTCCGTGATGTTCGTCGGGGGACGCCACGCTTTTACCGTATCCAGCTTCTTTGGGTCGATTTCAACCCCAGCCTCCGAAATAACGTGCCCCAAAAATTCTAGTCTGTCCCGAAAAAACTCGCACTTAGAGCCCTTGGTTAGTAACCGATGTTCCTCTAAAACTTTAAATACTGCTTCGAGATCCGCTAAATGCTGCTGCTTGTCGCGACTGTAGACGAGGATGTCGTCGAGGTAAACTATCACGCATTTATCTAAGAGTGGCCTAAACGCCTCGTTCATGGTCATCTGAAATGTTGCGGGCGCGTTGGTCAGCCCGAAAGGCATCACCGTGTACTCAAACGACCCGTACCTAGTCCTAAATGCTGTCTTGGCGCAGTCCGATGGTTCGACCCGAATCTGATGGTAACCCCCCCGTAAGTCTATTTTCGAAAACACCCGTGCTGTTCGCAGTTGGTCGATCAGTTCGTCGGCGCGGTGAATGGGGTACCGCGACTTGACTGTTACCCTGTTGAGCGCTCGGTAATCGATGCACATGCGAAACCCTCCGTCTTTTTTCGGTGTGAACAGTATCGGTGCGGCGAATGGTGACGAACTTGGTCGAATAAACTGCTTCTCTAACAAATAATCTAACTGCTTCCTCAGTTCGTCGAGCTCGGGCTGTGTCAGTCTGAACTGGCGCTGTACAGTTGGCTGTGCCCCTGGTTCTAACTCGATCCTATGATCATGCGCCCGCTGAGGTGGCAGCCCTTCCGGTAAGTCGTCTGGAAAAATCCCCGGGTACCGTTTCAACAGTTCCTGTAGTTCGGGCGGTACTGCTGCCAACAGTTTCTGAAAATCGCTCGGCTGCTCCGCTTCTCCTACTAATGCTATATCTACTGCGTACACGTCAGCTCCAGCGGCGACAACCCGTTTCATCGTGATGGCGTTGACGTGGACCGTTGAAGACTCGGGCGACTGCCAGCGAGGTAGCATGACCCAGTTACCGCTACTTCGCACAGTGCAGCTACCCGTCGTCCAGTCGATTCGTGGGTTGTACCGTCGTAGCCAATCACGTCCCAGTAAAACATCATGCCCATCCAATGTCGTCGCGAGCATTTCCTGTGTAAACCCGAAGTTTCCTCCGCAGCGAACTTTTACTCTCTCCACCTTCTCCCGTATGGCCAGCGGCGTGCCGTCAACTAAGCGTGCGTCGATCTCAGGTAAGCAGCGACTAAGTGTCAGTTGTAATTTTCGCGCAGTTGCGGTATTAACTAAACTGTGGCTTGCTCCTCCGTCAATAAAAATCTTCACTGCTGCTCCCTGTATTTTCCCGTGGATCAGTACTGGGCAATCCGTCGTTGTACCCTCCTTATTCATCCGAGCCCGATCGATGGCGTGAATCGGTACTGTGACTCGGTGAGGGTCGGTGCGGTTGGGCGAGCAGGCAGTCTCGTCAGTAGTTGGCCCAACTTCTACTGACTGCTGGCGTTTCCCTGCCTCTGAGACTCCCTCCCCTGCTCTGCTCCGCGGCGCCTTAGCTCCTCTGGGCATTTGCTCTTGCGATGGCCCGGCCTGTTGCAAGCAAAGCAGCGCCCCTTAAACGGTGCGGCAGCTGCATTCGTTGCAACAGCGTTTACAGTGGCGTGCTCGATCGGTCCCCGAGGACGATGTCCGTAGTAGGACCCCGGTCTCGGTCGGCGTAGAATGTCGATTTTCTCGGCGAGCGCGAGAATCTCGTTGAAGTTTGAGAGTCCGCGCAGCATGATTTCGTGCGAGATATCCGGCTTCAGCCCTCCGACGTAACGGTCCACCCGCTCCGCTTCGTGCATGTAGCCGACCTGCTCGCAAAGTGCGAGAAAACCGCTCGTGTAATCTTGAACCGACCCGAGCTGCCGCCAAGTGCGCAATCTCTGACGCGCCGAAATAGAAGCCGCGATCGGCTCGAAGCGCGCCCGAAGCCCTGCGCACCACGCATCCCACGTGCTGTATTGGGCGGTCTCGCAGAATGAACTCCAGGTGACAGCTGGACCCGTGGGCCCTTCCTCTTGCGACGGTGGCTCGTAGGTGCGTGGCGACGTCACGATGACTCGCCACCAGTCCATGGCGGGGCCCCTTAACAGCGAAACGGCATACCGAATCTTCGCTGCGTCCGACTCGACGTAATTCGCGTCGAAGAAGACGTTCATCGTGAAAACCCACGATTGAACCGTCGGACCTCCACGCTGGCTCGGGTCGAAACAGGGCGGGCGTTGCAGCTTGAGTGGCATTGGTGCCATGATGGCCTGTTCGCCACTTGTCGCCGCGAACTCCACGTGCCGACGGGCTTCGCGAGGCTCCCGCGGGCTTGGTGCGCCCCTGTTTCCTCCCATGCCAGGCATTGGTTGGGCGGCGCTATCACTGGCTGCGCCCGAGCGCTGTCCCACGCTGTCGTGTTGTGTTGGTGTCCCGGACGAGATGACGATTGGCTCGTCCGATTGTGCAGGTGCATTTGTTGGTGCGTGTGGTGCTGCTAGAGTGTTCACCGTTGATTGCTGACGCGCGGAGTCACGTTCTGATGTGAGCATCGCAATTTCGAGCGCCAAATCTTCGAGTTGGCGCACCAGACGGTCGAGCTGCTCCTGCGTCAATGTGGCGAGCGTGAATTCGGCCATGGCGGGGGTGTCGGGCGAGCTCAGCGAGAGCCTCAGTCGTGGCCGTGCGTGCTTACGAGAGAGCACTACGAGCGGCGGTGCTGTGTCGCTGAGAGACGTCTACCCCCCCCAAAAACTGAGATAGTGGGGAAGCGAAGGTGTGGGTGCGGTCCGAGAAGAGATCGTAGGCTCTGAATACCAAGTGTTACGAGTACAATGAGCGAAGGTATGAGCGAAGAATATATAGCGAAACTACAGTGGTAACGGTAATGGACTGTGGTTGTCGCGCGACGGGCCTGGGACTGAGGTTGGGAAAAGTGTCGAAGCGGAGGCCCGGAGCGCGGGTTACCCGCCGAGCCGTGAGGTCGGGGTGCGACGTGCGAAGGTGGCGGGCGGATTGTCGATGCGAGGATTGCGAGTGGTAACGGTGCTGACGCGCTACAGTGATGTACGCGTTGAGCAGGGACGCGAAGTAAGGAAAAAGAGATTTTCCTTACAAATAGTCATACATGAACCAATAATGACGTAATCCTACAACATTTACAACAATATATGTAACCGCTGCTTGCTCGTTCGCCTGCGTTCTGCTGCTGGTGAAACTAGAAGGCCTCCCTAGAAGGCCTTATGAACTCCCTAGAAGGCCTCGCGGAGAAAATTCGATCCTTTTTCGCTGCTGATCGATATCAGCTAACACATTTGCATTCTAGTACTAAACGCGATTGTACTCGCAGTTCATTGCCATGGCCAACCCACAGCGGGACGCACGGCCTCCCCACACAGCGCCAAGTGCCTCCACAAATCCCTTCCTCGCAAATCCTTTCATGTCTCCATCATCCTCCTCCCCTTCCCCTTCAGCCGCGTTCCGCACTCCGCCTCCCGCTTTCGCTTCGCCCACTTCCGCGTCCCCCGCATTCGCTACCCCCACTTCCGCTCGCCCCGCATTCGCTTCCCCTCCGATCGCCGCTCCTGTGACATCGCCAGGCGACCGCCCAGATCCCAGCTACGCCACTCCGCAAGCCACCAGCCGTGCTACATCGAGATTCGGCCCTCCGCTTCACGCACTCCACTCCACTCCCTCTGGACCCAAATCCAGCCCGCGAAACCCTAGCCGGGGTGGTAACCCGATTCGGTCGCAGCCGGTGGTTTCGCAGCCTTCAGCAGCAGCGCAATCGGCCACTCCTCCCGCCTTCGCAGCACCTTCCTCCTCTCCCGCCGCTTGGTACGGCTTCTCTCCCTCGGCCTCTCCTATCGCCGAACGCAGCAACGCCAAGACGAACGCGCTCGTGTCAGCAGCCGATGCTGCTGCTACGCCGGATAAAGCTGCTGCGTCTTCGGCCCCTAGCAGCATCCGACGAGCCGAAGCCGAGGAACAGGTTCGGGAGAGGTTCGGTAATGGAGGGGCGGGTAGTCATGCGGGTATTTGCGAACGAGTAGGAGCCAAGGGTACTGGTCCGGTTAAGGGTAAGACACAGAAGGGGACGAAAGCCGAGCCAGCGGATCGGATTTCTGGCTCGGCAGGGGTGAATCCAATGGCTGCAGCAGACTCGGGGTGGACAGGTTCGGCAGCTGCTGCAGCTGGTTCGGGTGATGTAGGTCCAGCGAGAGGCGCAGGAGGTGCGGCTCTTCAGAAAACGGAGAAGAATCAAACGGACTGTTCAGATCTACAAGATCATAGCAGACAAAATGGATTGCCAGGAGGCCGTTCCCAGCCGTCCGATTTGCAACCGGCCTGTGTGGCGTCACACAGAGAGGAGAGAAACAGAGTGACAGGCTCTCTTGCTCCTTGTACTGTTTCCATCACGCCGCTACCATCGGCACAGGAGAGACAGGTTTCTCCTTCCGCCTCTCCTGCTTCCGCCCCGCTGCCCCCTCACGAGACGGGCTCCCCTTCCCCTGCCTCCCTCCCCTCCCCGTCCGCCACGCCCTCCGCTACCCCGTCCGCCACCCATTCCGCCACCCCTTCCGCCACTCCTTCCGCCACCCCTTCCGCCACTCCTTCCGCCACTCGTTCCGCCACCCCTTCCGCCACTCCTTCCGTTATCGATTTCGCTACCCCGTCCTCCCCCCCTTCCGCTCCCCCTTCCGCGGCCCACTCACATCACGGCCGTGTAAAGCGCAGCGCCAGTGACAACAACTGTCCGAGCCAGTCCACGCCCTCCTCTGCCAAGCCTGCCGTCCCGCCTCCCAGCCGAACCTCCTCCGCAGGCTCGGAGCTAGGCAAGGGCGCAGCGGCGGCGGCTGCAGCTGCTGTGGCGGAGTTTTCCGCGCGCAGGCAGCACATGGGCGCGGAAGCTGCAGGAGCGGAGCGGGGAAAGGGGGGAAAGACGCCTATAGGAGCAGCAGCAAGTGCAGCAGTGGTAACGACAGGAGGAAGAGAGAGAAGGGAGGGTTCAGGCAGTGCTGCGGATGTTAGCAGGGGCGGTAGCAAGAGTAATTCGATTCAAAGGAATGGTGATTCCCCCTCCCTCTCTTCTTGGCCTTCCCCCGCCCCAGCGTCCCCCTGGGTCCCTTCCCCCTCCCCCTCCGCCTCTCCTTCCCTCCGCACTCCCCACACGCCCTGGAGCGCCGCTTCCCCTGCCCCCTCCCCCTCCCCTGCCCGCCAATTCCCCCCCACCCCCTCCCCCTGGTCTCCCTTCCCCCAAACGTCCGCCAGGGGCAGGGGGAAGGGGGGGGCAGTGGCGGGGGGGGTGTGGTGGGGGAGGGCGGTGGTGGGGGCGCTGCAGCAGCGGTCAGCGGGGGGAATGAGGCGGCTGGCGCTGCTGATTGCGCTCAACTCCGCGTATTCCACTGCGGAGCTCATAGTGGGGCTGCTCATAGGGCGAATAGGTGGGTGGTTGACCGTTGACCAGTGACTTTGACTCCTTAGCTTGCCTTCTGAGGCGGTTGGCGCTCTGGTTGCGCTCAACTTCGCGTATTCCACTGCACAGTTCATCGTGGGGCTTTTCATTGGCCGAATAGGTGGGTGGTTGACAGCTGAGTGTTGCTTCTAAGCGTTGAGATTTGCTCACTGTCTTGCACACCCTGCACTTCTACTTCTCCCCTCCCAGAGCTCGTGTTCGACCCCTTTCCGCTCTCACTCCATCTCCCCTTCCCCTCCTCCTCCCCTCCCACCCTCCCCTCTCAGAGCTCGTGTCCGACTCCTTCCATCTCTCCTTCGGCTGCTGCATCCTGCTGCTCTCTCTCGCCGCCATGCTCGTGGGGAAACGCCCTGCAGATGCCACCTTCACCTACGGGTAGGCCTGCAGATGCCACCTTCACCTACGGGTAGGCCTGCAGATGCCACCTTCACCTGCGGGTAGGCCTGCAGATGCCACCTTCACCTACGGGTAGGCCTGCAGATGCCACCTTCACCTACGGGTAGGCCTGCAGATGCCACCTTCACCTACGGGTAGGCCTGCAGATGCCACCTTCACCTACGGGTAGGCCTGCAGATGCCACCTTCACCTACGGGTAGGCCTGCAGATGCCACCTTCACCTACGGGTAGGCCTGCAGATGCCACCTTCACCTACGGGTAGGCCTGCAGATGCCACCTTCACCTACGGGTAGGCCTGCAGATGCCACCTTCACCTACGGGTAGGCCTGCAGATGCCACCTTCACCTATGGGTAGGCCTGCAGATGCCACCTTCGCCTACAGGTAGGTCGTTGCTTGCACCTTTGTATACTCTCCCCAGGTGCCACCTTCCCCAGGTTTCACCTTCCCCAGGTACATCCTGCTGCTCTCACCTGCCACCATGCTCGTGGGGAAACGCCCTGCAGATGCCACCTTGCACCTTTGCCCTGCACTGCAGAAACCTTCCCCAGGTGACACCTTCCCCAGGTAACACCGTTCCAGGTATCACCTTTCCCAGGGTCCACCTTCGCCAGATGTGTAAATCTGTCCATCTAAACATCACTCTTTCCCTTGCACTTCAATTCTCCCTGCCGTTTGCTGCACTCCCTGTATTCCCGCTCCCCTCTGCACCCTCCCCCCGTTGTCCCTGCGCTCCTCTCTGACTGACCCCCTCTCCCAGCTATGAGAGGCTGGAGGTCCTAGCAGCCTTCACCAACGGGGTGAGTCCAGGATGAGTGAAACAACCCGACATGCATGCTATAAAGATGTCGTGTTTTTCCCTTCAGTGCGAATCCAAGTGCATCGCTGTTGCTCCTGCCTTCAGCTATGAGAGGCTGGAGGTGCTAGCAGCCTTCACCAACGGGGTGAGTGCCTGAACCCACTGCATGTGCCCTAGACACGTGCCGATTCACGTATCGCGCCTTTCGAGTGCAACAACCCATTTGCACTGCTGTTCCTACAGATATGAGAGGCTGGAGGTGTTAGCAGCATTCACCAAGGGGGTGAGTGCGAGACAAGTGTGACGGGAGTGCAAGAACCCACCACATGTAGAGAGGGTGTTTTTGAGACGTCTCAAAGAACCCACCACGTGTGCTCTAGTGACGTGCTGTGTTGCCTTTTACGTGCGAGTTCAAAACCCGTTGCATCGCTGTTCCTCATGCCTTTAGCTGTGTGGGAAGCATTGGGCATGAGCAGCGTCGCTCTCCGCTTTCCCCCCTGCACCTCCCTCCCTCACACCTCCCCTCTCTCCACCCCTCCCTGCAGCTCTTCCTTCTCTTCCTCTCCTTCTCGCTAGCAGTGGAGTGCCTGCATGCTTATATCGAGGATGAAGCAGAGCACAAGTGAGCTCTTTGATCCCCCCCATCAATGCCTGCCTATTTGTCACTTCACTTGTACAGCTTTGTCAGTAGCGGACAGGTGGGCTGCAGAGGCCTCACTTCCGTTCATTGCCTTTGTGCCTGCTCTGCTCATTCACTGCCTGTCTGACTCAATCCCTGATTCTTGCCCGATCCAATGCCTGCTCATCACCTTTTTGCCTTCCCTTCACTCTCTACCCACTTTCCAGTCTGTCAACAGTCCCACACTTCCCTCGTCATGCTCTCTTGTTGTAATCAACCACTCCCTCCTGCCCAGGCACTATCTGTTGATGCGCACTTCAGCTCCCTCCTCGGGCTCTTCAACCTGTGCTTCAAGCGCTGGCCATTGAGTCGACTCAAACGTCACCTCTTTCACTCCCTCTTATCGCCCGCAACCACTCTCCCTCTCCCCAGGCACTACCTGGTGCTCTCTGCAGTGGTTCATCTGCTCATCAACCTGCTCGGAGTCTTCTTCTTCAAGACCTGACTTGTGACTCAACTTGAATGTCCTCTCTTTCACTTCACTCTCTGTGGTTGCCTGCAACTGCTCCCCCTGCCTCCTCCCCAGGCACTACCTGGTGCTCTCTGCAGTGGTTCATCTGCTCATCAACCTCCTCGGAGTCTTCTTCTTTAAAAGCTTTGCCCGCCGCACAATAAGTGAGTCTCGGGGTGTCTGTGAGAGAGTGCAGGGGTGTGTGAACAGGGTGAAGGGAGTGAAGTGGGTGAAGCGGGTTGAAGGGGCATAAACCATCGCGCCATCAACCTCCTCGGAGTGTTCTTCCTAAAGGGTTTTGCCGTCGCACGATGAGTGACTCTATGGGTACTCATGTGCGTCAGCAGTGGTGTTTGTGCAGGGGTGCATGATTACTTAAAACCAGGGTGCACATTCAATTGGATTTCTGTCAAAGGTTAACCTTTGACCTCGGGGTTACTCAGTGATTTAGGAATATCTGGGGGGAGTGTTCGCTTCAGCAGGTGAACATTTGAACCCTCGAGATTTGGCAAATGTAAACCGAAGTCATCGAATGTGCTTCCGCCAATTCGTTTCCCCCCTCCCCATACCTATTCCGCTCCCACCGAAATTGTTTCCCCTTCCCCCACAATATCGTCTCACCCCCTTTCCCCTTTCCGCCAACCCAGTTGCCCTCCCCTTGATCCCCAATTTCTAGATCCAAGTGTTATCAATTTCTCCCCTGCCAAGCCTCATCTCTCACGGACGAAAAGCCCCATGCTCGCCCATTCTCAACTATTTATTCGCTACTCGTCAACCAATCAGCAGTTCCCGCAAACATGCCGCCCAAAATTTAGCCTGGAGTCGCGTTGAATGTGTACCCTGGTTTTTAAGGGACTAAGGGACATGAACCGTCAACCAACCGGCTTCTCTCCTCCATCTTTCCTGCGCCGTGCTCTTCTCCCTTCTCCTTCTCTTTCTCCCCTGTGTGTTGCAGCATACCAGAGACCAAGGGACATGAACCATCATGCCATCCTGCTTCACCTTCTCTGTGACTCCATCCGAAGGTACTGATCACGCGTGAACACTACGTGACTTAGGGTTTAGGGTTTAGGGTTTAGGAAGTCTCTATTTCTGCATGTGTTTTCTGATAATTGTATAGAAACACTGTGTGTGAGCACTAGGTAACACATGCTCTTCTTTAAATCAGCTCGGTAGTCTGCTGCTGCGCATGCTCTCTGTGACTCCATCCAAAGGTATTGACCGCTGCATGTGACTAAGGTGTAATGGTGGTCCCATCAGATTATCTATTTCGACCCATCAGGTCATCTACCTGGACCAAACAGGGCATCTAATTTCACTCTTCAGGTGCCATCAGGTCATCTACTTACATGCATGAAATTATCAGGGATGGATTTGCATGCGTCAAAGAGTCCAAACCCAGCCTTATGTTCCATCCATATTCCCATCGCCGCTTGCCTGTCGCAGTGGTGGAGTTATGCTCGCCTCGTGGTTCATTGCCATTGGGTAAGCAGCAATGTACGGTACGGCAATACTGCGATTCTTCACATGGTTCTCTTCCAGCCTGATCAAGTTCTTCTCTTGTCTCTATTCACTGCTGCACACTGATTTACATTGCACATGCCATATATTACAGGAAGTCCTCGAATTTCACTCCCTCCTTGCCTCGTTAATCTCCCCCATCCCTATCCAATCATGCCTGCCTCCATTCCCAGGGTGTACAGTGCAGAGGCCATCTGTCTGGGCCTCGTCTCCCTCACAGTGCTCGTGCTCGCGCTGCCATTGGTGCAATCGTCCGGCAATCTCCTGCTGCAGATGGCTCCTGCAGGCATCTCCGAACCCGCGCTGCACAAATGCATTCGCCATGTGGGTCTTTCATCTCCATTGTTTTCATCTGCATTCAGTCTGTTGGTCCCTGTGATTCTCCCATACTGTATGTTATGTTTGATTTGTAATTTGCATGTCAGGTCTGTCAATGAGTGCACGTCTGTCATTAGATGCATGCATGGATGGCTTTTTGGTCCTCACACTGAGCATGCGAGCTGTACCATGTGTGCCTGTTGTATGGTTCCATGTGTTTTGCGGTTTGTGTGTCTGTGCGTGAGCCTGGCAGGTGGCGGCATATGAGGGGGTAGAAGAATGCATAGAGCATCGCTTTTGGGCAGTGGTCCCTGGACATGTGGTGGGAACACTTACTGTTCGGGTAAGTACACAGCTCTTTACGTTCCACATGCCACACATTTTGTTGTTTCGAGCTGCTGGGTTAGGAATGTCATGTTTCAATAAGCCTTCAACAGGCAAAGACAATTTGCATATTAATAAATTCTACATGTTGGTTGTTGTTTTGCAGGTTAGAGAAGGCGTGGATGAGCAGAAGGTTCTAGAGCACGTCCATTCCATTTTCAATGACATTGGTGTCAGGGACCTCACTGTTCAGATTGAATCTACCTCTTAGAGCATGTTCCTACACCTCGTATCAAGAGAACCTCGTATCAGGCTCACACTAAAAATTTCCTAAGCCCAAAACCTCTCGCTAGTTTTACCAAGCAAAAGGTACATTCTTGATACGAGGTTTCATGATATGAGGCCATAGGAACACGCCCTTAGAATGAATGTAATGTAGTACCCTGTATATAAAACGCAGGCCTCCGATAGGGCCATGCGCTTGTATGGGGAGCAAAACAATGCGCCAAGTTGAAAACATGACTTGTGGGTTTGGAAACAGCGAGGTTTCTTATATGCCTTTATTCTAAAAGCAAAAGAGGCACCATGTAGTCTGTTTCTCTAGACACTGCTTATATAACCTCAACCAAGCCAATCGTGGTCTTGAGAACAACCCCCTGAAGTATTTCCTAACAGAGAGTCGATGTACAGGTGTAACTCGTATGGTAAATAGAGTTGCATTGTACCGATATCTTGCTTCCCCTAGGAACTACAGTGTCAGGGAGACTGTGGCTTGCAATCCTAGCTGGAAACCATGCCAGCCGGACTTCCGTTATTGGTTGGCTTCAATGGTTTTGTGGCCAATAACTTGCAAATTGGAAAGGGCTAGCGCCCCATGTGTCTGTAAAAGGAAGGTGGTTGAAGTCGTCAGCATGAAAACTATTGGCTGCAACTTTTCTGCGGCGGGGTGGTGGTTGTAAGCCGTGGCATGCAAATCAAATACTTGTGGTGAAGGAAGAGCTGGACAGCAATTTGAACAACTTTGCCGTTGCTCTGCTTCGCTGAACAAAATATTTTCTCTTGTACACAGTAACATTGCTGTCTGCGAACACTAGTGGCCTTCATCACCACCACTCCCACAATTTCAAGCGTCATGACACAGAGGTCGACATGAAATTTCGAGCCAAATTGTTCAGATTGTTCGGTCGTTCTGCCCGAACAATGTGTCTCGAGATTTCATATTGGCTGGAAGCTTCCAAGGTGAATATCCCTGCCGCCCTCGCGTGGGAGTTTGTTCGCATCGCCTCGCCAACCAGGCCGCATCCTCCCTGCTCGACTTCCTGACGTGAATCGTGATCGCGGGCGGAGCGGACTGCTTTCCGCCAAGGAGGCCTGCTTGCACCGCTCAGAGCCGAACCAGGCGCACATTGCTGTCCCCCTGTCACGTGTGGTCCCCACTTCCCGAACTTCTCAACCAATCCACCGAGCCCTGATTTATCCAAGACTCGCAGCAGGCCACTCGCCGCGTGTTCCCGGGACAGCTCAGAGCGTGGCTCCCGTCCCTTCTCTTCTCCGCCTGGTTCCCTTTCCCGCCCCCGCAGGCACATGCGCACTGTAAACCGTGGCAGGCGGATTCACACTTTCAAATCAACTGGAGCAAAAAGCCTTCCCCGAACCATGTTCCCAAGGTTCCCTCTCCCGTCCCGTTCCGCTCTGTCCCAAGGTTATGATTTGATAGCAGCATTGTGTGGGGGATGGGGGGGGAGTGGTACGGTCTCCCCTTGATCAGGTTTAATGTTCAGATACAGATCACACAGCTGCTGTTACTGCCATGCCATCGATCGAGCAGGAAGGAGCAGCTGAAGGGGAAGCGTAGTCAAGTGGTTCTGTGGTGTTTGTGCATCCATTATCCAGTGCTCTATGCAGCTTTCCTTGCGCTGAACGTATGTTTTGCTCGCGCGGGACGACGATATTTCTGTTGGCGCAGGGTGAATCAGTGTTAGCATGCGAAGGATCAGTCTGAAGAGCTTCCGTGGTGGTGAAACTGTGATGGGTTATTGAGGTCTTAAACTAGAGGCCTAGTTAAGATCTTCCCCGTTTCATCAACTTGCATAACTAGTCTGTTGTTTTTTACCACAGGCTCATTCATCGGATATGACTGCTGACGTGGAAAGCTCCCACTGTCTCTACCCTCTCCTCTCTATGGCGCGTTCCTCGCCTGTTCCCGCTGATCCCGGTGCGTCCGCGTTTGCAGCGTCCTCTCTTCACAGTACAGCAACCCCTCCCTCAGAGCCGTTTAGAGAGGAAGGAGAGCAGCTTCAGTCCGTTAGGCCGTTCGATCTATCGCTACCCTCACGCAATTCGTTCTTAACTCCTCAAGCCGCTCGGCCTTCCATAGTCATGTCAGCGATTAACGCTGCAGCAACGGCTACAGGCTCGGCAAACCTGGCCAATCAGCAGCATTTTCTCCAACCAAGCCCTTGCCTCCAATCGCCGGTTGACGTCAGTTTACCGATCGCCATTCCCTCCGCTCTTCGCGGGACGGCGGTAGTGGCGGTAACCGGCGCGGGGATCGAGGCGAATGCGCTAAGCCCGCATTCCACGCTTAGTGGCGGAATAACGCACAAGCTGTTCCTTAGCACGCAATCCTTCCGCAGTTTTCCTCCCAACCTCCCCCTTTCTGCGCTTGGCTCATGCTCCTCCTCGGGATCGTCCGGGGCCTCCTCCCCCTGTGGCGGAACGGAACGCGGTTCGCAGTCGCTTTCCGTCAAGCGACATCACGGGGGGTCGGAGAACTTGCTGAAACGGATCAATTTTAGCATGTCGATGCCGAATTTGAACGGGTGGTTGAGGAATAAAGACAGGCGGTTCGACGAAGGCGCCGGAGGTTCCGCACACGGGCCGGACGAGGGGAGTGACTTGTCGGCTATTTTCGAAGTGCCGCAAAGCGTGGCGCAAAGTGCGGAGCGAAACGCGGTTCAGAACGCCGTGCAAACTGCCGTGCAGAATGTAGATGCGGGGCAAACGGGGATCACGCTGAGCCGAAGCCACAAGGAACCGGTGCGAGAGGTGTCGTGGACTGGCACCGCGGTTGTGACTGAAGACGAGGAGACTGCAGCGAGGTCGCCAGGCGAGTCATCGCGAGGAAAGTGGCGGATCACGCGAAGCAGTCGCAGCCATCGGGAGCATCACTCGCGAACAGGCTGGGCGACGATTGGCGACAAGATTCGCCTGTCATCGCTGTCGTCGAGTCGGCTACTGCCGTCGAGTCGGAGGAATTTTCTGAGAAACTCTCCGGGGTCGATGAATTCGATAAGCCTCAGAGGGCCCTTGGGTCCCGCGGGAGGGGAGGATTTTATTACCATGAGCCTTGGACAATCCTGTGGTCCTTCTGCTCCGGAAAATCCGCAAAGGCCGGCCGGAGGCGCGGCGGAAGCGGCGGTCGTGGAAGGGGCGCGCGAGGGGGAGGCAGCGGACTGCGAGGGTGGAGAGCAGGAGCTGTTAGGACTAGAGGCGGAGGAAGGGATAGTCGTCTCCTGGTCTTTAAATAACGACGCTGCGGCGCGGGGGAACGGCGGAGCGACGTGCGCATCGGCGGAGGGAGCGGAGTGGGCAGAAGGGGTGGCGGGGGAGGACCGCATGCAGGTGGTGGCCTCAGGTAATGGCTACGTGTTTTCTGCCGTGTATGACGGATTCACCGACACGTCAGCAGCCGATTTTCTTGTCGCTAATCTGCACTCGCGCTTCGCCCAGCAATTAGTTGCCCGCGGGTTGGATTTCGGAGAGGCAAACTCGAATGCCTCGTCGGTCCCGGCGGAAGGAGCTGCGCAGAAAGAAGCGGAGGCGAAAGACACATCGCGGCGACACGAGATGGTCCTGCAAGCACTAGCGGCGGCGCTGAGCGAAACCGAAGCGGCGTACTTTGAGTCGTTAGAGGAGCGAATGGCGGAGCAGTTAGAGCTGGCGGTGGCGGGCGCGTGCCTCGTGGTTGCCGTGGTGGCCGGGCGTGAGCTGTACGTTATGAACCTCGGGGACTGCCGCGCCGTGGTTGTGGCGGAGGACGGGCAGGCGGGGCAGGCTGGGCAGGCGGGGGAAGAGGGAGAGATGGGAGAGGAGGCGGAGGCGGAGGGGCGGAAGAAGCTGGCGGAGTTGCGGGCGACTCAGCTGACGGAGGACCACAACACGAGCAACGAGAAGGTGAGAGCAATGCTGGCACTTGTTCATCCGGACTATCTAGTTAATCTAGATTATTATTTTTCCGTTGCGGTTCTGCCTCCTATCTGCATCTCGTACTGACATTTCGTCTATTCCACTGTTGTGCGTGTTGCCTGCCACTGGTGTTGGTTCCAGGAGGTGGAGAGGTTGAGGAGGGAGAGGGCGGACGATCCCGACGTCATCACAAAGATGCGAGTCAAGGGCAAGCTCAAGACCACCAGGGCGTTTGGTGCCGCCTACCTCAAGAATGTACGCTTTATCTTTGTATTAGTCCGTAGTCCACCCCCTGCTCTCTCCCTTCTCGCCTTGTGCTGCCCCATTGCCTACTGCACACATGCAAGTGCATCAACCTGACCAGCTTTTCTTGACATCTGTGTCTGTTTCCGCTCACATCTCCTCTCGCCTTCCCTCTCTTCCTTCCGCCAGCCGCGAGTCAACGCCATGCTTCTCGGCATGCTGCGAGTGCAGTACGTGGGGTCTCAGCCCTACCTCTCCTCCTCACCACACCTGCACCACCTCACTCTCTCCCCCTCCCACCGCTACCTCGTCCTCTCCTCCGATGGCCTTTATCAACACATGACTCCTGCCGACGCTGCTGCCTCTGTGTCCCGCGCACTGGCTGCTGTGGATAAGGCTTCTGGCGCTGGTAGCACCAGTGCTGAGGGTGGTTGTGGGAGCCCGTGTAAGGGCGCTTGTGGGCCGAATCTTTCGCATGCGCTGGTGCAAGAGGCGCTTGATCGAGCTGCGAGAAGAGCAGGTGGGTACTTGGATATTGTCCATGCTTTGTTGTGGATGTGCATGATCGTGTTGGGTTGTGGTGGTGGTTGTTTTGTGCCGCCTGTCTGACTGTATAATGTGTTGTGTTTTTGCAGGTATGACGATTGAACAACTCCTTCAAATACGAGCAGGCGATTACCGCCGACAATTGCATGACGATTTGTCTGTTACGGTTCTGGAGCTTCAATGCTAGCTCCATTCTGTCATATCTAATAGCCTCCGCTGTTTACTGTGGCAGTGAACTACTGCTATGATGCAGGAGGTTCAAATTCATACTACCATATCCGTTTTGGGATCTTAAAATTTTGAATGCTATACGCATATAATAAATGAAAGCCGCTGCTGCTAGTCCTTGCATAACATCAGTTCAGCTACTGACGTTCGAGATCTTCCTTCCAGCCATACATTTTTTCTTGCAAGTATACTTCCAGTTCCAGTTAGTTAATCAGACATCTCGTCGTAATGCTGGTGAAGTGCATAAGTATGTTGGATGCTCAGGGGCACGAGTGTGGAATATTCAACCGTATATCGCGTCGTCCAAAATCCATGTACATTCGCCATCGCGCATTGCTTTGAGCCGTGAACGGTCAGGATTTCCTCGCGGTTCGAGGAGTGCGAGCATGCCAAGGTTGGAAACCTCATCTGCTCAATGCACGCCACCTCCTGCTTCAGGTAGCAATCCAACTCTCTGCCTCTCAAAAGGCCAGCAGGAAATCCAATTTCTGAGCTTACAACCTTCCGTCATGCTCCTCTTATCTCTCATCTCCAAATTCTTCCTGTCCTGCAATCGCCTAGAAACCCTTGCATTGTGGGTTCCTTGCAGCAGCTCGTGTGCCCATGCACGCCTTTCGAGTCAGCTTCGCGTTTGTTCTCCCAGCCACGTCTTTGAACATCGTTCGGAGCTAAAGCTGGCTTCAGGAGAACGTGCATGGCAGGTATCTGAGCTAACACTAACTAAAGCTAGCACCGATCATGGGAGCGATGCATTTAAGATTATATTTATTCATTCGCTCTTTTCTTCGGCTTATCCATGTTGTCTTATTCTAGATTGCATGAATGCTTAGATCCATGACCGTTCTTACCAGCAGAACCGCACGTTCACCGTTGATTACGGGTTTCCAGATTGAAATGCAGATTAAGAGTAGAAATTTTACCTCACGGGATTATTGTTTTTAGTATCGACTAATATTTTGCGTGTGGTTGTTTGCAGGATGGCAACCGATGCTAATTCTGGTGGCCCTCTGAGGGAATACATGCCAGATTCTTCTGGAAGTTCCAAGGATAGCGTGAACGAGGTAGTTCTATCAATATTTTGCATTCATCAGGGGTCTAACATATGGGATCAAATCATGCATACTAATACTGGCTTTGCGTTTGCTTGCAGGCTGCTCGTGTTAACAATGACACGGTTATATGTACTCTTCCATCTCCTCGTACTGATGATGCTGACCATGGCGCTAAAGCGCTTGGCTTTACCACTCCTGAGCTGCATAAACTTGAGATGCCATTCAGTTGCGCTAGAAGTGACATTCCACGAAATCCCAGCTCTCCCTGTCTGCGAAATGTGCCATTATTTGCGACGGATGACAGATCTGGATCCACAGGACAAACCAATGCCAACCCGGAACCATCCTCGTTCTTGGCGCTTATCCAGGCAGCAGATGTACAGAATCCGCCTTCTCGGAATATAGGAGATGGCGCGGACACTCAAGGGCTAGGAACGGAACCTGTTGCACAGCACACTGTGACACCCCCTGCTGATGGCAGTAGGGGTCTTACTGATGGATCCGCTCCTGCAGCCTCGGAAAGCCTGAGGGGTGTGGATTTATCGGGGCTGCAAGAGGTGACAATATCGGGAGCAGATAATTTGAACGTGCGGAGAAGGCTGTTCGTTGACCCCCTCGACAGCCCTCCTAGAGGTCCACGCCACCGTGTGCTTTCTCCACCCTCAGGTAATAATTTATGTGGATAATGCATGAATGTTTGCTATGTGATAAATGCATGACTGACTTACATCTGAGGAGGAGATACGTCGACTGATTGATGCGTGACTATTCTGTAGATTAGTATGCATGAAGTGATGACTTGGTTATGCGTGACTGATTGGCTACATGAAGCACGGCTGATTGACTGTATCATGCTTAGTATAGTATAAGTGACATTTTTTTGCATTTTGTTTTTCTTCAAAAATGGCACATAGCTGACAGAAGCAGCACTCTTGTTGTTTTCCATGGTGATGGTGCAGGCGGTGGAGGAGGAGGAGCAGAAGAAGGACCAGCGGAGGTTACAAGGCGGCAGGCCGGGAGAAGGAAGAGGTTGTTACCCAGCGAAGAGGTATGCAACTGCTCACATCATGTATTCCATCCTTAATCTGTTCCAGGTTCTCCATGTCTCCAATGCATCTCCTCATGCACCTCATCCCAGTGATTCACCTCTCACTGCCTCACCACCCTTTTTTCTGTGTCGTTTTGTTCGTCCAGGAACGTATGAGAGCGTTCGGAGAAGCCATTCAGTGGCGGATGGAAGCCATAGAGACGTCGGGATCAGCACATGAATTGTGCTTGGATTTGGGATCCGACATGCGGTTTCTCAAGAAGTGGCTTATTACCAACAGGCCAAAAACAGTAAGTTTAGCTTGAGAATATATCGAATGCGTTCTACATATTGTTCTAGGGCGATATGTTCCTCCTTTGGTGTGTTGTACCCATATCTCGTGTTATAGAGGCTACAGTGGTCAATCTTCTTGGCCCTTTTTGTTGCGACGGAAGGTGGTGGTTGATAGATTCTAGAAACGTAATCTCTGATTTTATGTTACTTTTCTCCTCAGGACATCAACCCTGCTCAACATGGGAGGCACCTGTGGGACATCCGACGGCACACAACACCCCCTGCAGCGGGATTTAACGACCGCTTCACCGCTCTGCACTCCTCACAACCTCTCCCAGCACTGGGTCCTTTCCGTTCAGAGAGCGGCAGTGCAGCAGCACACATGCCTGGCTACTCCCATGGATTGGCACCAGGAGTAACATCAGGGGTTTCATCAGGATTGACCTACACAGGGATGCTGGAAGGCGGGCCGTCAGCATTGGATCCTGGAGGGAGGGGGTTCAGTGCGCTGAGTGAATTTGATGCAGAGGTGGCCGCAGCAGGGGGGAAGCAGCAAGGCGGCAGCATGATGCAAGCGATGCAGGCTGCAATGGGAGAAGACCCTCAGCCTTCCCTTGGCGATTCCAATCAGTTTCCATGGTCCTCCTTGGGGCACAGAGCTGGGGGATATGGGGCATCAGCACTTGATTACTCATCTCGCCTGTCCGCAATGGGGATGGGTTTGGGGTCAGGAGGAACTAGAGCTACAATGATGCAAGGATTGGAATCTCTCAACTACCAACAGCTTTCCGGAAGGGCACAGGGGCAGGGGATAACAGGGGCTGATGACTTTCCCGGTATGGTGGGAGCATCATCTGGGGGGCTGTCTCATAGGCTAGCTATGGATGAAGGAAGGATGCTCATGGGTCAAGCGGAGGCTGGCATGGAAGGGATTGGAAGCGGCACTGGCTTGGCAGGATTCTTGCAGTACCACCACCATAGCCTGGATCCGTCGCCGCTTCCCCGCACACCATCAGGCCAAGTCATCATGCCATCCAGCCACGTCAGCATGTCGGACAGAGCGTACCTACAGCAGCCGGCCAGCACCTCGTTCCAGAGCCTCCTCGCTGCTCCGGAGGAGAGAGGTCTACCCGGCTGGCCTGACAGGGCGCTAGGCTTCGATGCCGGCCCATCTTTTGGCGGTGGTGGTGGTGGCGGTGGCGGTGGTGCGTCCAGTGCGGGCATGACTGACGCCATGCTGTGGTCCGCTAGTCTCCACAGGGATCTCCAAGCAGCAGGCAGGCTGGGAGGAGCTGCTAGAATGGGTTCTGGTGGAGCTACGGCTGCTGGGGTTCAGGCACAGCAGCAGCACGAGGGGGGTCTGGAGCAGCAGCAGCGTCAGGGTGAGCCGGGAGTGGGAGGTGCTGGCGGTGATGGGAAAACTGTTGAGGCAGAGAGTGGGGCACTGGACGCTGGTGCGGATGGGGCAGAGGGGGGTGATGCAGGGGGGGTTGGTGGGGCAACACAGGGTGGAGTGGAGGGCGGTGAGGGGAAGGGGAGCGGAGGAGCATCAGAGGGGGAGGGAGGAGATGGGGGTTTGCAGCGGTCGTCACGGCTGCCTCCCTGGGCGAGGAAACAGCTGCAGCAGTCAGGAAGGGCCCTCGGGGGCGACCCTTTCCGTGTGTCCTCCCCTCGACTCGCCTCCTCTCCCCATCTCTCCTCCCAATTTTCCTCCCCGCTCTCTTCCCCACACCTGCCATCTCCCCTCTTCTCCCCCGGCCAGCCTTCTCCATTCTCCTCCCCTTGCTTCTCCCACCTCCCCTCCCCTCGTCTGGCCGAATTCCAACGCCTCTCCATCTCCATCCCACCCAGCCCTCCCCCTTTCGGCGCACACTCCCCCTTAGGGGCGTACACACCCATGGGCGCACCCTCCCTCTCTTCCAGAACCCCTGGCTCCTTCCCCTTCCCCACGCATTCCCCCCTCTCTGGTGCCTTTCCTTCCGCCAGCCTCAACACCCCTTCTGTGGCCAAACTCTCCCCCAGTGTAGCTGCAAGCAACCGCAGCAAGAGGAGGCTGGCCCTTCGCGCCCACCACTCAGGGGCGCATATCCCTGGTAGAGGGCGGCACACAGGGGGAAGAGGCGGAGGGCTTGGGGGATCCCTGGGGTCCCCAAGAGGGAGCGGACGAATGGGGCAGCAGAGGATGAGGGTGCAGGGGACGTCTGGGGGTTTGAATGTGGGTGGAGAAGGGATGGGTGGGACGGGGCACGGGCAGGGAGCCGTGGGTGTGGCAGGGCAGCAGATGAGTCCGGGGCAGGTGATGGTGCATGGGAATGTGAGTGGCAGCAGCAGTGGCGGGGGAGTTATCGGTGGCAGCAGGCTGCGACCACAGGCTTCACTGACCGAGTCCGAAGGCAGGTATGGCTGCGCGGCAAGTCTAAAGCCGTTTCTTCTTTACCGTTGCCTGTTCCGGAACCCCTTGCCTTGCCACGTGCATGGATGGGAGGCAGTGCCCCTGGAAGTGATGAGTCTGATTGACACCATGTCTAGTGGGCGTTTTTGTGTTGTGTTTGTGGTATGATTTTGCTGCGGGCTGCCTTTGCTTCCTAACATGCAGGGAAGTCAGGGCCTTGTGTCTGGAGCCGCTAACCCGCAGGGGGTCTCTCACCCGGTCGGAAGGGGAGGGAAGCGGAGGCAGTGGCGGCAGCAGGGGCACGGCACTGGCAATGCCACGTAGGATCGCCAGCATGGAGGTCACCGGTGACGTTGCAGGGCCTGCTGACGTGGATGGTGGTGCTGACGTGGACTCCAAGTCGGGCGGGTCTGCTGGCAGCACGCCAAAGCAGCTGCAAGGCGTGTCCAACCAGGATTTGTCTCCATCCACAGGCACTGGCTTCCGTGGCTATGGCTCCAAGGTAATGGGGGCTATCTTATTGTATGCATTTCCACTTACGTAAGTTGACAAATGTTGCTCACTGTTTTATAATGCCAGGTTCAACTGGGTTAGATAAATATGTTGCGCATGCTGCTGGACTCTCCTTCAGACGCCTTTTCCTTCCTTTTCCCCATCGCCCACCTCAGAGCAAGTCAATAGGCGTGTTGTTTGAGAAGCTGCTGACGGCCAGTGACACGAGCCACCTGGGCAGGATCGTGCTGCCCAAGGTGCCGGCAGAGCGCTTCCTGACACTCCTCTTCCTTCCCCTCCCATTATCCTCCCCACTTCCCTCCCTACTGCCATCTTATCCCCATCGCCCCACCCTCAGAGCAAGACAATAGGCGTCTTGTTTGAGAAGCTGCTGACAGCCAGCGACACGAGCCACCTGGGGCGGGTGGTGCTGCCCAAGGTGCCGGCAGAGCGCTTCCTGCCACACGTGGAGAGCAAGGAGGGCATTCTCATCATTTTTGAAGACTCTATCGGCGGCCAGTGGTGCTTTCGCTACAGGTATGCTCCTTCGATAGTGTTGGTGCTTGTGGTACTGGTATGTGGTGTTCGTGGTAGAAGTCGCATTGATTCCTGCCGCACGTGGAGAGCAAGGAGGGCATTCTCATCATCGTTGAAGACTCCATTGGTGGCCAATGGTGCTTTCGCTACAGGTGTGTGTGCTCTTCACGGTACTGAGATGCCTCCTTGGTTCTTCTCGCGTCTGGAGAGCACGGATGAGGTTGTGGTGGGAACTGGTGCTACAGGTCTGATTTATGGGCCTGACTGACTCTGTGCCTCGCTTCCTCTGTGCGGCTGTCACTGCAGGTTTTGGCCCAACAATCGGAGCAGGATGTATGTGCTGGAGCACGCAGGTGAGATAGGATGACTTTTAGTTGTTGTCGCTTACATGTGTGGAAGGTGTTCGACAGGCAGCATTAACAACTCTTACTATCTGCTGTTACAATATGCAGGAGACTATATTCGCAAATACGGCCTTACAGCAGGAGATACCGTTAGTTTTCTCCGCTCCGAATTCGGCCATCTGGTGAGATTGGCCTTCTTTCAACATTGGTACTGTGATCATCAGCCCATCAACTTCTGCTCTCCTTCTCCCCTCCACCTACCTTTTTTTTTTTTACTGGCACTATTCATTTCATGATATGCACAATTCAACTCATCTGACCCTGTTTTCTTTCATTGTCTTATCTGTGCAACCGCTTGTTTGACCAGATGCTGAAGGAGCAAAAAGCGCCACCAGCAGTGCTCGCCGCGCCTCCCACCGTCGCCAGCCCATCCATCCTCGCCGCCCCCACCACTCCTGCGCCCGTCCTCGCCCTCTCCACGCACCCTGTCCCGCTCTCTGCTGTCCCCATCACCCCCTGCATCGCACCTCCTGTGACCGTCCCTATCACCCCTTCGCGAGCCCCTCTCTCTGCTCTCCCTACTATGTCCAGCGTAACACAGGACGTCCTACCCCAGTTCCCACCTCCACCTACCTCCTCCTTCGGTTTCCTCCAGCACAGACCAGACCTGCGTCCTCAGCCCCACTCCCTCCCTTCCCCACAGTCGCTCCTCCTTTCACACTCACTCCCTCTCACTCGCTCCATTGATCGCTTTCAGGGGAGTATCATGCAGGGAGGTGAGCAGATAGAAAGCGTCCCTCCTACCCAAGACCCACTTCAGGTGGACCCCCACCTCCCCTCTCCCCACAGCCACACGCCCCGCCCTCTCAGGCTGCTCTCCGTGCCTTCCCTACCTAGGACCCCCACACTCCCACCTGATACTGACGGGTCGTCTGCAGCAGCTGGGTCCGCCACTATTGCTGCTGCTACTGCGGCTGCCATCGCCGCCTCTGCCGCCGCTGCCACCGCTGCTGGTGGTGAAGGTGCTGGTGCTGGTGCTGGTGCTGGTGCTGGTGCTGGTGGGAATGGAGGTGTGCAGGAAGGTTCCAGGCCTGATTCGGCGCAGAAATGTGTGGGTGAAGCAGGAGGAGGTGTGAGTGGGGCACAGGGGCAGGCAAAGAAGGCAGCAGAGGCAGGAGCAGCAGAGGCAAGTGTGAGTGGTGCTGCGAAGTTAGACTTGAAGGAGGGTTTCGAAGGGAGCTGGCAGACTGCTGCTGCCATGGCCCTGCTCCCTGGCGATCGGGGTTATGAGGAGCCAACTCGCGGTTTTGGGCAGCCAAGCAGTGGCTTTGAAGACCCTAGCTGCAGTTATCATGTGCCGAGCGGCCGTATTGTGCAGGATCAGGAGAATTGTATCGTTGGCCAGTTGCAGTATTACGGTGATTTGGTGGGAGGAATGGTGAGGGGCGACGAGAAGGGAATGGAGAGAGGAGGGAGGGCGATGGAAGAGGAGGGGTTTGCGGCGATGGGTGCTGGATTGGGTGAGACGGAAGCAGACCGGCCTGCACACATGGGGAATCATCTAGATGCCCTTATGGAAGATGCAGAGACAGAGGCGGCTTTGGGTGAGAAGATCCTGGTTTTGAGCTGAGCTTGGATGGTGCTTGTCTGACTGAAATCTATGTTCGCCTACTATCCAAGTCGTGCCTGCTATGTCCTGACTCATTATTATTCTCGTTGTGCGTACAGGATTACACCAGCAGCCTCTGCAATGCATGGCGTCGCCCTTGCTGACAACCGGAATGCCTAGCCTATCGACAACGGAGAAATGCCTCGAGATGCTCGATGCTGATAGTGCTCGCGGGCACGAAGGCACGGCAAGGGATTGAAAATGTTCTGTGTTTGCTGGCATAAATCATTTTCTTTGTCTATGCGTTTTTTCATGAGTTGTTAGAATAGGGAATACCGTAGTTGGTGGTAGGAAGGATAATGTGTTGTACTAATAGTCTTGGGAAATAATGGATAGGTGCAAAAAAATTTGTTAAACTGTGAAGGTAAACTATTGCTCCAACCATGACATGGGAATGGAAGGGAATCCAGGAAGAATTCTAACCTTAATGTCCACTCATCTAGTGTAGGTAATCCTTCAGCAGATTCAGCTTATTTATCCCCGCCACTATCCGCTAACCTTGAGCTCTTATCGGAAACAGAGATCCACTCACCACTTGGAACAGTCTCGCACCCCTTTGGCCTGCAATATGTATTCAAGCCTGTCATTCTGTCATTCCGGCTTTCTTCTCATCAGTCTCTAATCTGTCAGCTAGATCATGGCTGTCAGCCAGGTCGCACACTCGTGCCTGTCGCACGCGCTTCTTCTGGCAGCACGCTTTTCGCATAATGTCTCGCAGACGTCCACGTGCGTCGCAGAGCAGTCCGTCTGCGATCGCTGGTGTCTTTTGAAGGATCGCACAACATACCGCTTGGTCTTCCAACTGTCTGTTGGCCGTCGTCGAGCTGTCGCATGCTGTCGCTCGTCCTGTCGCCGTATCATGAGCTCAGTGGCGACTAAGAGTCGCTTAGCGATGTGTCAGTCACCGCGTCGGACGCAGATCGCACAGATCGCACGGCTCGTAGCAAATGACCTCAGATCTGACAGTCGCGAAACGGCTTCAGGGAGAAAGGTATACCAAAAGAGGCATCCACCCGAACCGCAAATCCGGCCTAAGCTTTCAATAGCTACCAGTCCCGATGTCGATGCGCGTCGAAAGTAGATCCCAAGGTCGTCGGTTCGAGAGGAGGATGTACCGACCCGTCCACGTGGACCACCAGCGGTCCGTACGGTTCTGAGCTGGACCGAGCTGTGCCGGGCTGTGCCGATCTCTGCCTAGCTGGTACTGATATTTTGCGGAGAAGCAATCCAGTGTTGTTGTGCTGGCATAAGTATCTGCTGTCTGCATTAGTTGCACGCCAGTCCATCTGTCAACGGCCGCTGTGCTGTCAGTACTACCTATGCTGGCGTTGCGACATCTTGTCCGTACTGTCTCAATGTCCTGTTAGACTGTCCGGATTTTCTCCCCGTTGCCTGAACGTCGCTCCTCGCGAACTCTCGCTGGTTCGCGAACTCTTTTCTGGCTCGCGACGCTTGGCTCGTAAATCCCAAGGTCGGCCCAACAGTCTTACATATCAAACAATCAAGCCGGTCGACCGTCGCCCGTCAACTGACTCGCGTCTGATTGGCTGCTGGTAGACGCGCTGTCCGTCGTTTCGTCGCGTTGTAGTCAGACGTTGCGACTCTCGGGATCGCCGAGCCCGTCTAATTCCTGAAGCACTTCAAAGTCTCAAAGTCGAGTCCGTCCGACGCGTCTCAGAAGCCCCCGTCGCGGTTGCAAGTTACGAGCTCTGTTATCCCTCGCGACTTGTAGAGATATTACAACACTCCGTGCTGCGTTGCATTCCATCATTGCAGTTTCCGCTGCGTTCGCCTTGCGCGTGTCAGCTTTGTCTCCCGTTCCCGCGACTCACGTCACACGCACACGCCCTTGTCGAGTTGTCGACGCCAGTACGGGTTGCAAGCGCGGGGGAAGAGACAGGGGGAGAAGGAATATTGCGTGTGGGACAAGACGGGCGAAGCAGGCGACAGCAGACAGAAGACGAAAGGGAGTAGCAGCAGCAGCGTGGTTGACAGGTGCGAATTCCTTCGGTCTACCTTTGAGGCGTCGGAAGAAAAACTGACGTTTGCAGGCTCGTGGAAAGAGCATCCCGTGCTTCCAGAATCTGACCTCCTTTTTTGAATCTGCCCGTTTTTACTAAACAGGAGTGGAACGTTCTACCAGAAACGCCCGTCCCTAGGGATTCACGTGCACCAGTCCGCTAGCCGCGAACCTCCAGCCACTAGCTGCTAGCCGTTACTACAGCCGGTTGAAAGTTGTGGTCCACAAGGCACGACAGCAGGTATTGTGGATCGAGTCGGGGTCTTGAGCAGGGGCCGGGAGGGACAGGCGAGGTGGGAGAAAGGAAGCAAGGGGAGTGAGGGGGCAAAGGGACGAGTTTGAGGACAGGGAGGAACGAGGTCTGGAAGGATAAAGGTGGGAGGCGACGAGCCGAAGGGCGAGTTACTCATTAGCGCATCTACTCAACTCGTTGTTTCAGCAATAAGCCGCAGCTGCACGGGATTCTCCCATTTTCAGTGCTTACCTTGCTTCTTGCGCAGCAGCAGCAGCAGTCGCCAACCCTCCCACCTCGTTAGCCTGTTACTTAGAGCGTTCTTCTTTCTCTTTGCCAGCAAGGCCTTCAGCAACTGCACCAAATCACGCAACAAACAGCTGAACTTCCCCTGCCAGCAAGGCTGCCAACATGCTAGTCTTTGGAACTCGGCTCGGTCAACAGAGTCAAGAGAGTCAACGCGGCCAGGCAACCCAGCACAAGTACCACAGCCGCCCCTCCCAGCAGCTCTGCTCCCAGCAGCACCACTCCCTGCAGCAGCAGCGACAGCAGCAGAGCGGCCATGGCATGGCTGTGGCGATCGTCCCTGTGCTGCAGAGTGCTTGCCGTCCCAGAATCGTGCTTGAGCGCCACCACAGTCACAGCCCCCCGGAGCGCCAGACCCAGCAGACGCAAAATCAGCTGCGAGATCACCAGCAGCACCACTCCCAGCAGCACCACCGCTGCAGCCGCAGCTGCACCGGGGGAGGCCGGGAGAGCAGCTCCCCTGTCCCGTGCCGTAACCATGGCGCCCGTGGCGCCCATGACACACATTGCGGCCCTTGTGGCGAGAGTGAGAAGACAGCAGTGCTGTGGCTGCTGGGGCCAGCACATGGCCGACGAGGCCAGGGGGGAGGCGATGCAGTGCAAGCGCTGTGTGCAAGTGATGAGGGCTGCCGCTATGGGTTGGAGGATGGGAAGGATGCTCGTCCGCGTGGTGGCACGTCGATCGTGAATGAACACTTAGCTGAGGCGCGCTCGGCAGCGATGCACTCGACGCTGCAACCCTTGGCAGTGAATTGCTCTCCCACAAAAATCTTGCCTCTGAAGCACCTGCCCCAGCTGCATCACTCGGCCTTGAAGTGCTCGTACTCAGCTTTGGAACCCTGTGCTGCTAAGGGTTTTGGTAACGAGTTGAAACGGTCATGTGCAGTCAATCGCAACCCTGAATTGGCTGCAGCTGCAGCACTTGCTCCTGCTACAGTTCCTGCTACGTCACCTGCCACATCTCCTGCTGAAGCCACTCCTACAGCTGCTGTTACGTCTCCTCCTGCCCCAGCTGCCCCAGCAGTGTGCACAGAGATCGGCCTGGCTCTGCTTCCAACGCCCTCCCCACCAGCCTCAACACCCACACAGTCATCACCTCTGCGGATCAGCACAGGCAGAGGCAGCGACAATGGCGGTGGGAGAGCGGATGCATGCATCAGGACTCACAGAGGCAGCAACGCCTCTCCACCCTGCCCTGCTCGTCCTGCCCGTCCTAACGCAGCATCGAAGGACGTCATTCATTCCTTTTCGCGCTCTGCTCGTCCTGCTCCTGCTTCCACCGTTCCCTCTGCTCCCCTCCTGCCTCCCATGCGTTCCTCTCTTCCCCCCGCCGCTCCCACCCTCTCTCCTCTTCCCTCGCCCTCTCCCAACCACTCTCCCGTCTCCCCTCTCTCCCTGCCTGGCCCCGCTTTCCAGTCTCCCCCTCCTGCTCCTCTCTCCCCTCCCCCTGCTCGCCTCTCCCCTCATGCCATTCCTCTCGCCCCGCTCTCCCCGCTACCCCCTCCCTCTGGCTACCCCTGCCGTGTGTGCGGAGCTCTGTTTGCCTCGGGGCCTGCCCTGGGAGGGCATATGAGGAGGCACCTGAGTGGGGGATTCGAGGCAGGGGGAAAGGCGGACAGGGGAAGATGGGTGGATGAGCCAGGGGGCTGGGACAATCATCCATATGCTGGAGCAGAAAGGGCGCGAGGGGAGGGACGGGCAGGAGGGAGGTCTAGTCTGGGTGGGAGGGAGGAGCAGCAGGTGCAGGTGGGGTGCGAGTGGGGTGGCAGGGTGGGAGAAGCTTCAGGTGCAAATGCGGTGCCTCGCAACAATCGGCTTCTGCTGCAGCACCGCAGTGCCGATGCTGAACGAATCGCCATGATGGCTCAGGAGATTTCAGAGGCACCTCGGAGAGCAGGTGTGGATGGCACGGGCACGGTGCCTCGGGTGATGGGTTCTGGTTCCGTGCGTTCATTCTCACTTTCCCGCAGGCCTTCCCTTGTGCTGGCTAGGGGCCTCTCGTTAACTCGTGCTGACGTGGCATGTGAGCAGCGGCAGCAGCAGAATCTGCAGCACCACAATCAGCAACAGCAGCAGCAGCTGCCACAGCAACCTCAGCGGATAGTGAGTGCTATGCTGAGCCAAGTGCAGGCAGCGCAGCGCAAGAGGACTTATTCCGATGCGATGCAATGGGTTGATGCGAATAAGCAGATGGAGGAGAGCGAGGAAGCAGCCAAAGAGGGGTGTAAGCGGCGTGCACGAGTGCTGTGTATCCCGTCAGTGTTGCCCCAGCTTGTTTCCACACAATTTGGGTCAACAAAGGTTGCTCTTGTGAAACAAACCTCGCTGGTTGCTACGCGTGATTCACTTGAGCGAGTGCATAGCCTGCCAGCCATACAGATAAAGGATCACCGAGTCAAATCCTCATGCAAGGCCATTGCCATGCAAGAAATTGATTTGTCATTGCATCTTTGAGTTACACTAATTGTGATTACACTTATTGTAGGCACATATGTTCAGACCTTCCAATCTGCGGCTGGATTACATGACGAGAAGGAGGTATCCCAAAACCGCGTACGAAAAGGAGTCCACGTGGACAAAAGTGAATCGTTGATGCCTTTTCGGGGCAAAGATAGATATCACGAGAGTGGTTCCTCACCGACCATTTTGTATTGCGTTGCGGGACTCCGATTTCGCCAACTGCCATATCGGTTACCCTCACAGGGCAGATATTTTTGTTCGCGAGGGATCTATTTCGCAGGCACGATTCACCTTGCCCTGTCGTCAAGCCTCATTCATGAAGGGAATCCACTCACTGCTCTCCCATTTGCTGGCACTCGCACATGCACCGAACAGCCGGACCTTCATTGCTTCAAGGACAACTGAACAAACCACTGCTTCTCGCCTTTGCCTCATTTGTACTACCGTCTCACCTTCATCCTGCAATTTAGTCAGTCGTTGATTCCACCGAGCAGTGCCCTAACCTTGAACCAAATTTCGTACTAATAACAATCGCCGTAAGGATTCTGCCTGCTTCCAGTCTATTCATACCTGTGTAACTCATTCAAATTCCTACCCTGGCCATGGCTGCTCTTGCAATCACCACCCTTGTAAGCGCATCGCTGTTCAGTGCTCCACGGCAGCACACAGCCTTGAACGCCCGGTCTGCTAGTACGAAGAGCATCAGCAAGTCCGTACCCTTCCGATTTCAGAAACGCCTCTCCGCCGTTCGATGCAGCGCTGGAGGTAGGCTACTCCCTGTTTCTATCCTGACAATCACACAAACCCATCTCCCGCCACATTCTCAAGCGTCTCGTCATCGCGCTTATAGCATCCTCGTACAGTTGCTGACATATTGTTCCTGAATTGTTCCGTTGCAGGAGCGACCGCAACTCCGGCGGCTCCGTCCGTAGTTCCGGCAATTACGCTATCTGAGAAGGCTCTGGCGCATCTGACCAAGATGCGCGCCGAGCTGAACAAGGATCTGCTGCTGCGCATTGGCGTGAGACAAGGTGGCTGCTCTGGCTTCTCATACGTGATGGATTTCGAGGAGCGAGCCAACATCCAGGAAGGCGACTCTATCGTGGACTACCAAGGCTTCTCTATGGGTGCGTATTTCTGTATCTGTTTCGGACCTCTGTTGCTGTCGCGACTCGCTATATCTTACCCGCTTCCTTTTTTTTCCTAGTGATCTGTGATTTTCTGTGCCAGCTACTCAACATTCTTCTCGTGTTTGCATTCGCCCTGGCAGTGTGCGATCCCAAGAGCCTTCTCTTCCTGTTCGGCATGCGGCTAGACTACAGCGATGCTCTCATTGGGGGTGGCTTCTCATTCAGCAACCCTAATGCTTCCTCTACCTGTGGATGTGGCAAATCATTTGCTGCGTAGACCTGGATCCTAACATGTACATATATAAAATATATTGTACCGATTTATTGTTGAATTTATCTCGTAATTCAGAACTAGCTACTTCAGCTGGTTGCTCCTGTCTTCCATTTGGGTAGCTTGCCCTGAAGTTCCTTCGGCTGTGATTACCAGATCTTACTTTGTCAGACATCCCGTAAGCAGGATTAAATAACATGTCTTACAAAAACTTGCGGTAGTAGATTTTCCCATATCGTGACCTGTCACAAGATTCCACTTAGCTCGAAAATTGTGCTAGAAAGTAAGCGAGCCGGTTTGCCGAGTAGCGCATCTCACTAAACCGCAGTGAACTAGAAATCTGATGCCTTCTGGAGACCTCCAGTCAGACCAGCTGTACAGCATGTCATAACCAGAAGTCTACACGTGTACAATCCACGTATACACGCTTCCTCTGACATGGACGAAATCTTCCCACAATTTCTTGAAACTCACGCATCCTGAAATTTCCCGAATTTTGGCTGGATGCTTGGTGCTCTCGCCTCTGGGAACGATCCTTGAAGTTCACCATTCTGGAGCTCTATGCACCGTTTTGGATCATTGCGCACCAGAGATAACCATACAGAACTGATCTGTACACAGACAGATCCACAGATGCGCACTGAGTTGGTCATTTTCCTGCACCACCATGCAGCTGCTTCAAAAAGGTACTTCCGAGATCACATTTTCACTGACATCGGAATTCCCAAGGTTTGCGTAAGACTCGCACCGTCTGTGCAACGCCCTAGGCAGCACCCAGCACTTACTCATAGACAGCTCTCCCGCTAGGTCGAGTATCTGGTGTCAGTGAGCACAATGGAACTTGGCCTATCCCAAGTCGCGTTCCGCGCTGCTCCCCCGGGGTCGTGCGTTCAGCATTCGCCTTTTTCACGACAACCCAAGCTCAGCTCTCCAGTTTCCTCGTGTGCTTCCCTTATTCAACGCTCATCCACGTCGCACCATGGCAGCTCAGCCAACCTCCGCGTCCTGCCTTCTGGCAAGAACGCATTGCGTACAAAGAGCTTAGCGGCATTTAGAGGCGTAGGCGTCCGCGGTGTCCGCGGCACTGCGTCCCCGCGTCGCCTAGCCACGGTCTATGCGACCAGCTCCCCGCGTCCCAGTGTCAGCAGCAGCGTAGCTTCTAACGAGGATGGACTCGTTAATGGTCGGAGGTCGGACGACGAGACCAAAGCGCACGACGAGGCGATCGTTCCGCGGAACCCGTGCTGCGAGTCACTCGATCAGCTTGACCGGAATCTCTCATCAATGTCACCATCAGAAGCCCCATGGACAACCCTGATCCACCGCCTCGCCTTCTGGCGGTCGCATCTGAGCCGTCAATTCCACCTCCCGGAACCATCAGACATCCTCAGGGAAGCCGGCCGGCTGTTCGTGTCGCTGGCCGTCAGCGCCGTGCTGCTGACGTCCGTCAGCGCGCCGGCGACGGCCATCGTGCAGGCACCGCCGCGCAAGCTGATGCCGGACGAGCAGGCGACGGTGCAACTATTCAACGAAACGACACCGAGTGTCGTTTATATCACGAATCTGGCCGTTCGGAGGGACGTGTTTACACTTGACGTGATGGAGGTGCCGCAGGGGTCCGGATCGGGGTTTATTTGGGACCGCGAAGGCCACGTGGTGACGAACTACCACGTGATTCGCAACTCCAGCGACCTGCGGTGAGTCAAGTCAAGTCAAGTCAATTTAAGTCAAGTTAAGTTGAAGAAGTCAGGTGAGGGAGGGCCCGTTTGTGTGTCTACACTGGTTCTTGGAACGCTGCACAGAAGAGGAAAGTCTGAAGTACGACTAGTGTGAACTTGAACGTCAACCACTAATGCGACCATGAACGTCATTCACTAGTGTGACTTGGACTCGAGAGATCTTGAACATACAACCACTTGTGTGACCTCGAACGTCAACTGCTAGTGTAACGTCCCCTCCCAGGCACAGCGCCAGCATGCCATCATGCGATGCATGCCATGCCCAGCGGTGGCACATTGTGTCCTTCACCTTCGCCGCTCTCTCCTCCTTCTTACCGTGCTCCCAACAGTGTAACACTGGCGGACCAATCAGTGTACGCGGCTGACGTGGTGGGGTACGACCGTGACAAGGACGTGGCAGTGCTGCACATCGACGCGCCCAAGAGCAAGCTCAGGCCGCTGCGAGTGGGCAGCTCGTTTGACCTGCAAGTGGGGCAGCGCGTCTACGCCATCGGGAACCCCGTGAGTGTGCTGTGTGCGGTTACCAGGTAACCAGGTGAAGAGTGCAACGAGTAACCTGAGTGTGCTGTGTGGTAACCAGGTGAGAATGGTAAATAGTTATGCAATGTCCAGGTTGATATGGTACTGTGCCTTGTCGGATGTGCATGTGTGCCGCACCCTTCCCCCTTCCTGTGTGGCCTTACCGCCTGCCATGCCATGATGGGGACGTCTTGTTTAAGCGCTTGTGCTTATGAAGCTAGCTTTGATTTGACTCAAAACGCATCCTGTGCCACATGGCATGGCACGATGGAGGCATCATGCATGTCATCATGTATTCATCATCACCACTCCACTATGCTTCCTCCCCTTGCCCCCTTCCCTCCCAACGCGTGCTCGCTTGTGCAGTTCGGTTTGGACCATACCCTCACCACAGGCGTGATCAGGTACGTTTAACACATATGGCATGGAATGCATCACAACCGTCCACCCTGCTGCAGCCATGAACTCGGTCCTTTGTCTGCCTGCCTGTCTGTTTGTCTGTTTGTTTCCCCGTTTCATTGCTTCTTGGTGTGTTCATGTTCAGTGCGAAACAACAATGCGACTCTGACAAATGCAGCAACCATTCCAGCTCCTCTCTTTCCTCACATACCCAAACATCTCCTCCCGTCCTCACAGCGGGCTGAGGAGGGAGATAAGCAGTGCAGCAACAGGCCGGCCCATCCAGGACGTGATACAGACAGACGCAGCTATCTACTTATGCAACAGCTGCTCTGCCCGTTGCAACAACCATGTGCTTGTTGTTGATGCATTCCCATTCCCACTCCTCCCATTCCCCATTCCACAGTGGGCTGAGGAGGGAGATCAGCAGTGCAGCAACGGGGCGGCCCATCCAGGACGTGATACAGACAGATGCGGCCATCAACCCGGGCAACAGCGGGGGGCCGCTGCTGGACTCCAACGGCAACCTCATCGGCATCAACACCGCCATCTACTCGCCCTCTGGCGCCTCCTCTGGCGTCGGCTTCTCCATTCCCGCTGATACGGTCAGTCACTGCAGTGCCTTGAGTGCCTTGTGTGCTATGTGCGGCCCAGATAGCATAGTGGAGCAGATAATCAAGTATGGGCAGGTCACGCGCCCAGTGCTGGCCATCTCTTGAGTCGACTCAAAATTCCCTCCTTTTCCCCCTTCGCCCCTCCCCTTGCTTCCACGCTCGGCAGGTGGCGGGCATAGTGGAGCAGATAATTAAGTACGGGCAGGTCACGCGGCCAGTGCTGGGCATCTCCTTCGCCCCCGAGCAGTCCTTGGAGCAGCTGGGCGTGGCTGGGGTGCTTGTGCTCGATGCTCCCCCCTCCGGCCCTGCAGGGAAAGCGGTGAGTGCATTACACCAATCAGCGCACATTGAGTTTCTCCAGGCACCTGAGACACGCGGCGAGTGCTGTGCATCTCCGTCGCCCCTGAGGGCCTCGTGCTTCAAGAAAATACACAACGCCAGAGTGGTTGTGGCCGGTACTGGCAGCATTGCCACTGCGAAGTGTCCTGAGCTCAACTGATGGAGGGCCTTCTGGTGTGTGTGTGTGTGTGTGTGTGTGTGTGTGTGTGTGTATGTGTGTGTGTGTGTGTGTGTGTGTGTGCGGTGGTGTGTGCAGGGCATCCGGCCAACGACTCGGGACAGCTACGGGCGGCTGGTGTTGGGGGACATCATCACGGGCATTGATGGCAACACCGTTCGCAACGGCTCGGACCTCTACCGCATCCTCGACCGCTGCAAGGTTGGCCAGAAGGTGAGCTGCCCGGAAACTCCAGCACTGAGTTCAAACTTGTTGCAATTCTAGTTTTTATACGTACATTGTATAACAAATATTGTTTCTAATGTTTGTCGCTTTTGCTGTGGTTGTAGGTGGAGGCACGAGTGTTGAGAGGAGACAACGAAGTTACAATCACAATTACCTTGGAAGGGAAGAGCTGAGACTGTTTCTTACCGCATAAAAACTGTATTCTGCAATGTAGTTTATGCTATAAAACAGATGTAGATGTCCCTTCAGCGTTTGTGGGGTTGAATGTTGGGTGCAATTCAGCAGTTTCTATTGTATATCAGGTCACCTGTTTTTGAAATCATTGCCCTTTGAAGAACCAGTTTTGATTCGTCGAACCGTAACGGACACCGTTTGTATCGGATATTCTGACGCAAATCAAGCCACAAGCAACTTGTGCTGTGTCAAGTGAAGCAAGCAACACTCCAGCCCAAACAAGTAGCAGAGCAGAGCCATGGAATTGCAATTGCACAGCTTCCGTTTACCGCGCGAGCACCTTCACGGAGACTACTGAATTCGGATTTTCACAGTAACGTTGCGTAGAGATTTGAACTAGACCGAACTGCTCGTCGCTCGCGCGTGTAGGAACGGACTAATGGTGCTCATGATCCAGATTATCAGTTAAACTTACGGATGAGCTTTCACTCACAGCCAGCATGAATCAGGATTCGTCCTACGTCGCATGGATCGACCGCCGTTCGATCCTCCTCTTCGTCGCCGCCGTCTCCGCCGGCGTCGCGGCCGGCGCGACGGCAGCGGTGACGGCGACGGTGTTTCCCTATTCCCTCGGGCTACTGATCGGCATGCTCCGCACCAATGACGGAAAGAAAGACGCTAAGACTACTAAGACTAAAGAGAAGACGACTAAAAAGGCCGGCACGAGCAGTAGTAGTATCATCAGCGGCGGCGGGAATATCACCGCGAGCGGCGGGTACGGAGTGGGGCCGCTGACGAAGGAAGGGCAGCTGCATCGAGATGTGGTCATGAGCGCTGTTATCGAATCGTCCTCGTTACAAGTCTCTTTCGACTCGTTTCCGTACTATCTCAGGTCTGCTCGCAGGCCCTCGCAAGCGAGGGAAGGGAGAAAATTCGTTGTTATTTAGCACCCACCACCCTCTCCGTGCTATCTCTAGTCCTGACCGTTGCTGCTGCACGGGTCATTGCTGCCTTACCATCGCAGATGCCGCTGATGCGGGGTCAGATTGTCAGTAGCAGGACTCGCCTCTCGCCTAGGGAGGTGTCTTTCTGGCTGATTTTTTTCAGTTTGCCCCTCGCGCTGTTCCTTGTATTCACCTTACTCCCTTTTCCCCTCCCCTCCCCGCCCATCCCCCCCGTCCCGCTTCCCCCCGTTCCCCACGCCCCTCGTGGCAGCGATGCCACGCGCAACGCGCTGGTGGACGCGTGTTTCATCCGCCTGCGCCGCCCCGAGTTCCTGCGCTTCACTGCTGACCTCCCATCACTCTCCGCGCGCATCCTGCTCTCCGGCCCCCCAGGTCTCCCCTCTCCCTCCCTCCTCTCTCCCCCACCCCTCTCTCTCCCCTCTCCCTCCCTCCTCTCTCCCCCACCCCTCTCTCTCCCCTCTCCCTCCCTCCTCTCTCTCCCCCACCCCTCTCTCTCCCCTCTCCCTCCCTCCTCTCTCCCCCACCCCTCTCTCTCCCCTCTCCCTCCCTCCTCTCTCCCCCACCCCTCTCTCTCCCCTCTCCCTCCCTCCTCTCTCCCCCACCCCTCTCTCTCCCCTCTCCCTCCCTCCTCTCTCCCCCACCCCTCTCTCTCCCCTCTCCCTCCCTCCTCTCTCCCCCACCCCTCTCTCTCCCCTCTCCCTCCCTCCTCTCTCCCCCACCCCTCTCTCTCCCCTCTCCCTCCCTCCTCTCTCCCCCACCCCTCTCTCTCCCCTCTTCCCGAGTTCCTGCGCTTCACCGCCGACCTCCCCGCGCTCTCTGCGCGCATCCTGCTCTCCGCCCCCCCGGGTCCCTCCTCTCTCTCCCCCCTCTTCTCCGCTTCCCAGGTTCCATGCCCCTCTCCCTCTCCTCTCGCCTAGCTCAAGTCAAGTACCTCTTTCTTCCCCCCCTTCCCTTGGGGTCTCACACTTCGTATCTGTCCTGCATGTGATTCGTTTAGCGAGGAGACAAGTTCTGTGAGCCTATGGGTCCATCAGTCTCCTGCCACGTCTAACTATTTAGTATTCTTATAAGTTGTTTCTTCTGGCTGTTACCATGTGTGCCTGCGTGCAATGCACTTCCGAGAATTCTCAAAGCTGCATGGCTCGAGTCACTCACTCACACAACACCGTCCCTGCCTTGTTTGCTTCCTTGCACTACCGAACCTGCAGGCTCGGAGCGGTACCAGGAGCAGTTGGTTCGGGCGTTGGCTCGGCACCTGGATGCCAAGCTTCTAATTTTCGATCTCCCCAACATGTTGCTGCAGGTATGAGGTGCATGCTGCTGCTGGTGAAGGTATGTCTGGTCCAGGTACGGTGCGGCTGGTGCAGGTACAGCTTTTACAGGTGCCTAACGGATTGGCTTGTATCTCATGCTCTGTGCAACACAGGTGGCTCTGGCAACCAAGTCAGGCGGTGCTTTGCCTCAAGCTCTCACCAGTGGAGCAACATTGGCATTGGCGTCAGAACCAGCGCCAGCATCAGAACCAGCGCCAGCATCAGAACCAGCGCCAGCATCAGAACCAGCGCCAGCATCAGAACCAGCGCCAGCATCAGAACCAGCGCCAGCATCAGAACCAGCGCCAGCATCAGAACCAGCGCCAGCATCAGCATCGGCATCAGCATCCACATCAGCAGCAGGAGTGGCGGCAACAGCAGCAGCGGCGCGGGAGGCAGCTAATACAGTGACAGGTTCCGGTGTGAGTGCTGAGACTGGGCACGCAACAGGAGTGGGAGTAGGGGAGGAGGGGGAAGGTGGAGGAGAGGGCACGGAGGGAGGTGCGGGGGAGAGGGGTGCTGAGGATGCAGCAGAGGCAAGTCAGGGAGAGGAGGCGGAGGAGGAAGAGGAGGCGGAGGGCGAGGAGGGGAGGCAAGGAGAGGGCGGTGCAGTGAGGGAAGAGGGGGCGGGAGAGACAGGGGCGCCAGGGGAGGCACAAGGTGCTGGTCCCACGAGTGAGGCTGCAGGGGGGGAACAAGTATCCGGGGGGGGAAATGGGGGAGGTGGTGACGGGGAAGGGGGTGATGGGGGAGAGGGGGAATCCGCCCTGGCTGCTGATGTGGTGAGCGATGGCCCTGCTGACGTGGCGTCAGGGGAACTGGAGCTGGCAGACGCGATGGATGAGGGACAAGGGGAGGAGAGGGCGGAGGCGCAGGGGGGCGGGGAGATGGTGGAGAGAGAAGGGGAAGGCGCGGAGAGGGAAGAGGCGGAGAGGGAGGGCGGGGGAGCTGGTGGGGAGGCAGGAGGGCTGCGGAGTGTGCCGTGTGTGCAGGGGGCAGGTGGTGTTTGCACTGATCTGCCTGCCTATGGTTGCAGCAGCAGCAACATCGCTGCCAGTGCTGTCATTGCTGCGTGCAGCACAGTTTCCCATCCTCCTGATCCGGCTGCTCCTGGCGCCACTCCACCTGCTGCCCCCTCGTCTGCTCTTTCTGCGTCTACTGCTGCTAGCAGCACGTGCGAGGAGGCGGAGCAGAGCAGCGCTGCTGGTGATCCTTCTGCCTGCACCCAGCCGGACAGCATACCGCCCCCCAGCACTGCACTCACTGGCAGTACCCACACTAGCACTGCCGCTGCTGGTGACGGTGCCAAGCCTAACAGGCCCGAGCAGGAGGAAGAGGGGCAGCAGGGCAGCAGCACCGTGAGTAAACGCGGCAGTGGGGGTGCGGGAGGAGGGAAAGGCGGTGTGGATCTGCGAGCAGTGAAGCTGAAGGACCTCTCCTCCTCGCTCATCCCCCGCTCCCACCACTCCAAGTCCTCTTCATCCTCCTCGACGTCCCACAAGAAGAAAGCCAGCAGCAAGGGATCAAAGAGCTCAGTGAAGGAGGGAGGGGGTGAGGGGGAGGGTGTCGGGAAGGGCGGGAGCAAAGAGGAGGCGGGGAGTGGGGCAGCGGTGGCAGGTACAGGGCACAAGGCGAAGAGCAAGGGGGAGAAGGAGAAGGAGGGTGCTGGAAGCGAGGGGAAGAAGAGCAGCGAGAGTGTGGAGGGGTCAAAGAAGGGATTTAAGAAAGGTGAACTGGAGGAGCGCCCTATGGATGCTCAAGGCAGTAGTGTCCTTCTGCCCCCTTGCTCCCTCTGCTACATGGGCCCCCCCTTGCTCCCTCTGCTGCACCCCCACTTCCCCCTCTCTCTCCCTCCCTGCGCTCTTGCCTCGTCCCCGCCATTTCCGCCCCCAGGCGACAGAGTGCGCTACATGGGCCCGCCCTCGCTCTCCTCTGCTGCACCCCCACCGCCATCGGCCTCACTTCTGCCACCCTCCATGTCAGTATTCGAGCTATTTGAGCCTCTTGCACACTGCCCCTCGCTCTCCCCCTTGCTCCTCCCGCTCCCTCTGCTTCATCAGTCACCAGTTCCTCCTCCCTCTCGCACATCTGACTCCCATGCTCATGCTCACGTGCTTGCTCTTCTGTTTGCGCTGCGCCATTCGGCCAACCCCTCCCCTCCTGTTCGCCGGCCCACCGCCGCGCCATTCAGCCAACCCGTCCCCTCCTGTTCGCCCATCGCTGCCCCTATGCTCCTCCACACCGAGCAGCCGAGCGCTTTGGCAAGTCCATCATCCCTGTGCGTCTCTCCAAGCCCCCTCGCAATACACTCCCTTCCCTTAACTCATTTCAGGTGCGGCCCACCAGTGGGGTTGAAGGGGCGTGTGGTGGTGGTGGAAGAAAACCCCCACCGAGTGGGAGTGCGCTTTGACAAGCCCACTTCTCTGCCTCCTTCAACCGCTTTCCCCACTCAATTCAATCCCTTCTCTTGTTGTGCTGATCATGCCAGGCGCGGCCCACCAGTGGGGTTGAAGGGGCGCGTGGTGGCGGTGCTGGAGGAGAATCCACACCAGGTGGGCGTGCGCTTTGACAAGCCTACTCCTCTGCCTCCCTCCCTACAAACCCCCGCAACATGATTCACTGCAGGCGCGGCCCGCCAGTGGGGTTGAAGGGGCGTGTGGTGGCGGTGCTGGAGGAGAATCCACACCAGGTGGGCGTGCGCTTTGACAAGCCTACTCCTCTGCCTCCCTCCCTACAAACCCCCGCAACATGATTCACTGCAGGCGCGGCCCGCCAGTGGGGTTGAAGGGGCGTGTGGTGGTGGTGCTGGAGGAGAATCCCCACCGCGTGGGCGTGCGTTTCGACAAGCCCATCCCGGGCGGCAACAGTCTCGTGGACGTGTGCGACGATGGGCATGGCGCGTGGTGCCACGGTAGGTAGGCTTGTGTTGTGAGGCGCCTCAAAGATAGGTTCTGGCGCACATGTGATTGGCTCATGGTGTCATGGTGGATTCAGCAAGCCCATCCCGGGTGGCAGCAGTCTGGTGGACGTGTGCGATGAGGGGCACGGGGCGTGGTGCCACGGTAGGTAGCAGGTGCACGGGTCATGGTGCCATTCTATGGTGGATTCGACACGCCCATCCCGGGCGGCAGCAGCCTCGTGGACGTGTGTGACGAGGGGCACGGCGCGTAACGCCACTGTGGGTTGCCTGGCCTTTGAGGTGCCTCGGAGGTAGATATGGGCAAACAAGTGCACGGCTGGTGGTGTCACTGTCACGGTAGGTTCAGCAAGCCCATCCCTGGTGGCAGCAGTCTGGTGGACGTGTGTGAGGAGGGGCATGGGGCATGGTGCCATGGTAGGTTGCCTTCCCTGTCCCCTTCCCCTCCGTCCCAGGTTTGAGGCGACTCAAGAGGCGCCTTATGAGTTGCACCATCCCGTCCGCCCTTCTCCCCATGCCCTTGGGTAGCGTCGGAGCTGAGGCTAGAGGGGGCACCCTTTAAGGCGACTCAAGAGTCTCCTTGCACGACACCCACCACACTCAAGAGGTGCCTTATGAGTTGCACCATCCCGCCCCCCTTCTCCCCATGCCCTTGGGCATTGTCTTAGCTGCGGTCGGAGGGGGCGGCGTTGAAGGCTGCTACTCAAGAGCCTCTTTGCGCGCCGCCCACCACTCTTCCCCCCTTTCTCTCCTCCTCCCCCGCTTTCCTTTCCCCATAACCTTGGGCAGTGTCGGAGCTGCGGCTGGAGGGGGCAGCAGCAGACGACGTGGAGAAGCAGCTGGTGGACCATTGCATGGCGGTGAGTGGGGTCAGTCAGGGCATGGCTTTGAGTGGGAGCATGGCGGTGAGTGGGAGCATGGCGGTGAGTGGGAGCATGGGGGTCAGTGGGAGCATGGGGGTCAGTGGGAGCATGGGGGTCAGTGGGAGCATGGGGGTCAGTGGGAGCATGGGGGTCAGTGGGAGCATGGGGGTCAGTGGGAGCATGGGGGTCAGTGGGAGGGAGCATCTGGGCGGGTGAGTGCGAGCATCGTGGCGTGAAGGCAGTGGGTGATGTGCAGAGGAGTCTGTTATGGGGGTGCCGCACGAGGAGTCTGTTATGGGGGTGCCGCACGAGGAGTCTGTTATGGGGGTGCCGCACGAGGAGTCTGTTATGGGGGTGCCGCACGAGGAGTCTGTTATGGGGGTGCCGCACGAGCAGAGCAGATGATGTGACGTGGAGAAGCAACTGGTGGACCACTGCATGGCGGTGAGTGGGTGGGGTGGGGGTCAGTGAGTGAGGGGGTGGGTGGGAGCATGTTGGCATGATGGCAGTGGCTGGTGTTCACTGGATTCCACAAGCAGATGACCTGGAGAAGCAGCTGGTAGACCACTGCATGATGGTGAGTGGGGGTGAGCATGATGACATATGAATCGTCTCAAAAAGTATATGCCACACAGTAGTAGCAGGGACTTACCATAAGAGTCCCCTTTGTCTTGTCACTTCTCCTCCGCCCCTCCCTCCCTGCCTTTCCCCCCATGCCTTGTACTGCCAGCCACGTGCCAGCAACCATATCAGCGTCAACTGTGCTCACCGTGTTCATCCCTGGCGCACACAGAGAGGCAGCGGCCTTGCGCTTCATCTGAAAGCTATACCTCCGCTCATTGTGCTCATTACACTATCCCCTTCAATTCTCGTGTGTTTTCTTCTTCCCCTTCTCCTCCCTCCTCCCGTTTTCAACAGATGCGTTGTACTGCCAGGTGGCAGCAACGGTAGCGGCCACAACCCCTCTCATTGTGTTCATCCCGGGCGCAGACAGAATCGCAGCTGCGCACTATGAGAGGCCCCTCCCTCAATGTGTCATTGCCCCCATGCGTTGTACTCTCAGGTGGCAGCAACCGTAGCGGCCACATCTCCGCTCATTGTGTTCATCCCGGGCGCAGACAGAATCGCAGCAGCGCATTACGAGCGGCTCGTGAGGCTAGAGCGCATGGAGCGCTTGGGTGTTGTTGGGGAGAGAGGCGCGGAGAAGGGGGAGAAGGGAGAGAAAGGGGAGAAGGTGAAGGAGGGGAAGGAGAAGAGTGAGCCGCTGCGGCTGGTGGTGATTGGCTCTCACACAGTGCCACCCAAGAAGGACAAGGTGGGTGGCAGGCATGCATGATGGGGCAAGGGTGGGTGGCAGGCATGCATGATGGGGCAAGGGTGGGTGGCAGGCATGCATGATGTGGCAAGTGCCGTCAGCAGCATGGCTCCCACCTCACACCTCCTGTCCCTCCACCCCTTAACCTCATCCCCTCCCTTTCTCTTCCTCTGTTCAATTAGCCCTGCTCTCTGAAATCCGTCCCTCCCATCTCACCACCTCTCCTCCCCGTGCCCGTCCCTCCCATCTCACCACGTCTCCTTGCCATGCCCGTCCACTGCACCAGGCGCCAGCAGCGGCAGCAGTCCCCAAGACCACGGACAAGCTCTCTGCTCTCCTCGACCTCTCCTTCCTGGTACGCATTGCCTCCACTTGTGACAAGCTCTCTGCGCTCCTGCTCACTTGTGACTCCACAAAATGTCAATCGTGTGCCAACTATCTTTCCTTCTTTCCTTCAACACCCACATATCTGGTGAATTCAGACTCAACTGAGAAGGTCACCTTGTTTCAAAGTTGACTGAGAAACACTCGTTCCCCTTATGCTAATCCCCGAAAGGGTGGCGGGCAAAGCGTGCAGCAGCGTGTTGTCACGCCCTGTTGGTTGAGGGGCAGTGGGCCTATACCTTAAACCTCCCCTCAAACCTGCACCTCAAACTTGCACGTCAAACCTGCACGTCAAACCTGCACCTCAAACCTGCACCTCAAACCTGCACGTCAAACCTGCACGTCAAACCTGCACCTCAAACCTGCACCTCAAACCCGCACCTCAAACCTGCACCTCAAACCTGCACCCCAAACCTGCACCCCAAACCTGCACCTCAAACCTGCACCTCAAACCTGCACCTCAAACCTGCACCTCAAACCTGCACCTCAAACCTGCACCTCAAACCTGCACCTCAAACCTGCACCTCAAACCTGCACCTCAAACCTGCACCTCAAACCTGCACCTCAAACCTGCACCCTAAACCTCACCTCAAACCTGCACCTCAAACCTGCACCTCAAACCTGCACCTCAAACCTGCACCTCAAACCTGCACCTCAAACCTGCACCTCAAACCTGCACCTCAAACCTGCACCTCAAACCTGCACCTCAAACCTGCACCTCAAACCTGCACCTCAAACCTGCACCTCAAACCTGCACCTCAAACCTGCACCTCAAACCTGCACCTCAAACCTGCACCTCAAACCTGCACCTCAAACCTGCACCTCAAACCTGCACCTCAAACCTGCACCTCAAACCTGCACGTCAAACCTGCACCTCAAACCTGCACCTCAAACCTGCACCTCAAACCTGCACCTCAAACCTGCACCTCAAACCTGCACCTCAAACCTGCACCCCAAACCTGCACCTCAAACCTGCACCTCAAACCTGCACCTCAAACCTGCACCTCAAACCTGCACGTCAAACCTGCACCTCAAACCTGCACCTCAAACCTGCACCTCAAACCTGCACCTCAAACCTGCACGTCAAACCTGCACGTCAAACCTGCACGTCAAACCTGCACCTCAAACCTGCACGTCAAACCTGCACCTCAAACCTGCACCTCAAACCTGGACCTCAAACCTGCACCCCAAACCTGCCCCTCAAACCTGCACCTCAAACCTGCACCTCCTGCACCTCAAACCTGCACGCCAAACCTGCACCTCAAACCTGCACCTCAAACCTGCACGTCAAACCTGCACCTCAAACCTGCACCTCAAACCTGCACCTCAAACCTGCACGTCAAACCTGTTCGTCAAACCTGCACGTCAAACCTGCACCTCAAACCTGCACCTCAAACCTGCACCTCAAACCTGCACGTCAAACCTGCACCTCAAACCTGCACCTCAAACCTGCACCTCAAACCTGCACCTCAAACCTGCACCTCAAACCTGCACCTCAAACCTTCACCTCAAACCTGCACCTCAAACCTGCACCTCAAACCTGCACGTCAAGCCTGCACGTCAAACCTGCACCTCAAACCTGCACCTCAAACCTGCACCTCAAACCTGCACCTCAAACCTGCACCTCAAACCTGCACCTCAAACCTGCACCTCAAACCTGCACCTCAAACCTGCACCTCAAACCTGCACCTCAAACCTGCACCTCAAACCTGCACCTCAAACCTGCACCTCAAACCTTCACCTCAAACCTGCACCTCAAACCTGCACCTCAAACCTGCACGTCAAGCCTGCACGTCAAACCTGCACGTCAAACCTGCACGTCAAACCTGCACCTCAAACCTGCACCTCAAACCTGCACCTCAAACCTGCACCTCAAACCTGCACCTCAAACCTGCACCTCAAACCTGCACCTCAAACCTGCACCTCAAACCTGCACCTCAAACCTTCAAATCAAACCTGCACCTCAAACCTGCACCTCAAACCTGCACGTCAAACCTGCACGTCAAACCTGCACGTCAAACCTGCACCTCAAACCTGCACCTCAAACCTGCACCTCAAACCTGCACCTCAAACCTGCACCTCAAACCTGCACCTCAAACCTGCACGTCAAACCTGCACGTCAAACCTGCACGTCAAACCTGCACCTCAAACCTGCACCTCAAACCTGCACCTCAAACCTGCACCTCAAACCTGCACGCCAAACCTGCACGCCAAACCTGCACCTCAAACCTGCACCTCAAACCTGCACCTCAAACCTGCACGTCAAACCTGCACCTCAAACCTGCACCTCAAACCTGCACCTCAAACCTGCACCTCAAACCTGCACATCAAACCTGCACGTCAAACCTGCACCTCAAACCTGCACCTCAAACCTGCACCTCAAACCTGCACCTCAAACCTGCACCTCAAACCTGCACCTCAAACCTGCACCTCAAACCTGCACCTCAAACCTGCACCTCAAACCTGCACCTCAAACCTGCACGTCAAACCTGCACCTCAAACCTGCACGTCAAACCTGCACCTCAAAGCTGCACCTCAAACCTGCACCTCAAACCTGCACGTCAAACCTGCACGTCAAACCTGCACCTCAAACCTGCACCTCAAACCTGCACCTCAAACCTGCACCTCAAACCTGCACCTCAAACCTGCACCTCAAACCTGCACGTCAAACCTGCACCTCAAACCTGCACCTCAAACCTGCACGTCAAACCTGCACCTCAAACCTGCACCTCACACCTGCACCTCAAACCTGCCCCTCAAACCTGCACCTCAAACCTGCACCTCAAACCTGCACGTCAAACCTGCACGCCAAACCTGCACCTCAAACCTGCACCTCAAACCTGCATGTCAAACCTGCACCTCAAACCTGCACGTCAAACCTGCACGTCAAACCTGCACCTCAAACCTGCACCTCAAACCTGCACCTCAAACCTGCACCTCAAACCTGAACCTCAAACCTGCACCTCAAACCTGCACCTCAAACCTGCACCTCAAACCTGCACCTCAAACCTGCACCTCAAACCTGCACGTCAAACCTGCACCTCAAACCTGCACCTCAAACCTGCACCTCAAACCTGCACCTCAAACCTGCACCTCAAACCTGCACCTCAAATCTGCACCTCAAACCTGCACGTCAAACCTGCACCTCAAACCTGCACCTCAAACCTGCACGTCAAACCTGCACCTCAAACCTGCACCTCACACCTGCACCTCAAACCTGCCCCTCAAACCTGCACCTCAAACCTGCACCTCAAACCTGCACGTCAAACCTGCACGCCAAACCTGCACCTCAAACCTGCACCTCAAACCTGCACCTCAAACCTGCACGTCAAACCTGCACCTCAAACCTGCACCTCAAACCTGCACCTCAAACCTGCACCTCAAACCTGCACCTCAAACCTTCACCTCATACCTGCACCTCAAACCTGCACCTCAAACCTGCACCTCAAACCTGCACGTCAAACCTGCACGTCAAACCTGCACGTCAAACCTGCACGTCAAACCTGCATGTCAAACCTGCACCTCAAACCTGCACCTCAAACCTGCACGTCAAACCTGCACGTCAAACCTGCATGTCAAACCTGCACCTCAAACCTGCACCTCAAACCTGCACCTCAAACCTGCACGTCAAACCTGCACGTCAAACCTGCACGTCAAACCTGCACGTCAAACCTGCACGTCAAACCTGCACGTCAAACCTGCACGTCAAACCTGCACGTCAAACCTGCACGTCAAACCTGCACGTCAAATCTGCACGTCAAACCTGCACCTCAAACCTGCACCTCAAACCTGCACCTCAAACCTGCACGTCAAACCTGCACCTCAAACCTGCACGTCAAACCTGCACGTCAAACCTGCATGTCAAACCTGCACCTCAAACCTGCACCTCAAACCTGCACCTCAAACCTGCACGTCAAACCTGCACGTCAAACCTGCACGTCAAACCTGCACGTCAAACCTGCACGTCAAACCTGCACGTCAAACCTGCACGTCAAACCTGCACGTCAAACCTGCACGTCAAACCTGCACGTCAAACCTGCACGTCAAACCTGCACGTCAAACCTGCACGTCAAACCTGCACGTCAAACCTGCACGTCAAACCTGCACGTCAAACCTGCACGTCAAACCTGCACGTCAAACCTGCACGTCAAACCTGCATGTCAAACCTGCACGTCAAACCTGCACGTCAAACCTGCACGTCAAACCTGCACGTCAAACCTGCACGTCAAACCTGCACCTCAAACCTGCACCTCAAACCTGCACGTCAAACCTGCACGTCAAACCTGCACGTCAAACCTGCACGTCAAACCTGCACGTCAAACCTGCACGTCAAACCTGCACGTCAAACCTGCACCTCAAACCTGCACCTCAAACCTGCACCTCAAACCTGCACCTCAAACCTGCACCTCAAACCTGCACGTCAAACCTGCACGTCAAACCTGCACGTCAAACCTGCACGTCAAACCTGCACCTCAAACCTGCACCTCAAACCTGCACCTCAAACCTGCACCTCAAACCTGCACCTCAAACCTGCACCTCAAACCTGCACCTCAAACCTGCACCTCAAACCTGCACCTCAAACCTGCACCTCAAACCTGCACCTCAAACCTGCACCTCAAACCTGCACGTCAAACCTGCACGTCAAACCTGCATGTCAAACCTGCACGTCAAACCTGCACCTCAAACCTGCACCCCAAACCTGCACCTCAAACCTGCACCTCAAACCTGCACCTCAAACCTGCACCTCAAACCTGCACGTCAAACCTGCACCTCAAACCTGCACGTCAAACCTGCACCTCAAACCTGCACCTCAAACCTGCACCTCAAACCTGCACCTCAAACCTGCACCTCAAACCTGCACGTCAAACCTGCACGTCAAACCTGCACCTCAAACCTGCACCTCAAACCTGCACCTCAAACCTGCACCTCAAACCTGCACGTCAAACCTGCACGTCAAACCTGCACCTCAAACCTGCACGTCAAACCTGCACGTCAAACCTGCACCTCAAACCTGCACCCCAAACCTGCACCTCAAACCTGCACCTCAAACCTGCACCTCAAACCTGCACGTCAAACCTGCACGTCAAACCTGCACCTCAAACCTGCACCTCAAACCTGCACCTCAAACCTGCACCTCAAACCTGCACCTCAAACCTGCACGTCAAACCTGCACCTCAAACCTGCACGTCAAACCTGCACCTCAAACCTGCACCTCAAACCTGCACCTCAAACCTGCACCTCAAACCTGCACGTCAAACCTGCACCTCAAACCTGCACCTCAAACCTGCACCTCAAACCTGCACCTCAAACCTGCACCTCAAACCTGCACCTCAAACCTGCACCTCAAACCTGCACCTCAAACCTGCACCTCAAACCTGCACCTCAATTCGCAACTCACACCTGCACCTCAAACCTGCACCTCAAACCTGCACGTCAAACCTGCACGTCAAACCTGCACCTCAAACCTGCACGTCAAACCTGCACGTCAAGCCTGCACGTCAAACCTGCACGTCAAACCTGCACCTCAAACCTGCACCTCAAACCTGCACCTCAAACCTGCACCTCAAACCTGCACCTCAAACCTGCACGTCAAACCTGCACCTCAAACCTGCACCTCAAACCTGCACCTCAACCTGCACCTCAAACCTGCCCCTGAAACCTGTACCTCAAACCTGCACCTCAAACCTGCACGTCAAACCTGCACGCCAAACCTGCACCTCAAACCTGCACCTCAAACCTGCACCTCAAACCTGCACCTCAAACCTGCACCTCAAACCTGCACCTCAAACCTGCACCTCAAACCTGCACCTCAAACCTGCACGCCAAACCTGCACCTCCAACCTGCACCTCAAACTTGCACCCCAAACCTGCACGTCAAACCTGCACGTCAAACCTGCACGTCAAACCTGCACCTCAAAACCTGCACCTCAAACCTGCACCTCAAACCTGCACCTCAAACCTGCACCTCAAACCTGCACCTCAAACCTGCACCTCAAACCTGCACCTCAAACCTGCACCTCAAACCTGCACGTCAAACCTGCACCTCAAACCTTCAAATCAAACCTGCACCTCAAACCTGCACCTCAAACCTGCACGTCAAACCTGCACCTCAAACCTGCACGTCAAACCTGCACCTCAAACCTGCACCTCAAACCTGCACCTCAAACCTGCACCCCAAACCTGCACGTCAAACCTGCACCTCAAACCTGCACCTCAAACCTGCACCTCAAACCTGCACCTCAAACCTGCACCTCAAACCTGCACCTCAAACCTGCACCTCAAACCTGCACCTCAAACCTGCACGTCAAACCTGCACGTCAAACCTGCACGTCAAACCTGCACGTCAAACCTGCACGTCAAACCTGCACGTCAAACCTGCACGTCAAACCTGCACCTCAAACCTGCACCTCAAACCTGCACCTCAAACCTGCACCTCAAACCTGCACCTCAAACCTGCACCTCAAACCTGCACCTCAAACCTGCACCTCAAACCTGCACCTCAAACCTGCACCTCAAACCTGCACCTCAAACCTGCACCTCAAACCTGCACCTCAAACCTGCACGTCAAACCTGCACGTCAAACCTGCACGTCAAACCTGCACCTCAAACCTGCACCTCAAACCTGCACCTCAAACCTGCACCTCAAACCTGCACCTCAAACCTGCACCTCAAACCTGCACCTCAAACCTGCACGTCAAACCTGCACGTCAAACCTGCACGTCAAACCTGCACGTCAAACCTGCACGTCAAACCTGCACATCAAACCTGCACCTCAAACCTGCACCTCAAACCTGCACCTCAAACCTGCACCTCAAACCTGCACCTCAAACCTGCACCTCAAACCTGCACCTCAAACCTGCACCTCAAACCTGCACCTCAAACCTGCACCTCAAACCTGCACCTCAAACCTGCACCTCAAACCTGCACGTCAAACCTGCACGTCAAACCTGCACGTCAAACCTGCACGTCAAACCTGCACGTCAAACCTGCACGTCAAACCTGCACGTCAAACCTGCACGTCAAACCTGCACGTCAAACCTGCACGTCAAACCTGCACGTCAAACCTGCACGTCAAACGTGCACGTCAAAACCTGCACCTCAAACCTGCACCTCAAACCTGCACCTCAAACCTGCACCTCAAACCTGCACCTCAAACCTGCACCTCAAACCTGCACGTCAAACCTGCACCTCAAACCTGCACGTCAAACCTGCACGTCAAACCTGCACGTCAAGCCTGCACGTCAAACCTGCACCTCAAACCTGCACCTCAAACCTGCACCTCAAACCTGCACCTCAAACCTGCACCTCAAACCTGCACCTCAAACCTGCACGTCAAACCTGCACCTCAAACCTGCACGTCAAACCTGCACGTCAAACCTGCACGTCAAACCTGCACGTCAAGCCTGCACCTCAAACCTGCACCTCACACCTGCACCTCACACCTGCACCCCACACCTGCACCTCCTACTCGTCCTTCCAGCTCTCAGGATCAGCTGTCCTCATTCCACGATTTCATACTCGTGTCACGATCAGCTCTCTTCACGGCTAGTGGATGGATGGGGGGGGAGGGTGGGCGGTTCCAAGGCGGGCAGCACGGCGGTGTCTCGCCTCTTTGGTTGGGGAGCCGCTTTTCTCCACCTCATCCTCCTTCCACCTTCCGTCCATCAAGACAACCGGGGTGCTGTTGGGAGTTTTTTTAATACCTCATACTCCTTTCTAGCTCTCAGGATCAGCTGTCCTCATGCCAGAAGGGCTTTGGGTGGTTTTTTAGTACCTCATACTACCTCGCATGCCTCACCTCAGGACCAGCTGTCATCGCGACTAGAGGACGGGTGTGGGGATGGCGGCAGGGCCAAAGGGGGCGGCAGGGCGGTGACTGGCCTCTTTGGTTGAGAGGCTGTTTGCTTCCACCTCATACGCCCTCCTCCTCCCATCCCTCAGGACCAGCTCTCCTCACGGCTAGAGGACGGACGGGGGGATGGTGGAGGGGCCAAGGCGGGCGGCAGGGCGGTGTCTCGCATCTTCTCCACGTCTATCCCGGTGCTGCCGCCCGCACAAGACGATGACGTGGCGCAGCGTGATTGGGCGAGGCAGCTGGAGGGTGACGTGGAGCTGATGCGCGCTGAGAGCAACCGCCGCCTGCTTAGATCGGTGGGTGGAGTGCGGTGGTGAATGGTGGGGTGTGGCGCTGGCGGTGATTGGTGGTGGGGTGTGGTGATGGGTGGTCGGGTGTGGTCAGTGATGTTTGGCCAGTTAACCATATGGCCGGCTTAACTCCATCTCCTCCGTCCACTGCTATCCGATCCGAAATACCTGATTCAAGCGCATGCATTTGACTTATGAGTTGACTCAAAAGTCCCCTCCGTCCACTGCTACTCGATCCAAAACACCTGATCCAAGTGCATGCATTTGACCCTGTTGTATGAATGCACATTATGTGCATGTGAGCAGGTGATGTGCACGGCGGGAGTGGAGTGTGCAGACATTGACAGACTCTCCATCGCCTCCCACTCTCTTCCCCAGGAGGGTAAGTCAATCATTGGCGCACACGTTTCCTTCCATTTCATGTACTGAATAACGAACAGGTACCTCACATCTTAGTTCTCACCGCAAGCCTGCTTTGGTTTCAACGCATAGGTCTGCTCAATCCCCTTTGAATGTATTCTCCCATCATCAGGTGCGGAGCGCATGGTGGGGTGGGCCATGAGCCACCAGCTATAATGGATCATGCATGTGCGTGCTTGCCTTTATTCCATGTCTACACACCCAATCTGCTTGTGCATGCGTTATCCCATCATCAGGAGCAGAGCGCATGGTGGGGTGGGCGATAAGTCACCAGCTGCAGCACACCCCGCAAGTCGACATGCCTGCTGCCCGCCTCCCCCTCTCGCTCTCCAGGTCTGCTTCACCTGTTATTACCCTGTCACCCACTCGCCGTTCACCCTGTCACCCTGTCTGTCCCCCTGTTCCCTGTCCCCCTTCCCCCTGTCACCTTGTTACTCCGTTACTCTGCCCGGTAGCACTTGCATACATCTTCCATTGAGTTAAGCAGTGCGCATTTTGCAGTACCGATGGTAGCAACTCTAGTTGTTGTCACATTCACCCGACCTGCTCATTGTGTGTTGCTGCTATGCATACACTCACTCTCTTTTGCAATCACCCCTGGGCGGCAGTATTCGGCACGGAGTGGAGGTGGTGGAGGGAGCATCTCAGCAGCAGCCAGCCACACAGCGCAAGGCGCTCAAGGTGGGCTTAAAGGCGCTCAAGGTGGGCTTTAAGGCGCTCAAGGTGGGCTTTAAGGCGCTCAAGGTGGGCTTTAAGGCGCTCAGGGTGGGCTTTAAGGCGCTCAAGGTGGGCTTTAAGGCGCTCAAGGTGGGCTTTAAGGCGCTCAAGGTGGGTGGGCTTTAAGGCGCTCAAGGTGGGTGGGCTTTAAGGCGGGCTCTAGGGCGGCGGTGTTTGACACGGACGGACCTCATTGTTTCAGCCCTCAAGTTCTCAACTCAAGCGGTGTATGCTCAGCTCAAGCGCTCAAGCTCAAGCGCTCTGAAGCAGTGAGGGGGAGAAACAATGAGCATGAGCTCTCAAGCGCTCTGAACTGAGCATTCAGCTCATCACAGTGCTGCCCAACCCACTAGCCATTCCTCTCCTATCCATCTCTCATGATATGCACTGGTCTCATGCTGCCCACTCTCCCACCGTATCCCTTCCCTCGCACAACCCCTTCCACTTTGTCTCAGGACGTGACGTGTGACAACGATTTTGAGAGGCTGCTACTGGGGGAGGTGATACCTGCGGAGGAGCTGGGGGTGCGCTTTGAGCACATCGGCGCATTGGAGGGCGTGAAGGAGGCTCTAAGAGAGGTCGTCATGCTGCCACTTCAGCGACCAGAGCTGTTTCAAACGGGCCAGCTCACTAAGGTATTTCTGTACAGTGGTGGAGTTTTTCTTCAGATTTTGCCCTATGTTGATCACGCAGTCGGTGCGCTGGAGGGCGTGAAGGAGGCTTTAAGTGAGGTGGTCATGCTGCTGCTGCAACGTGCTGAGCTCTTCCAAACGGGGCAACTCACCAAGGTATTCTTCATATGGCTGTGCTGCACTTTCACTTTCGTTCCCCCTTTTTCCCGCATGTTCCTAGACGTGTATTCCCCCCCTCCCAACCCAACCTCCTGGTTCACTCCTCCCTTCCCTGCCTCCCATTGCCTCAACCCTCATTTGCCCCTTCTAGTTGCTCACGCTGCGCAGCTCGCATTCGCATACCCCACTGCCACTATAATACAGGCTCCTGGTGCTCCCCTCGCTTCCACGCGTCGCCTCACTCACTGTGTCCCACTCCCATTCGCCCACCTCCCCAATCACCCTCCTCCCCTCCAAACCGCCCCCACCAACCCCGCCCCCCACCAACCCCCCACAGCCGGTACGGGGGCTGCTGCTGTTCGGCCCACCGGGCACGGGCAAGACGATGCTGGGCAAGGCGGTTGCTACTGAGTCAGGGGCCAACTTCATCAGCCTCTCCATGGCCTCCGTGGCCTCAAAGGTGCGTGCCCATGTGATAATATGTTTCTCGCCCTAGCTGCTCCTCCTCTGTGTGCGGCTGATGGGTCAACTGAGAGCTCGTCACGATGCTGGGCAAGGCGGTTGCTACCGAGTCAGGCGCCAACTTCATCAGCCCCTCCATGGCCTCCGTGGCTTCCAAGGTGCGCTGCTTTTGCTCTACGTGGTAACTGTGCTTCTCGCTCTACCTGCTCCTCTCGTCTCCTCGCTGGGCAAGGCGGTGGCCACGGGTCAGGCGCCAACTTCATCAGCCTCTCCATGGCGTCTGTGGCTTCCAAGGTGCGCTGCTCTCCTCCTTCCTACCTCCTCTTCCTCTCCTCTCCTCGCTGGGCAAGGCGGTGGCCACAGAGTCAGGTGTCTCTGCTCCTCCCTCCTCGCCTATCTTCCCCGCCTCTTCATGGCCTCTGTTGCCTTCAAGCTGCTCTCCTCTCGCCCTACCTCCTCGTCTCCATGCTCCTCCTCTCTTCCTATATCTTCTGATCGTGATTCTCGTCTCTGCTCTTCTCACTTTCCTTGGCCCCTTCCGTCTCCTCCGCTACTCCTTCTGAGCCTTCTTCCTGAGCCCTCCTCACTATCCCCTTTCCTATCCATCGCTCCCCTTGCCCGCCTGCCAGTGGTTTAGAGACAGAGAAGTATGTGAAGGCCGTGTACTTTTGAGGCGCCTCAGAAGTTGTTCTCAGCCTTTCTGATTCTTCCTCTCCCCTCTTCCCCCTCTCACACCACCAGTGGTTCGGCGAGGCGGAGAAGTATGTGAAGGCCGTGTTCACGCTGGCCAGTAAAATTGCGCCATGTGTCATTTTCGTGGACGAGGTGAGTGAGTGAGTGATTGAGTGATAATGAAAGGTGCGAGGGGGGCAATACTAGTTATGAAATGGGTGGTTCAATTGCTGAGATGCATGGTACCACCCCATCTCCTCTCTGCTGCACATGTATCAACGGGTGTGGGGTGCCGCTGTCATCCTGGCCACTCCCACAGTAACATGCATTTTGACGATAAGAAGCAAATCCTGCTCGCCCCATTGACCCTGCTCGCCCCATTGACCCTGCTCGCCCCATTGACCCTGCTCGCCCCATTGACCCTGCTCGCCCCATTGACCCTGCTCGCCCCATTGACCCTGCTCGCCCCATTGATCCTGCTCGCCCCATTGACCCTGCTCGCCCCATTGACCCTGCTCGCCCCATTGACCCTGCTCTACCCACCTGCTTTCCTGCTGGAGTACTTTCCGTGCCCCCATGCTGCTAGCTAGGGAGCATGTAGGGGCAGCGGTGAAAGGGAAGAGAGCACAGCACTTGCGCGAAAGCTCAAAAACGATATTCCTTTGCTGTGCAACATGCCCTCCCTTCAACTCTCCTCTGCTCTGTGCCCCCATCATTAGGTGGACAGCATGTTGGGGCGGCGGGGAGGCGATTCAGAGCACAGTGCGATGAGGAAGCTCAAGAACGAGTTCATGGCTGCATGGGACGGGCTGTGGCACCGCACTTCACCCCTTGTCACTCCCCTACTGCTGTGTGCCTGCTGTGCCCCCCCATCATCAGGTGGACAGCATGTTGGGGCGGAGAGGTGGGGACTCGGAGCACAGTGCAATGAGGAAGCTCAAGAATGAGTTCATGGCCGCGTGGGACGGGCTGTGACACCGCACTTCACCCCTTGTCACCGCTCTACTGCTGTGTGCCTGCTGTGTGCTTACCAGGTGGACAGCATGCTCGGAAGGAGAGGCGGCGACTCGGAGCACAGTGCAATGAGGAAGCTCAAGAACGAGTTCATGGCGGCATGGGACGGGCTGCGCTCCAAGCAAGCCGAGCGCATCCTCGTGCTCGGCGCCACCAACCGCCCGCACGACCTTGATGACGCCGTCATTAGACGGTTCCCCAGAAGGTGCGTGGTGGGCTGAGGTCTTTTGAACCACTCGCTTGCCATGCATACCTGTTGGCCGCCTCTAATCATTCTCGTGCTCGGCGCCACGAACCGCCCGCACGACCTTGATGATGCCGTCACCAGGCGCTTTCCTAGAAGGTGGGTGCTAGCTCATGCGTGCATGCCTTGCCATGCATACCTGTTGGCCGCCTCTGATCATCCTCGTGCTCGGCGCCACCAACCGTCCTCACGACCTTGACGCCGCCGTCACCAGGCGGTTTCCAAAAAGGTGTGTGCGTCGCTGGACGATGCCAGTTGGGCTGAATCCAGCAAGTTTCGACGCCAAGCCTCCCTATCTCTCTGCCACACCCCTGCAGAGCTTCCTTACCTCTCATTCTCGTGCGTCCCCGTCTGTGTACCGCCACGCTGTTCGTGGACCTGCCTGACTGCACAAACAATCGCTTCTCTCGCTTCAACAACCCTCCCCTCCCTCTTCTCCTCCCTTCCACCGCCCTCTCTGCCCACAGGTTGTTCGTGGATCTGCCTGACTGCGCCAACCGAGCCAAGATTCTGAAAGTCATTCTCAAGGATGAGGACGTGGAGCCGGGCTTTAGCACCGATGAGCTCGCTGCTGCCACTGATGGCTACTCTGGCAGCGACCTCAAGGTGAGGGGGCCGTTGAGTCTACTTTTGAGGCGCCACAAAAGCAGAGGGCTTTTGAGCGACCTCAAGAGAACCTGATTGATTGTCTTTATCAAGGATGAGGACCTGGAGCCGGGCTTTAGCACCGATGAGCTCTCTGCTGCCACTGATGGCTACTCTGGCAGCGACCTCAAGGTGAGGCGCCTCAAAACAGGGTGCTGCTCGCAGGCAGGCAGGCATTGATCCTTTTCGGAAATCACAAGCACGCGCAGCTAGGCCCTGTAAGAAACACTTGTAACATGTAAATAGATCTCTGCTCTTACTGCCGTATGTTCCGCTTCTCACAAGCACGAAATCGTCCTCTCCTGCATCATCACAAGCAGCAGGGTGAGATGCGCCACCCCTTCCAACATCCCTTCCCCTCCCATTCCCTTGTCCTCGTACCGTGTGTGAGCAGAACCTGTGTGTGACAGCAGCGTTCTTGAGAATAAAGGAGTTTCTGGATAAGGAGAAGAAGGTGAGGGGTGGGGAGAAGGTGAGGGGTGGGGAGAAGGTGAGGGGATGGGGAGAAGGTGAGGGGATGGGGAGAAGGTGAAGGGGTGGGGAGAAGGTGAGGGGTGCTCGGGACATAAAACGGTACGTGTGCGCTGCTGGCAAGGGCCAAGGTCTTTCTATGTGTTGCTTTATGCCATCCCATAACCTTGCTACCTGTCATGGGGTCACTAGAATGCCATGCAACGCTCGCTCCGTTGTGCTGTGCATCGCAGCGAGCGCCTCTCACGTCCCACCTCCCGAACTTCCACCAATTATTTTGGGGGTGTGCGTGCAGGAGAAGGAGGAGGCAGAGAGGAGAGAGGGAGGTGCGGAGGGCAGCAGTGGAAGCAGCAGCGCAGCAGCAAGTGGCAGCCGGGAGGGCGAGGCTGGTGCCTCTCAAGGCTCGGCTTCCCCTGCCGCTGCTCCATGCCTGCGGCCAATCAGCATGGAGGACACGCGGAAGGCCATGGAGAAGGTGAGTCATGTTGCCGTGCTGCTGTGTTGCTGTGTTGCCGTGCTGCCGTGCTGCCGTGTTGCCGTGCTGCCGTGTTGCCGTGTCATGATGGTGGCATGATATAGTGGTTCTTCATGCCATATGACCATTGTCACATGCGACCACACACACGCTCCGGTGTTCTTCAACTCACTGTGCCTGGCAGGTGCGTGCGAGTGTGAGTAGCGATGCAGCAGCAATGATGGAGTTAATGCAGTGGAATGAGCAGCACATGCGCACCCACATACACGCACTCAAACACGCATGCAATAATGTGTCTCCTCTTTGTGCCTGGCAGGTGCGGGCGAGTGTGAGTAGCGATGCAGCAGCAATGATGGAGCTGATGCAGTGGAACGAGCAGTTCGGGGAGGGTGCCTCGCGCAAGATCACCCCGCTCTCCTACTTCATGTGACCGTTCACATGTTAGGGCTTGGTTGCTTTGCAGGCCATGGGGCATGAGGTCCTCAGGTTGGTTGTTTAGCAGGCTGGAAATACCTTATTGTCGTGCAATTTTGAAGCATCCGCAATTTCTGAGCAGATGGATAAATCTACACAAAGATCACTATCACGGATTTAAAAAAAGTCTGATGAATAATTGGCCATGAATCAGCAACTGCTCTATATGCAGCAGGCTTGCTGGTACGCTCCCTTCCAGACTTTGAGCTTCTGGGCGTGAGGCTTCTTGGAGTATAACGCATGAGTCCTATGGTACAAGGGCTGGCCTGGCTTCCATGTGGTGTGTAACATGTGGGCTGTACACATGAAGCCAGGCCAGCCCTTTTGACATGTGTACATGTGCTCTGGTACATATGTGCACGTGCTCTACATGTGTACATCATTGGTGCTTGGCTGCACCTGCAGCTGCAAGGAGCCTGCAAGAAACGGTGCTCTGAGCAACATGGTGGTGTGTTAAATAACAGCTGTATTTCAAACATTACACCTGACATGGGAGGACCAATATAAAGCTACGAGCGTATGTGGTTACTGCTGCCACCAAGCAACAACGGCTGTGCTTCCTGCCCCTCCTCTTCCTCCCTCTCCTCGCACACCACTCTCAAAACTGGAGAGTTCACCCCTACAGCAGAGCTCTCGCCCCTGCTGCCACTGCCACCAGTGCTGCTGCGGTTATTCTTAGTATGGCTGTTAGTGCTGCTGTTGGTGCTGCTATTGATGCTGTTAATGGTGCTGCTGTCGGGACTGGTGATAGCGCTGCTACTACTAGTGCTAACGCTGGCGGCAGCAGCAGCAGACGGACGAGAGGCAGAGGAAGCAGCAGGAGGAGGAGAGGATAGGTACAGGGAGGGAGGGTGGGAGCGAGGGGAGCGGGAGGGCAGGCGGGTGGCAGAAGAGGAGGATGGCCAGGGCGGAGGGGGATGAAGGTTGGGCTGGTGGTGGGATTGGGGTTGGTGTAGGGGTGAGGCGTTAGGGGTGGTGGGTACGGACGTAGGAGTGATAGCAGCGTTGGGGGTGGTGGGTGTGAGGGGGGCTGCACCGCGCTGTATCCGCGGGGGACGAGACAGCCTGAGGGGAAGGGGGGGAGGATGGGGGGGGGGGGGGGGGAGGGGAAGTGGGGAGAAGGGTGTATAGAGCAGGATGCGGAGAGAAGGGAGCAGCGTTGGGTTGCCGATTGGTAAGACAGCAATGGCAGGCAGCAATGCGGACTGGTAACAATGCACAAGGGGAAGTCGCTTGTTCTGCCAGCAGCAACAGCTATTGTGCCTGCAGGTGGGTACATGTGGGTGGTTACTAGTGCAGGTTGTCACCTGTGCAGGTTGTCACCTGTGCAGGTTGTCACCTGTGCAGGTTGTCACCTGTGCAGGTTGTCACCTGTGCAGGCTGTTACCTGTGCAAGTTGAAGAGCGAGACGCCGACCATGATGATGAGCACGCCCACCAGGTTGACACGCGTGAAGCGGTCAGAGAACACCAGATGGGACACCTGGGCGTAGGAGGAGAGGGGTGGTGGTGAGGGTGAGCATGGAGGGAGATGCGAGGGGTGCCGTGCAGACGCCTCTCAGCCCACCAGGTTGACACGCGTGAAGCGGTCAGAGAACACCAGATGGGACACCTGGGCTTAGGAGGGAGAGGGGGGGGAGTGTGGAGGGTTGCAAGTGGTTGGATGCGAGAGTCAGACACCGATGAGCAGAAACAGCAGCCTACGCGTCAACTCACCAGGATGAGCCCCCCCCTCCCCTTGCATGCTCACCAGAATGGTGGCGCCTTCTTTCGCTGTACCAGCCACAGAGAAGGTGACTGCGCTGGTGTGCAGGATGAGGGGAGTCCAGGTCCCTGGTCCAACCTGGTCTCACCACTCACCCGTATGAGCCCTCTCCCTGCATGCTCACCAGGATGGTGGCGCCTTCTTTCACTGTTCCGGCCACAGAGAAGGTGACGGCACTGGTGTGCAGGATGAGCAGAAACTCCGACATGATCTGATGGGGTGGTGGTGGGGAGAGGAAGGGAAGGAAAGGGGGGCGAAAGGGAGGAATATAGAGTTGACTGAGAGAAGGTGACTACGCTAGTGTGCAGGATGAGGAGAAATAATGGTAGTGGTAATGGTAATGGTAATGGTCATGGTCATGGTAATGGTAATGGTAATGGTAATGGTAATGGTAATGGTAATGGTAATGATAATGGTAATGATAATGATAATGGTAATGGTAATGGTAATCGTAATGGTAATGGTAATGGTAATGGTAATGGTGATAATAGTGGTATTGATAGTGGTAATGGTAATGGTAATAGTAATGATAGTGGTAGTGATAGTGGTAATGGTAATGGTAATGGTAATGGTAATGGTAATGGTAATGGTAATGGTAATGGTAGTAGTAATGGTGATGGTAATGGTAATGGTAATAATACTGGTATGGTAATGGTGATGATAATGGTAATGGTAATGGTAATGGTAATGGTGATGATAATGGTAATGGTAATGGTAATGGTAATGATAATGGTAATGGTAATGGTAATGGTCATGGTAATGGTACTGGTATTGGTAATGGTAATGGTAGTGGTATTGCTAACGATAATGGTAGTGGTATTGATAATGGTAATGGTAACGATAATTGGCAATGGTAATGGTAATGGCGACATAATTTGATGGATCTGAAAAACAGGGGGGGCAGTGGGTTGAAAGGTGATGGGGAACCTGATGGGGAACCTGATGGCGAACCTGATGGCGAACCTGATGGCGAACCTGATGGCGAACCTGATGGCGAACCTGATGGCGAACCTGATGGCGAACCTGATGGCGAACCGATGGCGAACCGATGGCGAACCTGATGGGGAACCTGATGGCGAACCTGATGGCGAACCTGATGGGGAACCTGATGGGGAACCTGATGGGGAACCTGATGGGGAACCTGATGGGGAACCTGATGGGGAACCTGATGGGGAACCTGATGGGGAACCTGATGGGGAACCTGATGGCGAACCTGATGGCGAACCTGATGGGGAACCTGATGGGGAACCTGATGGCGAACCTGATGGCGAACCTGATGGCGAACCTGATGGGGAACCTGATGGCGAACCTGATGGCGAACCTGATGGCGAACCTGATGGCGAACCTGATGGGGAACCTGATGGGGAACCTGATGGCGAACCTGATGGCGAACCTGATGGCGAACCTGATGGGGAACCTGATGGGGAACCTGATGGCGAACCTGCTGGCGAACCTGATGGCGAACCTGATGGCGAACCTGATGGCGAACCTGATGGCGAACCTGATGGCGAACCTGATGGCGAACCTGATGGCGAACCTGATGGGGAACCTGATGGCGAACCTGATGGGGAACCTGATGGGGAACCTGATGGCGAACCTGATGGCGAACCTGATGGCGAACCTGATGGCGAACCTGATGGCGAACCTGATGGCGAACCTGATTGCGAACCTGATGGCGAACCTGATGGCGAACCTGATGGGGAACCTGATGGGGAACCTGATGGGGAACCTGATGGGGAACCTGATGGCAAACCTGATGGCGAACCTGATGGGGAACCTGATGGCGAACCTGATGGCGAACCTGATGGGGAACCTGATGGGGAACCTGATGGGGAACCTGATGGCGAAGCTGATGGCGAACCTGATGGCGAACCTGATGGCGAACCTGATGGCGAACCTGATGGCGAACCTGATGGGGAACCTGATGGCGAACCTGATGGGGAACCTGATGGCGAACCTGCTGGCGAACCTGATGGCGAACCTGATGGCGAACCTGATGGCGAACCTGATGGCGAACCTGATTGCGAACCTGATGGCGAACCTGATGGCGAACCTGATGGGGAACCTGATGGCGAACCTGATGGGGAACCTGATGGGGAACCTGATGGCGAACCTGATGGCGAACCTGATGGGGAACCTGATGGGGAACCTGATGGGGAACCTGATGGGGAACCTGATGGGGAACCTGATGGGGAACCTGATGGGGAACCTGATGGGGAACCTGATGGGGAACCTGATGGGGAACCTGATGGGGAACCTGATGGGGAACCTGATGGGGAACCTGATGGCGAACCTGATGGCGAACCTGATGGGGAACCTGATGGGGAACCTGATGGCGAACCTGATGGCGAACCTGATGGCGAACCTGATGGGGAACCTGATGGCGAACCTGATGGCGAACCTGATGGCGAACCTGATGGGGAACCTGATGGGGAACCTGATGGGGAACCTGATGGGGAACCTGATGGGGAACCTGATGGGGAACCTGATGGCAAACAGCGGTAGCACAAGGCACCGTGAACAACTAAGGGCAGCGCATTGCCTCCGCCCGCCATACCATGAGAACGGCGAGCATCCCTCCTAGCAGGAGAAGCAGCATCATGGGTGCGAGGTGCGAGGGCGGGGAGAAGTAGGTGAGCAGGAAGCAATCCAGGAAGTAGGTGAGCAGGCATAGCATGAGGAGCAGCAGCGGCAGGAGAAGCATAAGACACAGCGAAGGAGCAAGGGCAAAGAGATGCCTGAGGCGTACCATAAGAAACGCGAGCACCCCTCCCAGCAGGAGCTGGGATGAAGAGGGTGCAGGGGTGGAGGAATGAGGTGCAGAGCGAAACAATGAATAGCCCAGCGGCACAGCAAGCAGGAGGAGGGTGCAGGAACAGAAACAGGGACATACAAGCGAAGGGGAGGAGAGGAGGGAAGGAGGGCAGGAGGGCAGGAGGGAAGGAGGGAGGGAAGGAGATAGAGAACATACCGAGGCGGTCTTTCTGGAAGAGGATAGGGAGGGCTTGGCGACAATCATGGCATGGGCAATAGGGAAGGGGCAGAACAGGCACAACGAAATGGGAGTCAGGGTTTAGGGTCTGAAGTATATGCACAGGAAGTGTGATTCGAACATGACAGACACAGGACATGGCATTGGATGCGAGGGACACAACTGCGCTCCAAGTCTCCTGGCAACGCTTGCTTTGGTACCATACCATACCACCACAGTACAACCACACAAAGGCACTTGCGGCGGCCTCACTTGCAGAACCACCTGCAGCAGCAGCATACCCAGCCTGCAGCAGCATCAGCCCTGGCCTATCTACAGCAACCCCACCCCACCTGCAGCAGCACTTGAATGAGCACCCATCGCAGGCCTGAGGCCATGGCAGAGAGCATGACGAGCACGAAGCCCCACAGGTGAAACGATGCCTCTCCCGCCACTGCCATCAGCGCACACAAAGCACACACAGATGCACGCATGCACGCAGGCACGCAGCCCACGCAGGCACGCATGCACACATGCACACATGCACACACGCACACACGCACACACGCACACACGCACACACGCACACACGCACACATGCACACATGCACACATGCACACATGCACACATGCACACATGCACACATGCACACATGCACACATGCACACATGCACACACGCACACACGCACACACGCACACACGCACACACGCACACACGCACACACGCACACACGCACACACGCACACACGCACACATGCACACATGCACACATGCACACATGCACACATGCGCAGAACAGAGGGGGGTTGAAAGGGCTGAAGCCATGGCTGAGAGCATGACGAGCACAATGCCCCACAGGTGGAATGATGCCTCTCCCGCCACTGCCAGAGGTCCACAGGCATGCACACATGCACATGTATAGAAATACAGGAGGATAGAGAGTGATGATGAATGCTGTGCAGGAGGAAGAGGAGATGTCGGGTGAAATGAATACGGATGGGCTAGTGGCATGCCAAAATGAAAGGGAAGGAGGGCATTCATAAGGAGATGAGTATCGGAGTAGTGACATGACAGCGACAGACTGATTGGCTGACCTGTGAAGAGCACGCACACGGAGATCACCATCATGACTCCGATGAGGCAGAGAGATGGGGGAGAGATGGTGGGCGAGAAGGGAGGGCATTCATAAGGAGATGAATATCGGAGCAGCGACTGACAGGCTAACCTGTGAAGAGCACGCACACGGAGATGACCATCATGACTCTGATGAGGGAGGGGTGAAAGGCCATGAGTGAGTGCTTCAATTCAAGGAGGTGACTATCAGTCTAACAGAGCAGCGACTGACTGATTGGCTGACCTGTGAAGAGCACGCCCACGGAGATGACCATCATGACTCCAATGAGACGAAAGCTGATAGGCTCCAACCTGCCGCCCGTGGCGTGGGCGCGACATAGGGTGGCATGGGGGCATGCGGAGCGCAGCAAGGCGACACAAGGAGGACTCTCTGAGTCGCTCAGAAGCAGAGCAGCAGGAGGAGCACAAAGGTACTGGAAACAGGGAGGACTTCGAATCCAACCACAACAGAACATGGGCGCACCAAAACAAAAGGCACCGAAACACACACGCAGTGAGCTCAAATGAAAGGCACCTGAAGATGAAGGCGAAGAGCAGCAGGAACATGGGCGCACTGGACTTGCACTGTGGCATGGGGGCAAACAGGAGCGTGCAGAGGGGAATGGGGAGGGGAGCGGGGAGGGGAGTGAGTGGGAGCGGCGGAAGCAAGGAGGGCGAAGAGCAGCAGGAACATGGGCGCGCTGGACTTGCACTGCCGTGGGGTGTGGTGGGGGCAACAGCGTGGGGAGGGGAATGGGGAGGGGAGTGGGGAGGGGAATGGGGAGGGGAGTGAGTGGGAGCTGTGGAAGCAAAGAGCAGCAGGAACATGGGCGCATTGGACTTGCACTGCCGTGTGGACAGACAGCAGCGCTGGGGGGGGGGGGGGGGGGGGGGGGGGGGGGGGGGGGGAATGGGGAGCGGAGTGGGAGCGAGGGAAGTAAGGGAGTAGATCGGAATGCAAGTCGGGTGCGAGAGTCCGTGGGGCGTGGGGAGGAAAAAGGGAGCGGGGATGGAGGAGTGGGGAGGGGGGGAGTGCCAAGGGCAGAAAGAATGATGCATGCATGACTGATGAGTGATGATGAGATGAGTGATGATGAGATGAGTGATGATGAGATGAGTGATGATGATATGAGTGATGATGATATGAGTGATGATGAGATGAGTATTGATGAGTGATAGTGAGTAGTGATGAACGATGATGAGTCATACCATACCATGGTGTAGAACGTGAGTGTGATATAAGCGAGGGATTGATTGGAGAGAGCGATGTCCACTGCTGTTGCCACCGCTGTGGGAATGACTGCTCGTTGCCCCACCCCACCGGCAAATGCCATACCATGCCATGCCATGCCATGCCGCGCCAGGCCAGCACAAGACACCATCAAGAGGAGAGACATGCCATGCCATCACATACAGGAGCATCCATCCATGGCATGGCGCAGCACACGTGCAGATGCCAGCACACACGGCATGCACGGAGAGATGAGACACGATGGTGAGGTGCGCCGTGAATAGCGGGCAAGGGCATGAGGCGCACAAGGAACAACGGAGTTCAGAGTAAAGCGGGCAGACGGCGAAGCGGGGGTGGGCAGAGCAGGGTGAGGGGCCAGCGGATGTGAAAGCAGAGAGGGAGGGAAGGAGCGCAGGGGAAGAGCCGTGACACACCTCGGAGGAAGGGCAGCGGCGTACCTCGGAGGCAGTAGTCGCGGGAGGAGAGGGGGAGGGGCGGCAGCGCGGAGGGGAAGGCGGAGTGCAGCAGCGCGGAGGCCATGAGCGCCTGCTGGGCGAAGTGGAACGCCGTCAGCAGCAGAGGCGCGGGGAAGCGGCCGTGCTGCTGCCCTATCAGCATCTTGTTGTACCTGATTGATTGGGGTGGGCGGGGGGAGTGAGAGAAGGGGGAAGAGTGGGGTGAACTTTTTTAATGAACTCAGCAGTGCTGCTGCCATATCAGCATCCTGTACGTGATTGGGGTGGGTGGGTGAGGAAGAGGGAGAAGGAGGAGAGGTGACTTTTGACTCGACTCAAGGAAGAGGGAGCAGCAGCAGCGCCAGCACGCGTGCCACGGACCCAGGAGAGGTGCGGAAGAAAGGAGTAAGAATGGAACGGGTATGGAGGGAAGGCTTACAGGCTGGGTTCGGTGCTGAAGGTATACCAGAGCAGCAGCAGCGCCAGCACGCGTGCCACGGGGTTTTGCAGCGACTACAAAGAGGGGAAGAAAAATGGAATCAGAGGGCCTTACAGGCTGAGCGCGGTGCTTACAGGCTGAGTGCGGTGCTGAAGGTGTACCAGAGCAGCAGCAGCGCCAACACGCGTGCAACGGGCCACAGGCTACGAGGATCGCACCACACGCGCACGCGCATCCCTCCCCACCCCACGCTCGCCTTCACGCTGCCGCCACCCGCACCAGTCATAGCCCCACCAGTGACTGAACCAGCAGCAGTAGCACCACTAGCAGCACCAACGGCGGCAGTCAGCCAGTTTCTCGCCCCCATTTCCTCCCCCGACCTGCTCCGCTCCACCCGTCTCTCCCGCACCCTCCCTGCCCGCCGCTCCCCCGCCCTTCCCCGTCCCCCATCGCTCGCCTCGTCTATCTCTGAGTCCGTCTCTCTGGCGCTGCTGTACGCGCTACTGCCATGCCTCTCACTCAATCCCACCACGTGTCTCTCACCAAACCCTAACCCGTGTCTCTCGGGTAATTCAATCAAAGGCCGCACGTCCTCCTCACCCCCCACTTCTCCCTCTCCTCCCCCTCGCTCGCACGAACTATCGTCGTCGGCTCTGCGACTGACGTCGTCAATTTCAGGTTTGACGTCATCTCCTCCTTCCCGCACCTGCAATTCCACCAATGCTTCGCCGGCATGACGTGTCACACCGGCTAAACCTGCTGACGGCCTGACGCTGACGCTAACGGAGCTGTCGCCGCTGTCCCCAATATTTATCAAGCTACTATCACTCGAGCCGCCTCTTTCGTCAATAACGACTGCGCTGCTGTTAGTGGAAGTCCTGCTGCTGACGACAGAGGCACCGGTCACCGTATCTCGCGGTCGCGACGAGCCGCGAGGAGACGACTTCAATCGCGGAGTTAAAGCCCCGTCATGAGGCCCGTTAGACCTCATTCCTTCTGCTAAAGGAATTAAGGCTGCATGGAATAAGCTGAAGGCGCTTCAACATGTCAAGAACACCATGGTCGTCGGAAAATTGCGCAGGAAAAGTGATACTGAAAGCCTGAGCAGAGCAGTGATACAGACAATAAACTGTTCCGTGTCGCATGAACAAGGTTCCAGGTTCAGTTTTACTGCTTTTCCGGTTCAGTAAGGTGCCTCTCTGTTTGCGGGTTGTAGCAGGATATTGGCATGCTACTATGCAGCTTTTCTTATCTTTCCCCTACACAACATGTTGTATCCCATCACTACTTACTCTGGTGTCATTACAAAATGGAAAATTCTCGACATCATCAATGAGTAATTTATGTTTTGCCGTCGAGTGATCTCTGAAAGCTAATTATTGAGAAACAGTGTGACACATCACCATTGATAATAATCCTTGTATGGTAGCACTAGACGTAATCTCAACTTGAATCAAGACAAATAACCGTACACATAACTTACAACGAGTACCACTGAAATCTCTTCCCACGCCCCTGACACTCTTCGAAGGGATTGGGCCTGTCCAATCGCGTGCAAAAGCGCTCAGCGGCCCGCTGTGAAAGTGGCGGGTAATTTGAATTTGATTTCCAGCGCCTCGGCAGCCCATCCTCTGCCCACCCCTTCACATCGACTGCCTGGCGCGCCCAGATGACACCAGTATAAACCAGTTGCCAGTTGCAGGTGCGCCCAGTCAACAACGGTGGTCGCTCTGCTATGGCTACCAGACAGTGGCGGGCAAATGGACCAGGTGGCGAGTCAGGCGGGCGTAACTCGCTCCGCACAAGCCCTTTGCGTTCGCTCTGCGATCTCATTCAATTTCGGCGCGTCGCCGAGTATTCTGTCCTTGAATTCCTGCTGGGACCTCTTCGCCGAGTATCCTTTCCATCTCTCGTCGCGTCCTCACCCTCTCAGACAAACCCAATCCATGTGAAGCAGACAGGACTCACCCCATTGTCACCAAGCACGATATTCTAAAATTCAGTTTCTTTGCGAGGCTACTTCATCGATATCGTCCTAGAGATACAGTAGCGCTTCTTCCTAGTGGCGGGTCCTCGAGCTCTGCCCGCAAGCACTGAGAGCTACCGCGTGCTTCACATACCCATCCGCACCGATCGATACCTCGTAGCGCCGAGCAGGTAGGCGCCATGGGAGAAACGTGTTATCAGGTCGTCGCGGCCTGCGCGTGTCTACTGCTGCTCCTATCCCACGCGTCCGCTAAGGCTCCTTCGTCCGAGCCGCCTTCCACCCATGAATCGGCTTCTTCTTCCAGACCAGCCCCTTCTCCCAAGTCGGCTGATGCTCCCAAACCTGCTCTCGCTCCCAAACCTGCTCTCGCTCCCAAACCGGCTCTCGCTCCCAAGCCTGCGCTCGCTCCCAAGCCTGCGCTCGCTCCCGAGCCTGCTCTCGCTCCAAAACCTGCTCTCGCTCCAAAACCTGCTCTCGCTCCCAAACCTGCTCTCGCTCCCAAACCTGCGCTCGCTCCTAAGCCCTCTGCCTCCGGCAAATCAGCTGGCTCACCTGAGCCTGCTCTTCCCCCCAAGCCGTCACTCGCGCCAAAGCACGCGCCCTCCCCAACCACCGCCGCGCTTTCCCCCAAGACCGCCCCCGCGTCGTCCCCCAAGACCGCCCCCTCGCCTGCGGAGAAGGCGACCGCACGGCTGAGCGCGGCGGACGAGGCGAAGCTGGAGGCGGAGGGATGGAAGCTGACGGCCGAGAACCTGAAAACGCTGCGCGAGGAAGGAGCGGAGGTGTTAACGGAGGAGAATGTCCAGATGCTGACGGAGACGGATCCGTCAAGTCTGACGGAGGAAGACGGAGATAAGTACTTCCACTTTCACCACGTGGCGCACATGGCGCATCTGGCGCACATGGCGCACCTCGCGCAGCTGCAGAGCATGGAGGCGCACAACCAAGCGCAGGCCCCGGCGCAAGCGGTTCCGCCAGTCGCGAAGACGGCGGAGAAGAAGGCTGACGGCGCCGCGGAAACTGCGGGCGAGAAGAATGCCGGCGCGCGGAGCGTGGAGACCCCCAACACGGTGATTAAAGCCGCTGGGATTGAGGGTCAGGACGTCCGCGATATTGAGAACGACATCCTCGTTACTGACGACGTGAGAGTCACCGGCAAGGAGATAGGTGTACCCGCTATAACAGCATCCGTCAAGATTCCGAGCTCCGAAGCGGATCTCAGTCCCAAGGGCGTCGTGGCGGCTGCGGATGAAGCGGGCGACATCGAGGCGACAGATGCCAAGGAGACCAATGCGAAGGCGACAGTTGCGAAGGGCGACGCGAAGGCTGCCGACGCAAAGGCGACAGTTGCGAAGGGCGACGCTAAGGCTACCGACGCAAAGGCGACAGATGCGAAGGCTAAGGCCGACGGGAACGCTACCGACGCGAATTGTGAGACGAAGGGCGAGGCCAAGGCTACAGCTGCGGACGATGGTATCAAGGCTACAGATGCGAAGGCCGCGAATGGCGCCGATGAGAGCGGGGCGTCGAAACTGGCGGGCGTGAAATCGATGACCAGCGGTGATGCCGACGCTGTTGCCGATGATGATATCGATGCTGATGCCGATGCTCATTCCGATGCTGATGCCGACGCTGATGCCGACGCTGATACCGGTGCTGCCGACGCTGATGCCGATGCTGCCGACGCTGCCGATGCTGATACCGGTGCTGATCCTGATGCTGATGCCGGCGCGGCTGACGCCGATTACCCTGACGCCGCTGGCAGCGGCGGCGCCTCATCGGGCAGTAAGTACGTCAAGACTGCAATGGGTGACACCAAAACAGAGGTCGACAGTAGCGCGTACGAGGAGGAGAGCTGCCCCGCGGCGCCGCTGGACCAGTGCGACTTCTACTTCGAGGGGCACCCCGAGGACGTCCCCGTGTTCCGCCTCGATAACGTCACACCAGATACCGCTATAAGCCCGCCGCTCGTGTCAAGCCGCATTCAGCAGATAATTGAGGTGGATCGCAGCGGCGCGGCGCAGTTTTTGTGCGCCATGGACGGCGTGCGCGGCGATGACAACCAGTTCTACCTCACCAAGCAGCAATCCACGCTGCACGTCCGCACCTTCCAAACGGTAAGCCCACGCAATCTGTTTGCTCCCTCGTTACAGGCAATTTCCGAGAGTTCTTACAGCATTCTTACGAATAGGCTCGTTTCGGAGCGGTGAGTCATGCGGGTGCTCTCAGCGTGCCGAGAAGGCGAAAACGTTAACGAGCAAGCACCAGACCTCAGTGTTGCTATCGTTGCTCACCCCCCCACGTCCCCGTCTTCCTTTCCCCAACCTCCCGCAGCTGTCCTCGCCGCGCGACAAGTTCGAGTCGCGGTGCGTGAAGCTGTGGATCGTGAACGCGCAGATTCCGGCGCCCAACGGCTCGGTGGTCAACACGGCGCCGGGCGACGAGCTGCAAAAGGACTACCCCGACGCGCGCCGCTGCGTCGTCTTTAAAACCGGCCCCGTCGCGCCGCAGTCCGCGTCGTGCGGCCGCCAGCCCGTCTTCGCGCAAGCCGTCGGCTCCCCGCCCGGGGATCTCGTTGTGCGCCCGTCGGCGCCTTCCCCGCCTTCCGCGCCGGGTGCGCCCCGCGCGCCGGGTTCTCCGCCTTCTTCCCCCGACAGCCCGCCAGGGGAAGACTCTCCGCCCTCCTCCCCGCCCTCTACCAAGACGAGTACCGACAGCCCGCCCTCCCTCTCCCCCTCGTCCCCCCCTTCCCCCGACTCCCCCTCCTCCCCCGGGACCCCCGACCGTCCCCCCTTGACGAAGATTCAGACCTTGCAGCCGCCTTCCCCGCCCAAGCCCTCCCCTTCCCCGCGTGCTCCCGGTTCTTCCCCTGGCGTGCCTTCCACCGACCTCCCGCCCACGCCCCCGCACGCGCAGGTACTCATTCCCCCCCTGGCAACCACCAAGACCCAGTCACCCCCGCCCCGCACGTCCACCCCGCCCCCGCCCACACCTTCCCCCGACTCCCCCTCCGGGCCAGTCACCCCCCAGTCCACCCCAAACTCCCCCGACGACACTCCCCCCGAATCTCCCCCCGAGTCTCCCCCCGAGGATTCCCCCGAGGCTCCCCCCGCGCCCATTCCCCCCGCGGAGTTCCCCAAGCCGACAGGGCCGTGCAAGGTGATGTGTCCGGCCAACCCCCTGTCTCTCTGCGACTTCTACTTCGAGCAGCATCAGACCGCCGTGCCCCTCTTCCACCTCAACGGCACTGTTCCCGACTCCGCCATCAGCCCTGCACTAAAGACAAACAAGCTGCCGCCCGGGAAGTTTGTCGAGGTGGACTCGGTGGACCACAACCGGCTGCAGATTTTGTCCTGTGTGGATTACACGTCGGCGCCGGCGAGCTACAGGGAGATGTTTTACGTGACGGGGCAGATCGGGCGGCTGCACCGGCGGGCCACGGATGGGGAGAGCATGCTGGGGTTCTATGATGGGGCGTGCGTGCGCGTGAAGCTGCAGTCGCTGCAGCTGGCTTATAACGAGACGAATGTGATTAATCTGAATCCTGGAGATGGGAACAAGGAGTTCCCGGAGTCGAGGCGATGCATCGTGTTCAAAACGGCCGTGTGAGGCGGAAGGGGAGGGAGGATGGTCTGCGGAGGAGAGGAGTCTCTCTCTCTCTCCCTCTTTAGGTCTCCAGCGGATGATGGTCCGTGCTAACCAGAAGGCAAGCGCAGCGCTTGCTTTGATCATAGGCTTGTTTATTCTTACCGTAGGATGGGTCAGGACTCTGAGTGTAGGTGTTAGGTGCAGAGGATGTGTAAGGCAAACATGGGTGCTGTCAAGTTTACCTCTAATGCATGCGTGCAAACTGACTCTTGTGATGCTACCAGTGTTTATTGCTTGATTCCTACAATGCAATCAGCCTAACAATCTAAGTGCAGGTCTCGGACGTGCCATGCCAAGCCTGAAGTAAATGCAGGTCCCTGTGTTTTCTGGTGCACCTTATGGTCCTGGCTAGCAAGTACGGCACAAAATGTTACTGGACATACCGGTATAAGTTAGCAAAAAACGGCATACAAATGCAAGTGCCTGTCTGCTACAGTATCATGCCGCTTGGCATATCATATGACTGCCTGCACCCGTTGTGGACATTAGCAAATTAACAAGCACATCATGGTAAAAGAATGTTGTTACGGTACTGTAACTGGACAACTCAAGTTAAAAACCAGTACCTCGCCACCTTTCACTCGCCACCTCCCAGGCATGCCTTCACTGCAGAGTGCCGCTGGCAGTGGCGCCAGGAGCAGCCGGGACAGGCATCATTCTCCCACTGGGAGGGCGTGTTAGCCAGTCTACCGCAGGCGAGTGTGCAGTGCAGCAGTGCGGGCGGGCACAGCAGACATGGCAGTCACCACCGCCTTGCTGTGGCCATTCAATAATCAATGGCGCCTTGTCTTGTCTTGTGCATTTATCTGCTGTTGCCAGTGTCGCTGGGAGCAGCAGGGTTGGGCACGAGGCGGCCACTGGGGGTATGCAGCAGCCTGCCACTGGGGGAAGGCAGCAGTCTCCCGCTAGGTGTGTGCAGCAGTGTAGGGGTAGCAGCAGCAGCAGCCAGGGCAGTCACCAGTGCCTTGCTGTGGCATGCACCCCCTCCCACACGCCCCCCACCGCTCACCACCGGCATGAACTCCTCTAGAATCGTTCCAAACTCCTCATCCACGAATGAATTCTTGCGCCGCCGCGGCGCCCCCTTGCTCTTCTCCCCAGCCCCTCCCGAACCTCCCCCTGCTCCCCCCGCTGCTGCTCCCCCTGCTGCGCCTCCTGCCCTTTTTCCTGCTGTTCCCAGCGGCCCTCCTGCTACTGCTGCACGCCCGGGTCCCCTATCCGCGCGCAGCTGGGACATGTCTGCCAGCATGTCGGGTGAGCGCAGCAACACCTCCGATCGCATCGACGCTGATCGCACATACTCGCCCACACTCTCTCCTGCCTTATCTTCTCCACCTGCTTCGCCCCTCCCCCCTCGTCCCCCACTCCCATCTCTTCTCCCCTTTCCTCCCTTGCCCCCGCCCGCCCTGCTACCGTGCTGCATGTCACCAGCAGCCATGCCCGCATCTCCATCTCCCTTTCCCCCAGCCTCTCCTCTCGCCTGCGCCTCTGCTTTCCCCCGCCTACCCTTGCGCCTGCCTTCCACACTCCCCCTCGCCTGCCCCTTCCCTGCTCTCCCCCCCTCACCTGCCCCTCCGCCTTCCCCCTCTCCGTTCGCCACCCCCAACCGCCCATCCCTTTTCGCCTGTGACTGCTCCCCCCCCTCTTCTTCCTTCATCCCTCCCTCCTCCTCTTCCTCCTCCTCGTCCCTCCTCCCCTCCTCCTCCTCCTCCTCCTCCTCCTCCTCCTCCTCCTCCTCCTCCTCCTCCTCCTCCTCCTCCTCCTCCTCCTCCTCCCTTCTCTCTTCCCACACCTCTCCCACACTCCAACCCTCCCTCCTGGCTCTCACGATCGGTCCCCCCTCCTCCTCCGCGGATACACTGCGCCCCACTGGCCTCCCTCCCCTCACCGCCCTCCTCCCCCCACTCTCCGCCACGTTCTCCCAGTGAAGATGCGCCAGCAGCGCAGCTGAAACCTCCCCCCGCCCCCTCACCTGCCCCGCCACCCCCCTCTCTCCTGCCCGCGCCCGCCCTCGTTGCCCCGCCTCTCTCCCCGTGCCACCCGCGCCAGTGCCGCCCGCCAGGAGGGGAGCAGAGTGAGGGAGTTCCTTATCCGCGCTGAACCCGCCGCTCCTGCAGGCGGCACCAGCAATCTCGCGGGAGTCGCGCGGATGTGCTTGTGCCTGAGCGCGCCCACGCGTCTGCTCTCTTCTCCCGTTTCCCCCCCGCCCATGCTTTCCGCGCCCACGCTCCCCTTCCGCGTCCCACGCTTGGCTGCCGCCCTTACCTTCCCCTTCGCCCTCAGATGACGACACAGGGAACACGTCGTAGCCAATCACATCCGAGATGTCAATCTTTGGTGACGTCAGCACCATTGACCCGTCGCTGCTATCACCATCCGGGATTCCGAACAACATTCCGCTCGTTACCTGGTAACCCGCCCTTCGCTGCTCCCCAATGCCTGTTCGTATCTCCGCCCGACTTCCCTCCCCTCCCCCCTCCACGGGGAGCGCGCTTATGGACGCGCGCCTGCCGTGCCCGTGCGCTTGCGCCAGACGCGACGTAACGCGGGGGGGAAGGCCGCGCGCGTGACGATGGCCGGGACGGGCGCGGGGAGGGGAAAGGCAAGGGGAGAGCGGGGGGGAGGGGGAGGACGAGGGGCTGTGGGGAAGGCTTCTGGCGCCGCAGCCCGCGGAGCCCTCGAGGCCGCTTTCCGCGGCTAAACCCGCAACGATTGCGTTGGCGTAGACAGCTCCGTCCTGTCGCGTGTCGTTTTCCGGGCTCCGAGACTCCGCGCGCGCCCCTTCTCCCGCCGCTGCGCGCGTCCTCCGCGGTCGGTTGCCCTTGTGCTTTCCGCCAGCGCCAGCGCCGTGAGTCGCGGCGGTAATCACGGCATCATGCCACTCCGGGTGTTCGGTTCCCCCGCGCGTACCGCCATCGACGAGAGAGGCGGACTTGGAGCGCGAATGGCCTCCGCGAGCCTTGCGCGGCTGCCGCGGTGCCTGGCCCTGCGCACAGACAGATGCGCGGAGGCGGGGAGGGGGGAAGGAGGGGAAGGGCGGATGTGAATTCGCCAGGGGAACACGATGAAGACGCAAACGCTGCAAGCCGGCGTGGGGGAAAGTCGCAAAGGCGAAGACCTTTCGCTCATTTCGCCTACATTGTTCGTCGAGGCTCGCTTCCAGCATTTCCTCTCTTACCCTAGTCTGCACGCGATTCGCCACGTCAGCAAACACGTCTTCGACGCTCGCTAGCTCCGCGGAGTGCAGCACGTACATCTCCCCGAGCCGCAGCACCTCTTCCGCTGGCAAATTCCACCGCCGCCCGCGATTCGCACCGTGATTCTCGACGGGGTTCCCGGGCAGGTCAGGTTGCGACACGAGATACCCCGGGTGCTGCGCCAGCAGCTGCGCGACGGTGATTGGCTCGCGGAAGCTCTCCGCGCGGCCGTCCGGCATTACCACCCACACCTCGCGCGACCCCGCTGCGCCCATGGCGGGGGAGTGGGGGAAAGGGGGGAGCGGAACGGGGAGGTACGCGCGGAGCGAGCCACGCGCGGAAGTAGTGATACGCGACGTGACGGTCTGGACTGATTCGCGAAGCAGCACCGGGAAGTACTGCGACAATGACGGGCTTAGAATGGAGGTACTGGTGCGTGTGGCCGTGAAGTCTCGCGCAGCAATTCTGATGTCCTCACTGCTGCTCCAGCGTTTTCACGAGAGAGGTTCGATTGGAAGTGCTTGGGTGAGCTTACTGTGTCTCACAGCGTGTAAATTTCGGGGTTTTACTACGACGTCTTATTGCGCTTGTGGTGGTTCGACTGCCGGTTCAAGCAGGGTTGTCGGTTCTAGACAGCCGCCATGAAAGGGGATAAATTTGGTGCACAACGGGAGGGTGGAGAAGGGGGGAGGCGGGGGGAAGAGGGAGGGAGGGGGAAGAAGGGTGGCTTGGCTAGCTGGATGGGGGGAGGGGGCGAGTGAAGTGTACGGAGTAACGGGGGCCGCAAATGTGCGTGCGGACGAGGCCAATTTCGTTTGAGTTCGTCGCAAGCGGAGATGGAGGTGGCAGGATGGATGGACTTCGAGGGTCGAGAAATCGCGATGCGAGTCGCGGTTGAGGTAGGGCAATGCCACGAGGCGAGTGGGGTCGTTGCGGGCGACGCACATAACTGGGTGTGGTAGTTTGTGGAATTGATCTGGGCTGCGTCGATCTGGGCTGGCAAAGCTTACAGTGAAATCTCCTGATTTGCCAAGCCTGCTGCGTGCTGTACAGTTCGTTTTGCTGCACCTCAACCTCAACAGCTTTCTGACACAGATTATCCAGCAGTCTCGCTAATTCCCGAACGTGATGACAAGGTCTTCTATGCTATCATTGGTCAATCGTGCACGAGGCTGCGAGTCTCGCTCGGAAATAACTTCACAGTTCAAGGACTGTTCAGCGAAGGTGTTGCCTGGGGTTGCTTTTCACACGGCGAATCTGCCCGTAAATCTTACGGACCTGCGGGAACGAACGACCAGAGGGTGGTCAGGTCAACTGAGTAACTGCTGACCGCTGATGCATCAGAACAGTCTACGCTCTAACAGTCATTCTGGATAGACTCGATCGTTGCATGTACCGGTACCAGATCAATTGTTCACCTACGAAACAATGCGAGCATACATATGCTAAGCAAGCTACCTTCAAGATCAAGATCAAGAGAGTGTCTGGGGCCACATCCACCTTCCACAGGAATAAATAAAATGTTTCACTTTAGAAAAAAACCCTTATTTTATGTTCTTCCCTGAATTTTATCCACCAGTTACTCATAAAATGGAGGCAATTTGATACTTGACAAGAAAGATATATCAATTATGTATCAGTAATACAGCAGGAAAGAAAGCGTCTGTGCTCTCAAATTCAGATATCGCGTCTCATTATCGCGGTCGACTGGAGGAACGAGGGGTATGCTTCTTTGAATGCCTATTCCACAGCTCCGCTTTTTCC